CGATACTCTTTTGTTTGAAAATGCTGGAACTATAGTCTTTGGTGTAAAATTGCATGGACTATAGCCTTTTGTGTGAAATTGCATGAACTATTACTTTTTGAGTAAAATGCATGGACGGATCTTTTGTATGAAAATGCCGGAACTATAGTCTTTCGTGTAAAATGCATGGTCTGTTGTGAGAAAATGCATGGACTATTGTCTTTGGTGTTGAAATGCATGAACTATAGTCTTTTGTGCTATAATGCATAGACTATAGTCTTTTGTGTGAAAATTCATGGACTATAGTCTTTTGTGTTAAAGAGGATTAACTATACACTTTTGTGTAAAAATGCATGGTATAGTCTTTTGTGAGAAAATGTATGGATTATAGTCTTTGGTGTAAAATGCATGGATTATAGTCTTTTGTGTGAAAATGCATGGACTTAGTCTTTTGTGTGAAAGTGGATCAACTATACATTTTGTGTAAAAATGCATGGACTATAGTCTTTTGTGTGAAAATGCATGGATGATAGTCTTTTGTGAGAAAATGTATGGACTATTGTCTTTGGTGTTGAAATGCATGAACTATAGTCTTTTGTGTTATAATGTATAGACTATAGTCTTTTGTGTGAAAATACATGGACTATAGTCTTTTGTGAGAAAATGTATGGACTATTGTCAATGGTGTTGAAATGCATGAACTATAGTCTTTTGTGCTAAAGTGCATAGACTACAGTCTTTGGTGTTAAATGCATGGACTATAATCTTTTGTGTGAAATTGCATGAACTATTATTTTTTGAGTAAAAATTCATGGACGATACTCTTTTAATTGAAAATGCTGGAACTATAGTGTTTCGTGTAAAATTGCATGGACTATAGTCTTTTGTGTGAAAATACATGGACTATAATCTTTTGTGAGAAAATGTATGGACTATTGTCTTTGGTGTTGAAATGCATGAACTATAGTCTTTTGTGTTATAATGTATAGACTATAGTCTTTTGTGTGAAAATACATGGACTATAGTCTTTTGTGAGAAAATGTATGGACTATTGTCTTTGGTGTTGAAATGCATGAACTATAGTGTTTTGTGTTATAATGTATAGACTATAGTCTTTTGTGTGAAAATACATGGACTATAGTCTTTTGTGAGAAAATGTATGGACTATTGTCAATGGTGTTGAAATGCATGAACTATAGTCTTTTGTGTGAAAATGTACGAACTATACTCTTTTGAGTAAAAATGCATGGACGATACTCTTTTGTTTGAAAATGCTGGAACTATAGTCTTTGGTGTAAAATTGCATGGACTATAGTCTTTTGTATGAAGATGCAGGAACTATAGTCTTTCGTGTAAAAATGAATGGACGATAGTCTTTTATGTATAATTGCATGAAATATATTTTTTATGTGAAAATGCGTGGAATATAGTCTTTTGTGTGATAATGCACGGACTATAGTCTTTTGTGTGAAAAACATGGACTATAGTCTGTTGTGAGAAAATGTATGGAGTATAGATTTTTGTGTGAAAATGCATGGACTATAGTCTTTTGTGGGAAAATGCATGGACTATAGTCTTTTGTTTTAAAACGTATGAACTATAGCCGTTTGTGAGAAAACTCGTGGACTATAGTCTTTTTTGTAATATTGCATGAACTATACTTTTTCATATGAAAATGCATAGACTATTGTCTTTTGTGTGATAATGCATGAACTATAGTCTTTTGTGAGAAAATGTATGGACTATAGTTTTTGGTGTTAAAATGCATGAACTATAGTCTTTTGTGCTAAAGTGCATAGACTATAGTCTTTGGTGTAAAAATGTACGAACTACATTCTTTGGTGTTAAATGCATGGACTATAATCTTTTGCGTGAAATTGCATGAACTATTATTTTTTGAGTAAAAATGCATGGACGATACTCTTTTGTTTGAAAATGCTGGAACTATATTCTTTTGTGAGAAAATGCATTAACTATAGTCTTTTGTGCTAAAATGCATAGATTATAGTCTTTTGTGTGAAAATGTACAAACTATACTCATTTTTGTGAAAATGCATGGACCATTATCTTTTGTGTGAAAGTGGATCAACTATACGCTTTTGTGTAAAAATGCATGAGCTATAGTTTTTGTGTAAAATGCGTGGACTATAGGCTTTTGTGTGAAAATTCATGGACTATAGTCTTTTGTGTCAAAGAGGATTAACTATACACTTTTGTGTAAAATGCATGGATATAGTCTTTTGTGAGAAAATGTATGGACTATTGTCTTTGGTGTTAAAATGCATGAACTATAGTCTTTTGTGCTAAAATGTACAAACTATACAGACTATAGTCTTTGAAAATGCATGGACCATGTACGAACTATAGTCTTTGTGTGTAATCAACATGGACTATAGTCTTTTGTGTTTGAATAGCATGAGCTATAGTTTTTTGTATGAACTATGCGTGGAGTCTATAGTGCTTTTATGAAAATGATGAATTCATGGACTATAGTCTTTTTATGTTAATTAGATGAAATTAACTATACACGTGAAAATGTGTAAAATGCATGGATACGTCTTTTGTGAGAAAATGTATGGACTATAAATGTCTTCATGGTGTTTCAAATGCATGCGACTATAAAGTCTTTGTAATTCAGGCAGTCACACACATCACTATAGTCTTTGGTGTAAGAATGTACGAACTATAGTCTTTGGTGTAAAATTGCATGGACTATAGTCTTTTGTATGAAGATGCAGGAACTATAGTCTTTCGTGTAAAAATGAATGGACGATAGTCTTTTATGTATAATTGCATGAAATATATTTTTTATGTGAAAATGCGAAAAAACGTTTATATAAAAATACTATAAATCACTTATTTTCATATTATTTCAAACTTTTCGACATAAAGACTTTAATTCAGGCATTTTCACACATTTTCACAAAATAAAAATAATTCACGAATTTTGACACAAATTCACACAAATGCACACAAATTCACACAAATTATAATTCACGCATTTTCATACATTTTCAAACTTTTTCTTATAAAGACTATAATTCATGAATTTTTGCACATTTTCACAAAGAGTATAATTTACGACTATTCTAACATTTTCCTAAAAAGACTATAATTCACGCATTGTCATAAATTTTTACACTTTTTCTCATAACTATAATTCACGAATTTTTGCGCAATTTAACAAAATACTATAATTCATGCATTTTCCCACATTTTCACAAAAAGACTATAGTTCACGCATTTTCACCCATTTTCTCACTTTTTCATATAAAGACTATAATTCATGCATTTTTACGCATTTTCAAAAAAATACAATAATTCACGAATTTTGACACAATTTTACACAAACGCTATAATTCACGCATTTTCATACATTTTTACACTTTTTCACATAAAGACTATAATTCGTCTATTTTCACACATTTTCACATAAAGCTATAATCTATGCATTTTCACACTTTTTCGCAACAAGTCTATAGTCTTCTAGTGAAAATGTATGGAAATGCTAGAATTATAGTCTGTGTGCTAAAATGTGTGAAAAAGTACCAAAATGCGTGAGTTATAGTCTTTGTGTGACAATATGCGATTACTTTATTACGCGATTACACAATTACAATGGAATCGATTAAAGATTGCATTATAATCCATTTTACAATTACAATTTAATTGATTACATGATTACAATGCAATTGATTATACGATTACAATGTAGTGGTTTACACGATTACACGTTAATTGATCGCACGATTACAATTCAATCGATTACACGATTACAATGTAATCGCTTATACGCGATTACACTATAATGGATACACGAATATGTGTGAAATAGCGTGAATTATAGTTTTTGCATGAAAATGTGTAAAAATGCATGAATTATAGTCTTTGTGTTAAAATGTGTAAAAGAGTGTTTATTGTAGTTTTTGTTTGAAAATGTGTGAAAATATACCAGAATTCGTCAATTATAGTCTTTGAATGAAAATGTGTGAAAAATGTATGAAAATTCATGAATTACATTCTTTGTGTGAAAATGTGTAAAAATTCGTGAATTATAGTCTTTGTGTGAAAATCTGTGAAAATGTGCGAATTATATTTTGTGTGTGAAAATGTGTGAAAAGGCGTGAATTACATGCTCTTGGTGAAAATGTGGAAAAATGATGAAAATGCGTGAGTCATAGTCTTTGTGTGAAAATGTGTAATGAAAAATCACATGTTGAGGAACAAAGGAATATTATATTTTGTTCTTACAGACCACTGACTACACCCTTACAGAATAGCTCATTAACATCACACTTTATAAAGCGTTTAACCACATCCAAAATTTGCAAAACTTCCTTGCATTCATTTTTGAAATGTCGTTCATGTCGTCTTATTAAATGTCGTTCATGTCGTCTTTTGAAATGTCGTTTATGTCGTCTTTTGAAATGTCGTTTATGTCGTCTTTTTGAAATGTCGTTCATGTCGTCTTTTTGAAATGTCGTTCATGTTGTCTTTTTGAAATTTCTTTCATGTCATGTTTTTAAATGTCGTTCATGTCACCTCTTTGAAATTTCGTCCATGTCGTCGTTTTTAAATGTCGTTTATATCATCGTTATACAATGTCGTTCGTGTCATGTTTTTGGAATAAGAAGTTATAGATACAAACGTAGCAAAAAGGAAATTTTGAAATTTTTCTGTTTTGCTGGCTTTTGCGGGCTGTACAGTTCATTTGTCTTGATAAAATAGCTCACACATTAGGATTACCATACATAAAATCTATTGTGACGCATTGTCGTGACGTCAACTGCATATATTCGCATTAGTTTCATTTGCGCGTTTTTCTGATTTTTTACTGAAGAGCGATCACAACGTAAAAATATAACTCAAATTTAAATTTTGTTTTAGAACTTAATTACTCATTTTAACCAAAGATTTCAAAAGTCCTATTTTCTGACATAGGCACTTTCACAGGAGAACACATATTTATCAACTCCTTGTCATTTTCATGCACTGAAGTCTAATTAGTTGAAATTCAATACTCTCGTTTTACTCCTAAATCTTGCCTCTACAGCTTACAGATCTTAGCGAAGGCTTGTCAGCGTCATCTTGTGAATTAACAGAAGAAAGCACAAGGCTGAAAAGTGAAAGATGGCGTATTTTTGTCACTTATTTATCTATGCACTACACCTGTTGTTGATTTCATATTTCATTGATGCCATCCAAAAATATGAAAAGGTACGGGAAGTAGAAAATTAGAAAGACATTTTCTGTAATCAGATGTGTTTCGTTATATAAGTCGATATCAAAATGAAAATTGAGGGTCGAACGAATGAGCAACGCTATTATGAAACACGTACTTCTAGTTTAAAGCGTGATTCACATAACCCCCTCCCCGAACTTATATGCTTCAACACAAGCTGAAATTTCGACATTAAAGCTATGCCTATATTCGTTTACTATGTATAATATTGTGCAAATTTTCGTTAAGTGTGAACTTGTTGTAAACTGTACGAAGAAAGCCGATGATGCCAGTAAAAGTTGTTATGATTTCATCAATCTCTTTGATAAAAATTGCGGTGCCAGACCTAATTATTGCGACAAACACAAACATGATCTGATCAAAGCGTGTACTTCAGGTAAAAATCAAAGATATCATGTGACACATGCACATCTAGTTATGAGTTAAAAAATATGTTTTCTGTGTTAAGATTTCTGTCAAAGATGTCGGGAAAGTGCCAAAACGATATACAAAGACTGCTTGAAGTTTCATGAAAAGACAACAGCATCATCTGCTAAAGGTGCAACGTATTGTTTGTTGATTAAGAAAGACTTCGACTTTAAATGTCCTCTAGTTTGTCATGGTACGTGTTTAAGAATAACTATCTTTTTTTTGAAACGAAGAGAAAAACCAAATTACTCCACGTCAACTTATAATCTTGACATAGGTAACCTTTTAGAGATTTCCAGGCCAGGAAGTAGGAGTAGTAACTTCGGATATATCTCTACATTTATAACTAATGCCTTTTTAGTACACTTGAAATAACACAGTATTGCCATATTTTTGACGTGGTATACTATCATGCCTTTTGAAAGAGTAAATTGCCATGTACTTTTGTCAACTATAAATGCCTTCAAATAAAGTATACATCACCATGACATATAACAAAGAAAACTGACATGGTATACTACGACACATCGTTTGACAAAGTAGATTTTGATATCTTTGACTTTGTTCACCATACCATTCGCCGTTTTGCATGCATCATTCAGCGCGTAGAATTCATATGTATTTTGCAACGACGACGTTTTGAGATAGTTGTTATTCAATATTTGATAACATTTTTTAAGACTTAAAAGGCACGTCAAAAAGTGATCCTGGAAGAGACTGTAAGGATATTTTTGATTCTAAGCCCGATGAGGCTAAGAATGGTTTGTACTGGATTCAACCTCACGGCGATAAATCCCCAACTCAGTCTTACTGTGACATGAGCTTTGCTGGGGGTGGCTGGACTCTGGCTAGCTATGGACATGTTTCGACAACACCGCAACTCAACAAAAACATTCCAAATATGAATCATCCCAACGGATACACATGGAATCCTAGCAAAAGAAACAGCTCCCAAGGTGTGATATCTCTACAAAATGGAGCCGTAAACCTTGCTCGTCGTGCTAAGCGTATGATAATGGCGGCAGGAAATAATCCTGCGACAGGTAAAATTGCTTTCGTGTAAAATATTGCTTGTTTTGTCCAAAAAAAGTTCTTTCACAAATGCCTACTGCTTATCAATATAAACATTCGCATCAATAACTTTCGAATTCAGTCATCAATCAGTCACAATTGTACATTCGCGTTTCGTGTTCTATTGTTTCTAAATCAAGGAGTTGACTTCAAATGTTTTTCGAATAAAATACTTAATTTCACGAGTAATAGCTAGGTACCAATGATAACTTTCTCTTCTGTGTTACACATAGGTGGGATTGACAAGTACCAATACGTTTACTCCATTGATATAAGCAACAATCCTTATAATATCACGTTTGCAAACCATAACCGTTACCATGGTGGTGTCGGTACAGCAAACATACCTAGGATGCATGTCGTCGCGTTTACCGTAAGGGCGTTAAAAGGAGAAACCGGAAGTGCAAAACGATATGCACTAGCCGAAGCACTGGGTGTATCCTGGTCTGATACATATCCAACGGGGTATGGTTTTTCGCCAGTTAACAAGCATTATAGTACATGGACAAAAGGTCCATTCTTTCCCAGTGTTCATTCGGGTGACAGACCGGCGGGAGGCTGTAACACAGGAGCTGTATCGTATGCTCCAGATGTTGAAAAAGGCTGTCCAAATTATCAACACCTTGGATGGCATTCACTTTACACTACGCAGAAAACAGGACAGACGTCAATATGGTTTAAGTGAATTGTTGTCAGGAAATAATGAAGTAAAAAATACCAATTTTTTCGTACATTTATGAATTTATGACGACATTCAATTATTGTCAGTTATTAAATTCTATCCAGTATTCCTTATTGTGATATTGTAATAATTACCCTATGAAAGTTTCTTCAGTAAGGGGAGAAAATATTTGCATTTTATTGAAATGAAAAAAATCCACCTGCAAAGCACAAAATACCGTTTATATAGGGCAGATGATGAAAATAACAACTCCAAAAAAGCACCATCTGCAACTATGTGCCCCGTCGTCAAATGTTTCTAAAATTTAAGAAACATCGAGTAACGAGTAGCTTGGTTTTACCTTTTTCTCGAAGTTATTCCAATTGATTAGTCACGTGACCGTACCTTGCCATCACACGAACTGTTTGAAGTTGACTATCTTCTACAACAAAAACCTATGGCGGCTTTTATAAAGTTATGACAATAATCAAGCTTAGTCATGATCATTGATACCATGTTGCTAATTGTGAGTGATTAGTTTTGCAATAAGTTATATCGAAAATAACCATAAGCACAAATTGAGCCGCTTATCTTCATCTTGACTTTTTTATTTCACTACAGCTCAAATTTGTAATCCGTTGAGAATGAATGTCGAGAGATTTTAATTTATGCAATAGATGGATTTGTATCTTTGGAAAATTATAACTGATGTAAAAAGTCAAGTTATCTTAAACAAATTCCATGCGTATAGTAAAACAATCGCAGGTTGCCCTTTTTACAGGATTTTCTACATGAAATCGGCAGCACACATCCTCTTTTGAACAGTTTTGAGTTTCAACAAAATCTGCTTATCATCAGAAATGTCTCTTGATTTGCTCGACTCGTGCGTCGAAGAGGAACACTCGATTCTTTGATCACGTTGATTGGATTTAGTATGTTCTTTATAAGGACGATCTCTGCTTTTGACTTTCTCCCTGTTCTTACGTTTCGATTTGCGTTTGTGATTCTTTTTGTGTTTCTTTCTCGCTAAGTCTCCGTTAGAATCATCACTAGAATCATTATTAGGTAATGCAGGTGTACGACCTTGAAATTTCAGTTTCACACTACCTTCGTGCGGTAGTTGTGATGATAGTGTCGTTGGTCTTGGACCAAACGCAGGCTCAACATCACTAGTATCATTATTAGGTAATGCAGGTGTACGACCTTGAAATTTCAGTTTCACACTACCTTCGTGCGGTAGTTGTGATGATAGTGTTGGTGGTCTTGGACCAAACGCAGGCTCAACATCACTAGTATCATTAATAGGTAATGCAGGTGTACGACCTTGAAATTTCAGTTTCACACTACCTACTGGTGGTAGTTGTGATGGTCTTGTACCAAACGCAGGCTCATCACGAGATGCATTGTTCCCAGAGCTAACTTTTGTATCAATTGCCAGATTTTTTTCGCAAGCAGTTTTTCTGTCACTAAGAACTACATCACAAGACTGCATGGCTGTTTTAATACATCCTGTTATTTTCGAAGTTTGATCGAGTTTTCTTTCCTCGTTTTCAGTACTAAGAAATAAAAATTTATCGGTCTTGCTCGTATTTGTTTCCTGATTTTCCGCATCTTCGGTCTTTACTGCTTCATCATCAGATTTAACAGATTCCTCATCGGAAGACTCCGCAAATACAGCTTTAAATAAATCCATTGATGGCTTCTCTGTATTATTTTCCTTTAAACTGTCACTTGCATCACGGGAATGTTGTTCTTTATTATTCTCAGAATTTGAGGTGATGACATCAACCAAATTTGATTTAATGATGTCTTGCGTTGAGGTAGGAACTATTTCTGTTGACGGGATTTCTGCGTTCGTTTGAATGACTCCAAAAACCTTACCAAGGTTAAATGTTGCTTTCTTGTCTTGAATAACACCAGTTTTGGTCGATGATGGATATGGTTCGGGAATATTAAATCTTTTGCATAGAAGTTTCGCTGGATGCCACTCAAACGTTTTTCTTGTTAGTTTACCAAACATTTTCATGGCAGCAGCTTTTTCTTCGGAAGATTTAGTTTCATCACTCAGCGATTTTGAATAATTCTACATGGAATAAAAACAGTAAGGAGGTTATCCACTATGGTGCCTACAACAGTGATCTAATCGTGAATACTACAATAGTATGTTTTTATTAATCGAAAACGAGTTATTAGTAAAGACAATTAAACGACAGGATTGGGCGCATAGAAATCAATAATTGGAGGTACATATTAAGTTCTTTGATATGATTGTTTTCAATGGATATATATGGACAACAAACATATATGAATATGACCTCTTCTCAATTATCGATCTTCCTAACGAATCGCACGCCTGTCATAACACATTTATGTCAACAGGTAAAATATAATTGGTGAATTTTCGGGTTTGTAATTATAATTTAGGAAAACTTGGTGTTTCAACGCACCTGTGGTGAGTTTTCGTCGTCAATACTTCCACCTCGAGTAAAACGAGCAGCTATACTTCCTTTCAAAGGCTGATAAAGCATTGCAGCTCTCGAGAACTCTTCTTTTTCACGTTCTTTTTCCCATTCAGTCAAATTACAACTGCTGTAAACATGGAGTAAAACACAAATCAAAACAAGAACAGTTCTCTATAAAACATGTAAATTGCTTCAGACGCAAAAGATGTCTGATGTAATTACACATAAAAGATGCTTAACATTTATCTAAATCTTACAATTCATGAATATGTAATTTTTTTGATTATAGTTTCGTGAACAGCTAATCCAACCTTGCATTGTAACATCCGAATAGCTAAATGAAATGAACTCCATAAAAAATCAGCAGATCAATTTTTTATGTACTCACCGCATTTCTACAGATCCTAGTGATTCGTCGCTGGTTTGAGATGCCAAAAATCTTTCATAGCGTTCTTGTTTCGCAGGGTCTTTGGCAAACGGCTTAAATCCGGTAGAAACAAAAGCTAATGAATTGACTTTAGTCTTCTCTTTGACAGAAGATATTCGCTCTCTATCATTTACACTCAAAAAATCCAGCACTGATTTACGAGTTTTTTTTAGAGGTTGCTCTCCAAGTATTTTACCTCTTTCCCCAGAGGAAAGTTTGGAGGATATTGCGATATTATCCACCTTTATATCCGATTGTTCCTTAACATACAAAAATGGTTGATATCCACGTGGTATAGTTGGTGGAAGAAATACTTTATTAGCCGGTTTTTGTTTTGTGCTCTTGCTAAACGACGAAAGAGCTCCACCTGGAGAAAACAAACACCGATGCAAATATACAGCATATTCATAGAGTCATAATCACGAACGAAAAGCGTTCAACAATGAGTTTCATCGGGCAAAGGAAAGATATCAAACAAATATGTGACTTTTACTGTCATGCAATAACAAAAAGTCTTTTTTGTACAATGAAGATTTTCCTCGCTGATAGGTACAAGTCAATACGGTTGATTTCAACAGCACTGGTCTACCAACACTTGTAGGTATTCATAAATAAAGTGAATCAATGTCCTTTAGAGGTGAATATATTGGGAAGGAGTGGTTGGTGTTAGTGCTTAATGAGTGCAAGGAGTGTAACTCACTAGACTCTGAAAATGATTACCGCTAAGGTTGTCGAAACGTCAGTCAACATCAACAACAACAGTCCTTCCCAGGACTCTACTAACATGGACGATCTACATCTGCAAACATGTAACGATACTACGGGGTTCAAACCACAATTTAAGATAATTTTTTCGTGCAGGATGATTCTAATTGTGTCGCTTTTCTTTTTTCTTTTGCGCTATCCGCCTGGGGATGCTTAAAGAAAGCTTTAGCTCTCTCAAATAATATGTGACCAAGTGTGCTATCTACTCCAAAATTAGTGCAAGAATATTCATTTGGTTGTTGCCACAGATCTAATAATACACTAGATAGTGCAACTGACATAAAAGTTGAAGCCGGGCAAATTTACTTCCGGAGCCCCAAAGTTGTGAGAATCAATATGGCGTTGTATTAGAAAATATGTGGTCCAAGTTAATATCTCGCAATTATTAGCAAATCGCGGAGGTTGCATCAACTTTTTTGCACTATTTATGAAATAAATCATTGTGACTATAGTTTGTAAGAAAAAAATTGCAGAATACGCCAATACATCGCCGTAAAATTGATTTCAAGTGTAGCTCGATTTGAAAGCATCAGCAGCGACTAAGGCTTAAGTACTGGAATTTACACATCTAAATATCGTATCACAGCACAATCTGCGATAGTGTGGCTTAGTTCGTGTGGCAAATACAGCGATATCATACTCGATCTATGGATGTATTGTAATAGAACAGGCATATTACAAAAATCAGTCTGAAATTGACACATGTTACAAGCACAAATTAAATATTTTGCTCAGAATAATTTAGGTTTGATATTTTCAATAAAAAGAATGTGTAGAAAGTTTTATATGCATATACATGCCTGAATGGTAAAAAAGACAATAAAAATGTTGAAAACAGTAGCATAACATTACCATAACAGTACATTAAGCACTGTGGGCAGTGGCCATATAACCCACTGGTTTAGACTATGACAATACATTGTTTATATATATGTGTAAAACACAGTCAAGACTACAAGTCTGGTGACTCTTCTTGCTTTAACAAGTAAATATTTTCCCCGTGTTGGACAGAGTGTATTGTATCAACCTGTGGTATCAACAGTTTCACAAGTGACCTGCTATTTTACACTTCACAAAAAATTTGGTGTAGCAGAGGTAGACTCATAATATAAAACAAATTCCGAAGAAGCAAGACAGACTCTATGACATAGACAAGCAAGACAAGCAAGACATAGACAAGACATAGACAAGCAAGACATAGACAAGACATAGACAAGCAAGACATAGACTCTTCGAGGTAGACTCTTCACATTCTTTCTGTAAATAATTTCTGAACGTATTAATTACTCACATCTTGACATAGCTATATTCGTTTGCCGACCAGAAACACCAGAAAAATGCATTTCTGGTTCAATAATCCAGTGCAATATTTAATTATGTGAAGTGAACAATATACTTTATATAAATCGTGAAAAATCTTTCAAACTGTTATCTCCAACTCGTTTTACTTAACAATAAATATCGGAAGATAATTCTACGACGTTCGATTGAACATTTTGTGGCAGATTGTGCTGTGATACGATATTTAGATGTGCAAATTCCAGTACTTAAGCCTTCGTCGCTCCTGATGCTTTCAAATCGAGCTACACTTGAAATCAATTTTACGGCGATGTATTGGCGTATTCTGCTATCTTTTTCTTGAAAAACTATGGTCACATTGATTTTTTTCATTAATAGAGTAAACCAGTTTATGTAACCGTCGTGACTTGCAAGTAATTGCAAGATATCAGCTTTGACCAGATATTTTCTAATACAACGCCATATTGATTCTCACTACTTTGGGGCTCCGGAAGTAAATTTGCCCGGCTTCAACCACCACTTATGAAATGTAAGCCGTTGCACTATCTAGTGTATTATTAGATCTGTGGTTGTTGCTGTGACTATGAACTCAAACAATTGGTTGAGTGAATTGCGCATGCTTGCATGGACATGAAGGACAAACAGCGCATGTGCAGTTCATTTCTCTAATATATAATGACTAAGCCAAGTAGTCTGAAACTATTGTTTCGTTGTGCTATAAAACTTTTGATGCATTAAAAAGGGCAAAACAAACTGATTTTTTGTCAATTACACTACTCTATCACTCTATCATTTATATATTCTCCACCCTGTGTACAGTGCCTCCAACGAAAGAAGCTCATCTATTAGTTGTACGTACTCAGTTACAAACTTATGCTGTAGCATAGACGTAACAAGTCTACACATACCTTCAATGGCAACCTGGGGTGGCCCAGTCCAACCGTAAAAGTCTGAATTCGATGTTTTCTTGTCTTGGATTTCGATGTCATAATTTGAAAGTGTTTCATGGGTGTAGACATCTTCATCTTCTTCTTCAAATGCACCAACACCAAATGCCTTTTATACAAATAAATATTTTTGAATCAAAATCATCAAATACAGACTTTTACATAACCCTACAAAATTGCTGAAAAACATTTAAACTTTGTAACTACATATAGCAAATTTTTGTATGAATGATTTGGAACATGAGTCCCACTGGACCCATTCCCATTAAACAATAAAAAAATAAAAGTACATCAAAACATCCTAGCATTGTTTTTCGATTTCAACCTGCATAGCAGAGCCATGTTAATCATGTTAATCAACCATGAGCCATCTTTTACTCTCATTTGTACCATAATTGAGAAAGGTTTTTAGAAGTGTGTTGCATTTATAAACAAATCACAATAACTTTTGCCTAATTGCCTGTTGGTAGATTGTTTTGCAGATGAGCACCTCTCCTATGTACAACCCCTGAAGCCAAGGATAAGTAGGTAGAGTTTGCACATCTTTGCACTCTCAAAGTAAATTCACTCATGTCTATACTACGTATTTTCCTTGGCGACATTGACGATAATCTTAAAGCCACACATCAATGATTTCTGTTAAACCATTGTGTTTTTACAGGGGGACCATTCTGATGTAAGTCAATCTAAATTGTATGTGTCAATGAGGGTTTTGGATGCTTCAAGATAGCTTTTACTCATGTCCGTAAGATATGTCCAGTTACAGAATGCTATTAGTTATATGAATTTTGGAAATTGTATTGATTGTATTGCCAACTCTCCGCTCATTTCTCCTTAATAGATTTTGGAAAATGTCAAAGAAACCTGGTAAAACAAGCATCCATTTCCCTCATTAGACACAATTCTAGCCATTAAAAGTTCTCTAAGTGTAGATTGATAAATGCTTTATGGGCATTCCCTACCTGTCCTTTGATCTTCAAATTTCCAGAGAATCCAGGTTTGGAAGTGTGCGTTGTTTCAGGTAACAGCATACCTTTGTATCCAATACCATGAAGATTATCCTTAGATGCAAACCTTACTTGCACGGTATCTTTGGGAGCAAATAGGAGTCCTTCAGCATAGATATCATATTCAGCATCTCTTTCATGACCAGTAGGAAGAGCACAACCGTACACCTTCAAAACAAGAGCATTCCTACATTAGGATATACTATATGTTTGAACTATTTTAACCGCAAGAGGTTCAACAGACTTCCAACTTCTAAATTTGTTATGCATATAAAAGATGTTGTACTTTTGAACACTGATCTTCCCAATATAAGTCATCCTACATGTTCCCAGTCACAGTGTTTTTATGTTTTCCTATTAGGAAAGCACTATAAAACAACAAAATAGATAGAAATATGTACATACAGTGTATTATATTCAGTCATATTAAATATTAATGGAGCAAATGTGAACTGAAGAAAGCATTGCAATCATGGATTAAATTACCAATTCCTAGTTAGTAATGAATCAATCAAACATTTTTGCCCATCTACATCAGCTTATGACAACAATAGCATAAGTAAAACATTCATTGGTAAGAACTTATAAGATTACCCAAAAAGGCTTAATTCTTAAAAGTCAAGAATACACAAAATATAGTTTCATTTTCAAATAAGCAATCTTTACTATTGTTTTGATTGTTATTGCCTTCAGAAATGTAGCTTAGATTTATGAAATATGCAGTAGCAAATCCAGGGTTTGCAAAATACATTATAGCTGTGAATGTTTTATTTAAAATACCGTTTTAACAGTGCTATTGGATATGAATTTCCATAGAAAAAACATAACCCATCAATGGGCTGTTATAATTTATTTAGTCTCTAGCTATATCCACCCCTGAAAACATGAAGATGAATCATGACTTGCCTTCCTTTTTGAAATTTGTCTCACACGAGGACCTACACCCTGTCCTTCTTTCCATCCCATCTTTTTCAAAAGTTTTACACCAATTGACATACGACATGGCACAACTAAGTGATCAATAGCATCTCTCATCATACAATCTATACTATCCTCATGCGTGACGTCAACCGTTATCTTTCTCTTCTCTATCTTATTTTTATCATTCTCTTGGGAGAAAAGTTTAGTTGTTTCCACCATTTTAGGCGCAATCCCAAATTCTCCCAAATCTTCTTCGTCCATAAAGTCCTCAGGTTTTTGTCGCGATGATTCGATTCTTTTCGATCGAGAAGAAATAAACGTCGATGGTTTCCATCCTTCTTTGCTTCCAACAGTGTTGAAATAACCAGCAGAAAATCCGCCCGTGAATGCACCATGAAATCTCCTACGTCCCTCACTATCAGTTGCATATTGCTCGTGTATAGGGAGCGCTTTTTTCTTTGGAGCATCTTCTTCTGGTATTTTAAATGCCTTACCTATGCTGACAAAACTTTCCTCTCCGGCAGCCATATTGGATTCACAATTTGTCATCATTTTAATTTATTCAATTGAAAATTAAAAATACAAATTTCGTTGTTTCAAAATGGAAGCACAGAGCTCCTAGCAACCATAAATATAGCAACGGTTTCGATAGCAACCTATGAAATGGTCAACTTTTATTTCATCAAACTTCTCGAACACTTCATGTGCTAGAAATCTGACCATTGTTTGCAGTAAGCTGTTAGAAATAAATTTTAAAATGCTATAGCATATACAATACTTTGTGTTGTGGACGTGATCAATAATCGTTTTTGTTCAAAAAAGACAATTTGATACCTCGATTGATCGTATTGTTGTTGTTGCCAGTTGGCGATCGAGTTTTGAGTTGTGTTATCATTCTTATGCAATGATACTTTGTTATTTGGTGGAAAGAACTTATAAAAAGCAAAATTTATGTGAAAAAGAGCATTGTTCCAAATGATAACTCAAAGCCTTTTTTCAATGAAAGACTTTTTGTGTCACCGATGATTGTTAACTGAGTACTACAAATTTGTGATTTTGTATTACATACAGCTTAGAGTTCTTTTTTATTTTTCTGAATCTTAGTCATAAAATAACCTGCCTTTTACGGCACTTCAAGGTAGTCAAACTCCACTTGGATGCAAAAATGATAATGTAATTTTCTTGCTTAAGTTGCTGAGGAGAAAGAAAACAAATAATGGACGATAAGCTATCAGACTTAGATGCTATCTATGTTTCGTGTGTCCTGGAAGACTGTTTAGATCAGTTGGCCATTCTGGGGACGATAATGCCTTCGAATTTAGAAAGGCGTGCAAATGCTGAACAGGTAAAGATGAATGTAGGTGCAAACTTGGATTCCAGTCATGCCCCCAAACTTTTGCAAACTAATAAAGTGGGAATAATTTGGAATATTTTTGACGTGTAAGGCTACAACACTGGAAATTTTGATGTTAAAAAATTTATCTCTTCCGAGTGGGATGGGTATTTTCCCCTTCTTTCGATAAGTCTTTTGACGTGCTATTTGATAATCATAAAAGTTGCTTCCAACTGCAAAGTGCGAGTTGTACAAACAGGCAGGATTTTATTTCAGATCGTTGACAGTGAGATAGCTGAAATTTTAGAAGGTCAAAGACAGCTTGAAAGTAAATTTGAAAACGTACGTAACTGCCATTGTAATTATTTCTGAATACTTGTTTTCCACTATTACTACATTAATGACTTTGAATTTGTTTGTTAAATGTGCAGTTAGTTTTGAAACGCGAGAAATCAAGAATGGGAAAAACGCTTCAATCTCAAAACGTGGAAAACGACAAACGAATTTTGCAAGCTGCATCTAATCTTAGAGATGGTGCTTTGGGTAAGTCAAATACTTTTTTTTTGTCGAAAATTCATTTTGGATTTCCAATTTGGAATTTCTAGAACGATCAATTAAATTAGTGATAAATCAAAGCTAATATCAAAAGTATTGCTACGTTTTTAATTGTTTACATTTCTTTTCATTACGTCACAACATTTTGCTTTTGTTTTCATCAATGAGTTAAAATAACAACAGTATAACTTGTGGGGAAGTCAAAAACTTTCAGTTAATGATGTCTATACTTTACAAAGCTGACAATTTTCCTTTAATTTACTATTTTACATAAGTAGATTCAGTTACATTGTTTTCAGTATTCAGTTCGTTTGTAGTATATTGTTCTAAGTCAAATCACAATGTAATCCAGTAATAAACTTGCGTCCCATTCAAATGATTTTATGTAGAAGTGAGCAGAAGTTTCAAAAATAATCCATTAAGCAACGACAATATTGCAAAAACACAAGCTGACAGGTATTTGAATTAGAGATTTGATCTATCTTCACTACACTCGACTATTTTGTTAGTTGTGTGTGTGTTCTAGTGAAAGAACGTAAATACATGCTGCGTATTTTATATATTCACTTCTACATTTCAAACCTAAATTTCTAACAAAAATGAATTTCATTTTTTCATGTTACTCCTCTGGCGTTTAGAAAATTTTTGCAAGATGTCATCCAGGCAACCCTAGAAGAAGTGAATTCGTCGCAGACCTTTCAGTCTTTAACAGATGCTGTCAACAGAGAAATTCAAAAAAAAGAGCAACTACAACAAACAATACTAAGGTACGAATTACGGCAGTATTATCATAGTTTAGCTTGTAGTATCAAGTGATAATAAAGCTATTCCCTCAAATAAATATAGCCTGGCCACGAGAGCTGCATGTATACTCAAGATGGAGTTCACCGCTAAACTTGTTTATGCTTATACGATAAACAATTTTGTTGAAATTTTCAGGGAAGAAGAGAGTCGAAAGGCCGTGAAAACATTGCAACGTCAGCTTGTTGAAGTCCGTAAACAAAAAGAGCAAGAAATTCAGGTGATTTGTTGCATTGAGTTATTCGTGGAAACGAACCTCGTCAGAATCGAAGATACTCAATTAATCTTCAGTTTGATTTGTTTCCATAGCAAAGAAATGAAATGATTGCGCATCTAAAAGATCAACTTCAGGAGATGAAAGCAAAAGCGAGCATGGAAGGAAAATACATCAGAAAGGATGCTGATGTACGAGTCAGCATCACTCAAAAGATATGCCAGCAGTCGGAAGACAGTCTGAAACAAGAATTAGAAGTGAGAAAGATATTTAATTTTGCAAATTTTTACCGACAGAGACAAACTATCTCAATGATCTACCACAACAGATACGATGAATAGCATGCTGCATAGCTACCTCCCACAAAGCACGAAACGGTATTTTTTTATTTGAAAGTTCTCTTGTAGAAATTGCAGTATAAGATTGGGGAGGAATCGCGGGTAAACGAAGAAATTGAATCCTACCTTCGCACACATCATCAAGTAAGGATAAACACGATCCCAATCGCTATCATTGTCAATCGCTAATTAAAGTTCAAATTTCCAAAAACGCACTGTGGTGCATGTTTGATATTCACTAAGACAAGAATAAAAAATTCACTGATTACAGTTCATTCCAGAAGAGACATTGCTTTTAGGTTCATACAAGAATGTACTAATTCATAAGTTCCTTGTGAGTCTACATCGCTTATATGAGAATTCAACAATGTTGTTTGTTCCAGGAATTAGAAGAAAAAGTAGAATATTGGATGGAGAAATATGACAAAGATGTCGAAGCTAAGCAACACGAACTAGACGTTCTTAAGGTAGCCACTCTTTTTAGTATCTTTGACTGGATGTTGTGTTAAAGTTCTGTCGAATCACGAAAATTTGAAAAATATTATGAAGTATAAATATAACAAAACGCAAAACTTGATGATTTTGTTATCCATCTAATGATTCAGTGTCAGTTACGAGTCATAATTTACAGCTCTGTATTTCAGGCATCGAAAGCTCACGATTTATCTCGACTTCAAGAGCTTACTCAAAAAGTAAGAGAGTTAAATTTAAGTTTTCTTAAAATCATAATTGATGAATGAAAATGTGGCCAAAAGATGTATAAATGATTGTGCAATTGAATATGTAGAGAGATACACAGACTCGTCTGTAGAGCAATAAACTTTATATTGTTCACCGATGCATAGTATAGAATTTTTGATCAAGTTGCAAACCACGTTGTAGGTAAATATTATATGAAAATCATGACATACCACACAAAAGTGAATGGTTTCCATCAATTGTTAGAAATATCTTGAGCGTTCATATTAGGGGAGCAAAGAAGTTGAAAGCCTTGAAGTATATTTCCGGTCTTAAGATGACTACATAGTGGTTCTTGAAGTTGCAATTTCACTGAACATAAATGCGTGTAAATAAACCTCGAGTAATCTGAATACAAAAACGTGTAAATGGCGGGAAAGTTTCTGTTTTTGCTTGGATTGTTACACCCAAACATGATTTTCGACCAATGAGTGTCATTAATTAATCTATTTCTTTTATAATGACTCAAAATTCTTCAGTATTCCGAGTACGAGAAAGTTGTGATTGAAGACAGGATAGAAAAAGAGAAATTACGACGACAGGCTGAACAAGAAGAAGAGGAACTCAAAGCAACTATCAATGTAAGGGTAAACCTTGTGAATGTGTGTGCCTGGGGCCTGGAGATGAAGTAGTTTTGCCAGCTACAGTTGCCTTTTCCTTTTAACCCGTCGTCTCCTAGCTTTGCCGTATGGCAGCATAAAGGAAACCATCCAAAAACTCAAAGGACCAACTGTAAAGGGTTAACTTATTGTACGAGTTGTTTTCTGGTAAAGATATTTTCAATTTGTCACAAATACTTCTTGTTAATTAGATTCAATCGTGGTGGCGTGGTGTCATGGTTAGAAGACAACTTGGACCGTACAGCTTAAAAAAGAAGAAAAAAGGCAAAAAAGGAAAGTCGGCAAAGAAAGGAGGAAAAGGAAAAAAGAAATAATATACCTTATTAATTAAAACCATGAATAAAATTTATCTTTCTAATGTTACAATGCATATAATGCATATTTATATTGTAAAAATTACGTTTGCCAAAAATAATAATTGAAAATTATCCTCTTTTCCAACGAAGTAGCAGATTGGATTAAAAGGTCACTAAAATTCAAAATACAACATACGGCTTTCCTGAAACATAACTTTTAGTAAGATCTATAGGTGATACATCTTGTTTAGCATAGGCTTCTGAAATTTGTAGAGTTTAGGTCCTCAGATTAGTTAGGTCTTCAAATTTCTAGCATGATCGTCTTTATTGAATGTTCTATGTCCCAACAAAGATAACGAACGTCGAGTGTGCAAGTCATACCAAAAGATGTAACTTCCGAATACTATGAATTTTCCTGCGACAATTTTATGCTGAATAGTTGATTACTATGCTGCATCTTGTTGTCAGGCAGGTTGTTGCTTGTGATAGCTAACGCACAGCTGTCTGTCAACGAATAAACATTTATAATATTTAGTATAATGCTTCACCGAAGTAGAAAACTATGACTACTACGTATCATTTATCGGATCCTTTGCAGTCAGCTTCGCCCTACGATCCAAGCTTTAAAGGTAAGGATGAAAATTGACATTCTCAATAAGTAGCGCAGAGTTACGAGAATTCTATACTTTGCATTCAGTCGTATAAATTATACACATCATGAAACTACAGTGCATGGAATAGTGGAGTTCAATCATGGATAATATAATTAGCTTCATTCTACAATAATTTTTATTAGAAAAATTTTCATACAAAATTTTCATGTTATTGATTCAGTTTTCTCCGTCATTCAGATCAAAGCTAATTCTACCAACCAAAAAAGTATTCCGGAAGCAAGTTAGCTACGTATTTTGAAAACGACATGCACCACATTTAACGCACCTTGCAGCGCAATGTTCTACTTCCTAAGTTGGGGACTGTAAATGCTACGTAAAAAATACAAGCACAATAATATAAGTACAAAGACATGATTGCATTGTGTTCCATCACACTGTTAAATGCTATTCACTGATAGCTATATGAATATCCAGCAATCCTTATGAGAGCTATTTCTGAAAAATACGTAAAAATTATTATTTCAGTGGACGTTCAGTTGGATGCACCGTTACGGAAGGTGTCATTATCTCTTAAAGACGTCTCCGTAGAAATTATGACAATTTGCTCACAATTGGAATCTCTCTGCAAACAATACACTGTACGGTATTTGCAAAGCTGTCAGACAGTGTCATAAACACCAAGAGTCGCTTGTGCTGCAAGTGCTGCATTGTGCTTTATTTCTCTCATAGACTAAAACTGCAGAGATTAGCCCTAAAAACAAAAACAAATATCACAGCTCATTTGAAGCAGAAGGTAAATAAAACAACATCAGTAGAGCGTTGGTAGGTAAGAGATTTATAACAAAAATATATTTATAGTGCACGTATAGATAAACGATGATAGGTTGCTGCAAAAGTCTTTGCGTCTTTATATAAAATATTACCAGTCATTCATAGGTGTGCGGGTTGGGGAGCGTAGGCTCTACTCCCAATATTGGGAAAAGGGCGTTTTTATGGGGGGGGGTAGTCGGCAAATTACACAGATTTGAGAAATTAATAGCAGGGCGGTTTTATACTTCGTCCATTTAAAACCTTTTTGAATACCTCCCCCCTCGCTAGGGATAGAACTTCGTGTACGCCTATACTTTTTGTAACTTTTCTATTTCATCCTAAGTTGGAACAATCAGGAGCGTAAAGTCGTTTGTGAAATAACATTGTATTTTTAAAGCACGATTTGCATGGTGGAAAATGGAAGAAAACCTATATTTCTTACCCACACCACAGCCGACATTGAAAGTAAGAAGCGATACAGAGTAAAAATATTTAAAAAATATTTATAAGTATAAATGAAAAAACAGGCAAATTCGTTTTTATTTCAGGAGTATCTGGAAAAAAGTGGTTTAATGTACCTATTTCCTCGAGTAATGTCTTACATCATTAATCCTGACGGTCCTAGTTTCTTTGGTCAAGAAAGCCTCCTTCAAGGTATGAAACATTACAGTCTTCAGTTAAAATTTCCCCATAAACGTGGGATTGCCTTAATATAATATCATATCAAAGGATTTCAAAGCATAGGTTAAAGTACATCTATCCTGGTCAATGAACTTTATCCGAAATACGCAACAAATAAATATTTTTTTGTTTTATTTAGAACATTTTAACACTCCTGGGGTACTGAACCAAATTATTACTTTATCAAACCAGCTGAGCAACGTTGCATTTAATGGTAGCAATCACAAATACATGGCTCATCAATTAGCATTGCTTTATGTAAGTGTGTAAACACAAACTCAAATGTTTAGTTTATCAAAGGCTTTGAAAGCTTTTAAAATCTTCACTATGTGATCACGCATAGTAGTCGATATTCTTTTTATTCAGTTTTTTTTTATCTTCATTATGTCGGCCTGAAAGATCTGTTTAATGATTTGAATATTTGGCATGAAAACATATCATAAGCCAATTCAAGCAAGAAGTTAAACCTGTGTGTGTTCTTGCTATAAGTGACACCTAAACTCCAAAAATCGTGAGTGTTCGGATGCCCAGACACCCATGTCTTCTCAAGCTCTTGATGTTTATTAAAACTAAGAAGCAGGAAGACGTTTTTACATGTTTCACATACATAGCAGATGGATTGAAAGTTGACACAGCTTACTGCTATTGATGCAGTAATGACAACATAATAAACTGACTGCGAAACTTCAATAGCGTAAAATCATAATTTATTATTTTGCTAGCAATCAATCAATCAGATACACTGTCCAACGTTACACGAACAAAAAATAGAAGTAAAAAACAATTTCAGAGAGTTCAAGTCAAAACTTACAGTAAAAGACAAAGAACGAACATCAAAGTTGCCCGAGGATGAAAAGGAATGGTACGTGAGCATATTAATGTACACATCGCTTGAAACTTCCACTATGTTGTCGTTAGCCAGTAGCTCATCTTATGTACCAGATGTATGGATTTACCAAAGCATAACCTCGTATCCAGGACTTGCACGCACAACTCTAAGATCATGAAAAATTCTACATACACTGAACGAAACTAACGCAGCTTATTATGACAAAAAAACTGCAATAAGTTCAACAGCAATAGAAAATCGTTTGTCGTCAAGCTGCTCATGTAACAGCATCAATAAAAACACGCATGCCAAATGAAATTTTTGCTTTTTAGGGTAAAGAAAATAAAGAAGTCTATCCTGGATGAACACCACAAGTTTCTACGATGAGTTCACTTGTTTAGTGCCGAATTCCATCATTTTCTTACAAAATTTGAAATGAAACACAATTGAGTATTTTCTTTATGTAAAGTTCACCTCAGTAATTTATACATTATATACAAAGTATTCACGTCAATTTTACTTCACAATCGGTCAAAAAAATCTTTTCGACTCAATAATTCTGAGGCTGATTGCATATAAATAAAGCAAACCTTTGAAATCAATTTTTCAAATTGTTATGGACAGTATTAGATAACGAGATGGTAATTGGTAGCTATAAAGAACAGTTATTTTATGTAACAGATAGAGCAACAGAATCCATAACTGGACAAAACAATAGTAAACAAACACTGCATAATTAAACCTTCTCTAATTTAGCTTATCTTGTCTTCATGGCACTCAAATGAACATTGAATGAACAATTATAAAATAAAAACAACAAAACGCGTGCGCTGATTGGTCTATAGCTGTTTTTACATTTTTGCAAAGCAGAGCAAAACAGAGCTGAGCTGAACAAATCAAATCAATCAAACCAATGAAATCAATCAAAGATCTATCAAAGAGAATTTGAAAATCGATCATGAATACATTTTAGAGGAAAAATTAAAAATTGCACGAAACACGATCCGAATGTTGACTGCACATTTATAGGCAAAAATCGTCTTTGTTTCAAAATTTTCTTGACAACAATTTCAATTTCTGTGTTTGGATGGTCTGATCCAAACACGGGGCATCGACCAATCAGAGCGCACGTGTTTTATATTTTATTGTAAATCAGCGTTTACTGAATACTCTAGAAAAAGCTTGCTGTTTTGTACCAGAAAGGTCGTCGAAGTGGAGAGCATGCGCAAGAAAATAATGATCAAATGACGGTAAGTTGAAACCATTGAACCAATAAAGAACAATTATTAAAATTCACAGTCAAAATACAAAAAGTGCCCACTTCCGCTTCTGTAGCCTTTTGCGATTTAAATGTTAATCACAGTAACGTTTTTACAAATACAGAAACGATTTCAGCAACAACAACGTGACTTCATAATGACTAAAACGAAATGGCACATGTCACGCTAATCTAATGAGTCCAATCTATAGAATTGTCCTTTGAGTGTGACCAACAGCGTGACCAAGTTGGCTAAGGATTTGACGTATTAGACTGGCGAAATGACTTTGCAAAGCAAATCGTTCAAAATTATAAAGGGAAACGTGGCATTGCAGGAAATGCAGCTAAGCTCTTTCACTGGGTTTATTTATGGTATATTTTTGAGAACTGCCAGAAAGATTATGGAAGTTGGGTATGCGCAATAAATACATGACGGCAAGTTGAAACGTAAGTGGCATTTTGTTTACAAAAGACTTATGTACACAAATATAGGAAAGATGCTGTTTGCTTATCATATAGCTCTGTTGACTTTTGCATACACTTGTAATTCTGCAAATATTCTTTACATTGGATACCCATCTTACAGCCATATTATTGGACCAGCCAATGTTGCAAAACTATTAAAATATCAAGGACATAATGTTCGTATTGCGGCTCCGACTTATCTTACAGACAGGCTGAGTGAATTTGGAGTTGGTTTACTGTTGTATCACTGTTTTGATGGCACGAACGAAGATCCGATGACGAAGATAAATACAAAAAATGTGTTTAAGAAAATCTCGCTGCTTGAAATGATATTTCACAGAGATGAAGCATTGAACAAACTTGTGGACATAAACTCGAAAATATTGAAGGATGACCGCTTTATAGAGGAAATAAAAAATTTTAAGCCAGAACTAATTTTACTAGACTTCTCTGCCACTTCGTTTATGCTGGTCCTTATACCTTACAAGTTCAACGTTTCTTTTATAATGATAGGTGACAGAGATTATCCTCAAATCACACGAACTCCAATTTTACCCACTGTCTTTCCTCACCTTGTACTTCCGTACACGAATCAAATGAACTTTCTACAGCGTTTACTGAATACGCTACTAAATTTGTTGGGGTATTGGGTACACCCAATAAACAATCCATCATTGTTATCAGAATTCATTCCCGAAAAACCGTACGTTTCCCCAATGGAGCTACAAACTAGAGCTCAACTGTGGATAATTTGGCAACAAAGCGTGTTCAGTTATAATGAGCCAATGATGCCCAACGTGAAACGTGTCGGCCATCTACATAATCCCAGTCTCAGAGAACTTCCAATCGAGTTCAAAACCTTCATGAATGAGGCGGAATATGGCGTGGTGATCGTTTCATTCGGATCAGTTCTAGCATCTGTGCCATCAGAAATAATGGGAATATTATTAAAAGCCTTTGAACGAACGAAATACAAATATATCATACAAAGTCCATGGCAAAACAACACATCATCTCAGTTCATGTTCAATAAATGGCTTCCACAGTTTGATCTTCTTCGTCATAAAAATACAAAACTTCTCATTTCTCACTGTGGCAGTAACAGTATTCAAGAAGCAATAATTGCAGGTGTTCCTATACTAGGTTTTCCAGTATTTGGTGATCAACCAGCTAATGCTGCCATGGTTGTAAATCAAGGTTTCGGAGCGATGCTAAACCTAGGTTCGTTTTCTATTGACGAACTAGTTTCAACAATTGAAAAAGTAACAACAAATTTGAAGTACAGGAAGAAAATTCAGAAAGCTTCTGCGATTTTGAGATCTGAAAGATCACCTACTGAAGAGGCAGCTTACTGGATAAATCATGTTCTTATGTTTGGTGGTGATCACCTTAGATCATATGCTCAAGATATCCCTTTATGGAAGTACCTTGGTTTGGACATTATCGTCTTTTTTCTGATAATATGGCATGCATGCATCTATTTACTTGTTAAATTTTCCAAAAAGATGTTTCTTCTTTGTTTTCGATACAAAGAAAAACATGACTAACGAACAAAAACGACTTAATCATTTATTCACACCTAATTTGTGCATAATCAAGATCGTGGCCCGAGATTTTCCAGGTGTAAAGCAGCGAATGTTCATTATGAGTATATGATAGCCCATCAGAAGACTTTTTATTGAGCCATTACGACAGCAATTTAAAAAATAAATGTCATCATTATTGAAAGTCTTATGTTGGGCTATTAAGTTGAAAAGCAACCTCATAAATCATCTTTTGTAATTCGGATTTGTTAAAAATTGCAATGAAAATAATTTATCACGCGTGTATTTGTTTTTTATTAACCAACAAGAACAATGTCTCAATCACGGCTTTAATTGTCAGCTGACGCCCAAAAATATGGAAGAATTGAGCTATTTCCGCTGAGATTTAACGAAGATGACTGCTTTGCAAAATATTTTACAGCTTCTCACTCCCCACATGTGTGTATTTAGGAAGCAATTTTAGGATGAAAATCAAAAAACCGAAAATTGAATTTATGGCCACACAGCGTGTACATACGTCATCGTTTTGTACATTCTTAGCAAACACATGTTCAAATGAGACACACCTTACTCATTACCGACATTTACAAAACAGGTAGGTTATATTATATTTATCATTTCCCAAGGTATCTCAAATCCTAATGTTGCACATTAAGGAGAAAATGAGCGTTTGTTTTACTGCGTTGTTGAACAACGATGTCCGCCATCTTAGAACAAGAAATCGCTACGCTTGCACATATAGCCTCGGAAATATCACACAAGAAATAAGTTATCATCTAAAGAAGTCTTTGAAAAAATGTGAAATGAGTGCACCAGCTTAAAATTGTCAGCACAAAGAAAAACATAAAAAATCTATGTGATAAAAAGACGGTTTATAAAACATCCAGAAGTATATTTTTAAAAATATCCCAAAGTATTCACATATCAACCTTTTCAAACTATTATTTCACCAAACAAACGAAAAAAGGGCATTTTGCCTCTGCTTGATTGAACCAAAAATCATCAATACCATGCTCCAAGTATATTTTTCTACTTCGGTAATTGCTAAGTCAGCCGTTAGTCCTGATCCATTGTGGAAAGTTGTGATTATGAGCGTCTTAGTCGTCTATATTTCTGTCCAGAAGCCTTCTTGTCTGCGTCATTACCATGGTCATTACTTGCAATGAGTACAGATTTGGAGCCTTGCCATACTGTATGTACAGTATACTAAAACAGTAGTAGTACAACGCTGAGTTAGCAATATTTCACAACTACAACTAAAAGACGTCGAGTGCACTGCAAACAGCTGTGAATGTTGGACATGATTAATAAAAAGCAAAGCTCAAAAATTGAAAAAATGTACTCATAGCTCAACAAATGGCATAACATAAGAAAGCAAACACGACATCTCAGATACCATCTATCAAAATTATAGTTTAACATTGAAATGCAAATCGCTCTAGTTAGTTTGAAGCAACATTGATAGAATAATTCATACAATATGCATTTCTTATCTTATCGAAACAAAAAAGGCAACGTAGAAACACAACTATCCTGAGCAGTATTTGAAGTAAATTTCGAGTAATAAACTCAAACTGAAAGGAAATGTAGCTTTGAAATTCAACTGGTACCAAATACTTATCTCACATATACTGAATTACAAGTCGCCAAAACTAAAAATTCCGTATGTGATCGTCTTGTTTTTCTTTCTCTCGTTCTTATTTGCCTGTTCTGTTCTCTTCGCAGCATTTGGACGATTAAAAACCGACTTTAACAATTTGCAATGGAATTTCGCCTTATTACATGAGAGTTTTCTCCATTTAGCAGCAAAAAAGTAATTATACACCAAGAAGCAAGTGCAAATGATATTAATTTGAGTTAGCACTATTCTTGATATACATAACGCAAAAAACTCGTCATCCGAGTGAGCAACTTCAGCAAACTTTGTGGTTCGCCATTGCTTACCAAGTGTAGGGTGAAAGACCTTTCACCCGACGCTACATAATTGGTTGAGAGCAAGATTCTCTTTGCTTTACTTTGTCTATGATGTAAAAACATAACATTGATTTCACTTCTCTCTGATCATATACTCAAGATAAAATAATCGGTTTTTCTCTTTAATGTGCAAGTTATACGATTGACGTACATGCTAAAGTTGATAAGTACTACAACAGCAACATGATGGTTAAGAAAGTTTTTGGTTCCTCGATGGACGCATGAAAAATTCACAATTTTCGAAGTGGGCCCATGGCTTAAGAGGTTAAACTTTTTTTGAGCGCTCAGTCTCAAACAGTAAAAAATTTCCCACGGAAAAATATACCGCCAGACCAATGCGACAGACAACAACAAATCGACATTTCACAATGATTTCACTAGTTTATATGTCAGGGGAGGGACTGGGCCGAGTCATGTCTCGAATAGTCGATAAGTGCGCAGCCACCAATGGGTGCCACGCTGATGCGTGCAGCAAAGATATATTGGCTTCGCTCGGATCGAACAACAGACGGAAACATGCTTCATATATTCTAAGTTCCAAATTGTCGGTATGGAATGTAAAAACTAACATATAGTGCGACATTTTGACTTCTTCATAACGACTAAAACGAAATGGCACATGTCCCGCTAATCTAATGAGTCCAATCTATAGAATTGTCCTTTGAGTGTGTGACCAACAGCGTGACCAAGTTGGCTACGGATTTGACGTATTAGACTGGCGAAATGACGTTGCAAAGCAAATGGTTCAAAATTGTAAAGGAAACGTAGCATTGCAGGAAATACAGCTGAGCTCTTTCAGTGGGTGTATTTATGGCAGTTGGGCATGCGCAATAAATACATAACGGAAAGTTGAAACGTAAGTGGCATTTTGTATATTAAAGACTTATATACACAAATCTAGGAAAGATGCTGTTTGCTTATCATATAGCTCTGTTGACTTTTGCATACACTTGTAATGCTGCAAATATTCTTTACATTGGATACCCATCTTACAGCCATACTATTGGACCAGCCAATGTTGCAAAACTATTAAAATATCAAGGACATAATGTTCGTATTGCTGCTCCGACTTATCTTAAAGACAGGCTGAGTGAATTTGGAGTTGATTTACTGCTATACCACTGTTTTGATGACTTAAAGGAATACCCTGATACAAAGAACATACTGTCAAAACAGGGCTTTTCGCCGATTAAAATGACACTGACAGGAGACGAATTAACCAAGAAACTTTTGTACATAAGCACAAAAATCTTGAAAGATAATTACTTTGTGAAGGAAATAAAAAAATTCGACCCGGAGTTAATTTTACTGGACTCCTCAGTTCCTGCTTTTATGCTGGTCCTTATACCTTACAAGTTCGACGTTCCTTTTATAATGATTGGTGAAAAAGATTACCCTCATCTCACACGAACGCCTATTGTACACACTGTCTTCCCTCAAATCATATTTTCATCGTACACGGATCAAATGAACTTTCAACAGCGTTTACTGAATACTCTACTAAGTTTGATGAGGTATTGGATACACCCAATGAATAATGTATCATTGTTATCAGAATTCGTTCCCGAAAAACCGTACGTTTCCCCAATAGAGCTACAAACTAGAGCTCAACTGTGGATAATTTGGCAACAAAGCGTGTTCAGTTATAATGAGCCAATGATGCCCAACGTGAAACGTGTCGGCCATCTACATAATCCCAGTCTCAGAGAACTTCCAATCGAGTTCAAAACTTTTATGAATGAGGCGGAATATGGCGTTGTGATCGTTTCATTTGGTTCAGTTATAGCATCTGTGCCATCAGAAATAATGGGAATATTATTAAAAGCCTTTGAACGAACGAAATATAAATATATCATACAAAGTCCATGGCAAAACAACACATCATCTCAGTTCATGTTCAATAAATGGCTTCCACAGTTTGACCTTCTTCGTCATAAAAATACAAAACTTCTCATTTCTCACTGTGGCAGTAACAGTATTCAAGAAGCAATAATTGCAGGTGTTCCTATACTAGGTTTTCCAGTATTTGGTGATCAACCAGCTAATGCTGCCATGGTTGTAAATAAAGGTTTCGGAGCGATGCTAAACATACGCTCGTTTTCTATTGAAGAACTAGTTTCAACAATTGAAAAGGTAACAACAAATTTGAAGTACAGGAAAAAAATTCAGAAAGCTTCTGCGATTTTGAGATCTGAAAAATCACCTGTTGAAGAGGCAGCTTACTGGATAAATCATGTTCTTATGTTTGGTGGTGATCATTTTAGATCATATGCTCAAGATATCCCTTTATGGAAGTACCTTGGTTTGGACATTATCGTCTTTTTTCTGATAATATGGCATGCATGCATCTATTTACTTGTTAAATTTTCCAAAAAGATGTTTCGTCTTTGTTTTCGATACAAAGAAAAACATGACTAACGAGCAAAAACGTCTTAGTCATTTATTCACACCTAATTTGTGCATAATCAAAATCGTGGCCCGAAATTTTCCAGGTGGAAAGCAGTGAATTTTCATGAGTATATGATAGCCCACCAGAAGACTTTTTATTGAGCCATTACGACAGCAATTTAAAAAATGTCCAAAAAGATGTTTCTTCTTTGTTTTCGATACAAAGAAAAACATGACTAACGAACAAAAACGACTTCGTCTTTTATTCACACCTAATTATGTGCATAATCAAAATCGTAGCCCGAGATTTTCCAGGTGGAAATCAGCGAATTTTCATTATGAGTATATGATAGCCCATCAAAAGACTTTTTATTGAGCCATTACGACAGCAATTTAAAAAATAAATGTCATCATTATTGAAAGTCTTATGTTGGGCTATCAAATTGAAAAGCAACCTCATAAATCATCTTTTGTAATTCGGCAGAGGCAGCTTACTGGATAAATCATGTTCTTATGTTTGTGGTGATCACCTTAGATCATATGCTCAAGATATCCCTTTATGGAAGTACCTTTGTTTGGACATTATCGTCTTTTTTCTGATAATATGGCATGCGTGAATCTATTTACTTGTTAAATTGTCCAAAAAGATGTTTCTTCTTTGTTATTGATACAAAGCAAAAAATGACTAACGAATTCACACCTAATTAAGCGCTTATTCAAAATCGTTACCAGATTTTTGCCAGGTGGAAAGCGAATTTTCTTTATGAATATATTATAGCCCAACATAAAACTTTCAAGAGAACCATTGCAACAATAAACTACAAAAATAAAATGGTTTTTATCAAAAATGAATTAATAAACGTCATCATTAAAAACACACTTTATTTTATACAATTTATTGTCGCACAATGGCGACATTATAAGTTTTAAAGAGCAACCTCATAAATCATCTGTTGCCGAATTCGGATATGATGAAAAAAGCCAAGAAAATAATGTATCACGCGTGTATATATTTGATTACTATATTTACCAAGCGTCAAGTGAAGCGCCAGACCGAAGTGTCAAGTGTTTACATACAGCTCGGGCCCTGTACGGAGAAGTTTGTTTTATCATCACCATTCACCCTCTTTTGAAGCGATCCTGTGTTTTTCTTCCAATTTTTTAGATTTTTTTCTTTGCAAATCTGGTGTTCTTATGACTTTAGTAACGTTTTTTTAACTTTTAACTTTTTATAGTGCCTATATCACGTTTTTGCATTTCTGCCATTTAGATAGTTCAGGCTACTTTAAAAACTTTTGTAATATATTTTATAGTTCGAAAATATGATTTTGCTGGATATATTCGCACTCCAAGTTGAAAAATTGACCATTTTCATTGTTTGACCGCCAGTATAAAAAAGCTGATAACTAATGTCATTTTTGACGTCACATCGAAAATTCGTCTGTTGTATTTTGTTTAAAATGGTTTTGAACGTCTACGACACAAGATGCCATACACATGGGTAATGTAACAATATAGCTATGCTTTTGAGAAAATTATGTTTAAAATACAGTGTTTTCTTAAAACGTGTTCCCGATATGACGTCAGATGTAGACTCTCTAGTTTTTTTAATGATACGATCAGGCAAATAATCACCGACTTTGAGCTCTAAAATATGCACGAAAATCAAATTTTCGAATTATAAAATATATTGACAATATGTTTAAAATTTTCTAATTTATCTACATAGCCTAACTGCAAAAACATGATATAGGCACTTTAAGCAATTGCCTTCGTAAGCAATGTTTAATACACTAGTGAAACAAAAATGAAGTGGCAAATAGCCAGATGTTTTCGATATTAAGCCAATATAGAACCACAGTATAGGAATATACATTAGGGCCACTTCGCTGTGCAACTGGCTGCTGTATATTTAACTAGTTTACTGACTGCCATTTGCCATATTGTCAATCCTATTGGTCACACAATGCAATTTACTGGCTGCCAATATGGTAATCACATTCGTAATAAGATATGCGTGGCACGAAAAAATTCAATGGAGTGGCCCTACTATATGTTTCCTATACTGTGATATAACATAGAAAATGTAATAAAAAATAACAGTAAGAATGAAAAACAAGTAGTGTCAGAGTGTTGTTCTCTCAACAATATATGTGTTCTAAGTAACAATGAATTTTCAAACTTTTCGGTTAAATTTTGGAATACATTGCAAAAATTTAATATGGTGTTGTATTTTTTAAAAAACACTTTGGGTTTTTCCCATTTTTCTTGCATTATAGTAATAATAAAGGTATTTCGTAATTATTCAATAAATGCACTTAATGAAATGAAGATAGTTCCTCTTCTTTATTATAATTTTTATTAAGTATGTAGAATGTAAATTTCTCTAGGCACAAAACAGTTCTTTACTGTTAAAATGGTAGAGAGCTTCAGGATTCACATTCGTGCCCATAAAAATACACATTAACATCAAACACTGAAAAAATTCCACTTCATTTGGAACATGTACACTTCTATTGGTTATTTTTTTTTGACATTTTTATTCAACTCACTCATTTTTTCATCTTGTTGTTTCTCCCCCAGCAATCTGATGTTATGCTGTTCTTTGAAAACATTGAGTTCATCCGATTTTGTTTTCAGTTGATCATTTAAGTTTTGAACAAGTCCTTTAATCTGGAGCATTAGAATAACAAAAATAAAAATTGTTCCAAGCAAATTGTGCTCTCTGATGAAGTCATCCACATATAAGCATATCACCTACATGTAGCTAGATGACTTCATCATATACTTCATACTACATCATAAATTTACCTTATCTCTGTTACTAACTAACGCAGGAAGAACATCTTTAACAGTTCTCTCAACCAAGACTCCCCCAACCAAACGAAAACATTTTCGGTCAGGTGCAATAATTTTTAAATTCTCAATCACCATACTGAAAGAAAGCATCGGTTGTTTGGTATGAAACTGAAGAAAATATATGATCATAGTTTATAATAGCTCTTCAAAAAATGAGTACAAAACAATTGTAAAATAAGCTGCAACAAAGACTATTTCACTGAATTTTGACACATACATTATATAAAGAGATTAAGAGAAATGCTGGTTGAATTTCAATAAAAATCGGAGAAAACTGCATGTTTTTTTACAACATTACTTTTCCTAGAGTAGTAGCCCGGTAGATGGTATAATTAGTATTTATTTGCCTCCATGTCAATTTTCATTGTAAAGAATTTTACAAATATTTAATAGATCCAGACCAATATAGCAGCCCATGTAATCAACACCTTGAAAAATCAATGAAGTCGATGCGCTATACTTTAGGAGAAGAAATACTTGTAAAATCAAGGTTCACTTAAGTCTTTTAAATAGATAAGACATGTGCAAACAACCTAAAGAAAGTATATTTCGAACAATGAGCAGTACCGTACCTATGCTCTGAATAATCCATTTCTAGTTCACCGATTTTGGAAAGAAAAGCTCTCTGCTCTTGACGCAGTTGGTTAAATTGAGCATTTATTTGTTCTGGCGTTAAATCTTCGTTGTTTTTCTTTTTCTCACTACTTCTAGCAGCCATGTTGTTCAGCGTGTCCCACTCACTGATCTAATGAAGAACTGGATAGCGGATGTCCAATGAACACAATGGCAATGTTACGGCGTACTACCAAATAATTCCGTGTTCTACACAGGGTTGTCATAATGACATTATTTTTATTCACCGCCATCCATTGACACGTAATGTAACCAACTGCCATTCACTGTGTCATTTTTCTCGACCTACTAGCGTGATAACAAACAACTAGCATCTACCATCAGTCTGTCATCTCCCTAATTTATACCATGTGATTTTTTAAAAAACCTTATTTGAAATTTACTGCACGTTGCTTCCTTATAATTGATTTCCTTACAAAGATTTCTTGTTAATATTGAACTGCTGTTTGAATGAACCGGGGATTGAACAAAGGGGATTTTCGAAACTCAAAAGAAGTGATTTTTTCATTTGGAAATATTTTTTAAACATTTGCCCTGGCATGCAAAGATGGCAGTGTATTCCGGTTAAATGGTCCAATAGAAATAAGAATAGCAGAAAGCGATAAAGGAAGAATCTCAAATTCAAATCTAAAGTCCCATTCATTAACTGTTTTCCATTTACACTTACTTCGATGTCAACGATGAAGAAATCGTCTGAAGAATATAATTTAATAGATAAGCATTTAAAAAAGACGACAAATTTTTTTTTTGATAAACATGTTTCGACTTACATTCAATGACATTCATGTAAGTCGAAACATGTTTATCATAAAAAAATTTTGTCGTCTATTTTAAATGCTTAGTCAATCTGGTGCTTCTGAGATCATACGACAATTTAATAGACTATAATATACTATAATAGACTATAATAGACTATAATATATTCATAGAGGGAAGAAAAACTCGGAAATTGAATAACTTACTTTTTATGAATGGCTATAAAACAGTGCAAAAATCAGGGTGAGAGAAACAACTTCTTTAGATAGTTAAATTGACTAAGAACATTAGCGCTATATTTAATAGGTCGAGATCTTATCCTCATGGACTTTTTAGGCACAGAACTAGGTGTCTCTGGACCGGAAGTGATAAAAAAAAATGAAGATGCTAGTCTCGTGAAGCATAAACACCGTATGATAATATTGAATTTTAGTGAGAAATAGCGTCCGAACATTTATGTTTTACACATTTTTTCTTTGATTACTCGCTCAAAACACAAGCGGGTTTTTAAGATTTCTTATAGTAGCTTTATACTTTACTTTAAACCTGTATTATGAAGCTATACCTTCAATGCATGTGATGTTTTCTCCTTATTACGTCACATCAGGTGCAGAGTCGCCTACTTCTGGGCCCAAAAAAATCCCACGAGGATAAATTTTTGTTCTACAAAATATATTGCAAATTTTATATATTCTGTTGAACGAAATGACCCTGGTCACAAAAAATAGCCAATGTACATACAGATGACTAGCATCAGTAGATCCGCTCGGATGAAGCATATAATTTCATGATGTTTAACAAGGTTTAACACAGGATCATCCAATTTACTCACTTCGACCAAATACGCGCCTAGTCATTCCAGCTTCTAGATATTCAATCAGTTAATTCTGCAAGAATGGCGTCAATATTCCTATAGTGAAGCGCAAGACATGCGTTTAAAATAAGCCAAAAACATTCGCTCGTGATTTTCTTTTGCAATAACTTACTTTAAATGTGTTTCATAAAACTTCGCTTGCTGACGAAGCTGTATCAAAATATCATCATCTGGAAACAGGACTTCCCTTGTTTCTACTACAAGAGAACAGCAAGAAATGTATGTATGTTTGAAGAAGGGCAGCCTTTAAAATTTATTCTATCGTTAGTTTTGCAAATTCGACAATTCACGTCATCATAAAATGTGTAAACTGTCTTAAAGGAAAAGGGCAATATATATTTTTTTGACTATAAATAAACTTTTACCATATAAATTATGAAAAATCAAAGTAACTCGTATTCTTCGACTATTTGGCTCATAGAAAATTAGAATTTTATTCATGTTTATTTTACTCCTTGTCAGCAATTTTGTTTTTACTTCGAGAAAATTATGAGGCATGTTTGTGACGTCACAACCAGGTGTTTATGTCATTTTAAAACATGGCGATTTCGAAACTGCACAGTTTTCAAGAAACTGTCATAGAAAATACGGTAGCTCGACTTAATGTATGAACAAAGCCACAGTATAGAAACAAACAGTAGTCTCACTCTACTGTGCATCTTGGTGCTGTATCTTTAATTAGATTACTGGCTGCAGCTAGCCATCTCTACCACCTATTGGCCGAAAAAAGCAATTGACTGGCTGCCACTATGCTAATCACATGCGTAATAAGATATGCGCTACACAAAAAATTTCTATACATTGGGACTACTGTTTTTTTCTATACTGTGACAAAGGTGCGCGAGGCCGTGGTATTGAAACGATAAATAAAAACGTTGTTCTTTTCCTATAGAAAATCTAGTTAAAGCATAAATATTGCCTTATTACTGAAAAAAAGAGATGTTGGGTATGATGTAAGATGTATGAAAGATGTTTTACGTGTGGCGTCAAAGAAGCCATGTTGGTAATGCAAACGCTATACGGATTTCTTCTCTCATTCATTATAAAAATTGCTCACCAGTGACTTTCTCGTGAACGTCATTGTTACACTCCTCTATTGTGCTGCAATCACTTCGCTGTGAAGACGACAGAGAAGAAAAGAGACGCTCCGAGATTACCTGAAACAATATTAAGAACACATCACACAAACAGTAGGCCTGAAAATGTGAAAATCTGCAAAACATAAAACTATAGCTCACCTGGCCGATTATTGTTCCAATGACGCCATCATTTTCTGATTGTAACGCAGTGTCAGTAGTTGACGATTGCACCGATGTTTGTGGCAGAGAGTAGCGACCACTGTCCTTTTCTTTAATGCAGGTATTACGATTACTCTTCTCGTCACAGTTCACAGTGGCATGCTCTTCATTTCTGTGATTGACAAGCTCGTCATTTCTTAAGTTAACATCTGCCTTTTTGTTAGGAACATTTTCGAGATCTTTTTTACACAACGTTTGATTCTCATATGATTTATTTTTTACATTGGACAAACCATTCATTTCCACTCTTTCTGAGCTAGCCTGTCTGTCTTGTGAGTTCCACGCGACGTGCACTCCAAAGGTATTGCTGGCTGAGCTAGCCATGTCTGTTTCGTGCGTTCCACGCGACGTGCACTCCAAAGGTATTGCTGGTCTCAATTTGTCATCAGGATGAACTGGCTGAGCAACCTTTTTTTCCTCATTCAAGTCTTTTAATTTCGAAACTGCACTATTTTGCACGCATACAATATTTTCTGAGCTTTGCAAATTATTTTCACCTCGTTTACCAATATTCAGTGAAGAAGCATGCAAGTCACCATCTTCTTTATCAAAGATTTCTGTTTGAGTTTCTTTTGTAAGATAAGCGCGATCAACAGCACAATTTTCTTTCACACAAGGCATAACATCACATAGCATGTGAACATGAGAGGGAATGTTTTCCTTGTCAATGAAACAAACGGCAGGTACATTTTTTTCGAGAGGGTCATGTTCAGCGTCAACACATCGACGTTTACTTTCATTCCCTTGACTCCATGATACATTATTTTTCCTTGCCATTATTTGATTGTGAGTGAGAAATGTCTGATCTTGGGGGCGACTTTCATCATGAACGTGACAATTAGCACTATTTGGAATGATCATTTCACTATTCTGTTTTACATTATTTCCACTAAATGAATGATGCTTCTGCAATGACAAACAGTCATTGGCCACCCGACTTGAATAATCTTCAAATTTGCGTGCGTGAAAGCCCTTCACTAATTGCTTGGCCTTTTCAAGTCTCCTCGATAGCCTCCATTGATAAAGAATATCATCTTCGGGAGCAAGATGAGACATTCCTTTAGGTTTTCTTGATTGACTGGCTTCTTCTATTACTTTGTCTCTATCTACCATCCACTTTGATGAGAGTTTGGGAACGGATTTAAAAGAGGGTTTTGTATCTTCGCTAGTAAAATGAGAAAACCGCGAAAGAATTATGAAGAGATATACTGTAATTCGAACGTCGGTTTAGCCGAGGCTGGCAAATTTCAAACCTTTTTTCGATTGAACGGTTGGTACGAGCACTCAGATTCGTGGACTTGGTATTTTTTGCAACGCCTTTGGCCGGAGGAAGAATATGATCACGGTGATAAACATACGCCTAAAAAAGTGACGAATAGCAAGCGTTACATTAAATCTACTTTCTTATTGCACTCTGTGTATGCGTGTCGGTCACCATGCAAATCAAATCACTCAGTTCGCCATTGGAAAACGTTTGACGAAAAACATATCTTTATGATATATTCAAAGCAAAAACTGCACGTGCAATGTTGAAATGAGCTTAGCTACTTAACCTGTTAATTAACTTACAAAGTTAAATTTCATCTTAATGCAACCTTAGCTACACGTATTTAATATCCTAACCCTCCTGTCAATTTCCTAGAAGGCAGAAAACCCGAGAACCATATAACTTTACATTTTGCAATGTGTTGCAGTCTTTCTTGCAAACGAAACTATTTGTTGCCTTTACAATGGATTTAAGTTTAAAATGTGTACGTAATACAGCTGTACACAACAATGTCAAATCACATAAAGCATTAGCTTTTGTTACGTAATACAGAGAAAATACATAAGTTTCGTACCTGCACAGGTGGTGAAGTTGATGATGAATCTTGATAACTATCACCACTGCGACCACTGAAATTTATTGTGCATGCATCTGAGGTTTCTTTTGGAGTTGAAGTACTACTGGGTGGCGACAACCACCAAAACTCTCCATGAGATTTTGGGAGATACCGATCTTTCCGGCTGGTTGGTGCACCATGCCGAAATCTTTCAACAAATCTGAGGAAAATTGAAAACAAGTCGACTGAAGCATCTATATGTAAGAATGTGAGAATTTAGGTATGCAACTACTTTGGATTTGAGGTGAGTTTTCAATTTGTGAAAAGTATAATCAATCTCTTTAATGTGATATAAATGATTTTACACAGTTTGAACTTGTATTTCAAAATTATCATCTTGACATTTAACTTATTTTCAAGAGGCTTTTGGAAATCAAACCGCAAGTGAAGAGGAATTGTCAGGTAAGTTTTCAGACCTTTACCGCAGTATTTCAATATAGCCTTGAGAACTGAACTCCTCTCAAACACAAACAGTGTCACAATTGTCGACCTTTGGGACGCTGACCTGGTAGTGTCTGCACACCAGAGGTGTTCATTTCCGAAAGGTGTTAATATCCAATGTTGACTGTATAGGAAGCATTTCAAATATATATGTGTTTTCAATGAAAAATTACTTATCATTAAATTCTTTGTATAACTCACTTTGACAAGGTAGAATGTTTTGATGAACAATCTGTGGTAACGGCATGACTAGAGAAGGCTGCATGTTTTTCTTCTGCCTTTTTTTGCAAAGGCAAACTTGAAAGTGACTGTGGTGTAGTTTGAGACAAGTCTGACACATTTCTTTCCGTGCTGGGCCAGGTTTCATCAAATTTTGAACCAGATGAAAGCTCTTGCTCTGGTGCTGTGCCATCTTCTCTAGTTGGGATTTCTATTTTATTTGACTCATGCAAAAATTGCTCGCTATATTTTGAATTTTCTTTAGTAATTTCTTCACTTGTGCAACACAGTGGACTCAAACATGTCTGCATTGAACAAATATAAAAATACATCAATCAATTCCTTAAATAAAGCAACTTATGCACTTGTCTAATAATTCAGAATCAAACTTCTCTAGCTAGAAAACTTTGACTTGCCATTTTTGGTGCATTGCAAGACATTGTTTTAATCTGATGTACACAAATTAATATATATGCATCCAAAACAAGTTACTTCCCAACCATGAAATGGAGTCCCAAACCTAGATGCACCATGTGCAGTTACGGGTAGCAGATTCAGCAAAATAAATTATTACAACTCAAATTCAAATCAAAAATACCTTTACACCAATGTTATTGGTTAATAATTTGCATATAGTAAAATAGCAACAATTGAACTGCTAAACTAATCAGTTGTGAATTGTATATAAATCCAAGAATGAGCTAATTTATTTTGCCTATTACTAGATCGCACACTACCAGTTACCTTCTTTGCACTTCGTGAAAGTTCTTTTTCCAATGACGGTATGTAGTATGCCCTTGGTAAAGCATCGTCCTTGAATATATTTTCTCTAAAAAAGTAGCAATGCTATGGACATGCTAGAATACAAATAAAAAATTAACTTAGCCGCAAAAAAATCGCTTCTTGCAATGATTTTCTTTACAATGCGAAACCAAAACTGTTTGAAAATTGGAGTTAAGAGTTAAGATTTATAAACGGGCCAGAACGTCTTGTCAGTTGTCACAGGAACTGAAATATTTCATTTGCACAAGTGTCGTAATCCAGAACTAAAAATATTTAGTAAACTTACGATGCTTTATGAAACATTCCTCTCTCTAGAAGTCATCAAATTTGATTTTTTCCCCTAAACTTGATGAAATTTCGCCAACATGTGAATGCTCAATTACAATTTTTGAACTAAGCGCTTCGTCTTTACCAGCCATCTTAAGACGTCAGCTCACTGACCTCAACACAAAGAATGACTAACGGATGGATGACAAAGAAATGCATAGCACAAGACTACAAGAACGAAAGAATTCAAACTTCAAAGCAGATGATTCGAAGAACTTACCAAAGAAAAAGTCCACCCCCCTTCAGCAATCTTTTTGACGGCTTCATCTACAACCTAACATTTTTTAACCTGTGAAAATAACTATAATTTAGAAGTTAGTAGCATGAAGTATACTGAATTGTCAACACTCGACTTTCTATCGTTACAGACCCAGGACATACACAATTTTATAAATCGGATTGAGTCCCACTAGTCAGCTTTCCCATGTTGACGAAAGAAAAAAGGCAAAAAAATTAGTGATTTTATTTTCCCTATAATTCGTAAATTGATCTTTTTTCCACTTTACTTTACCTCTAGTGCAATATAAATTCCAAAGGCACTAATATAATCACGGTTTAAAAGTTTTCATGTGTATATATAAGACAAACTCGGTCTTATCTTGAGTAACATCCTATTTGAGACAGACTTATCATTTATCACATCAAAATTAAGCATGTGATGTCCAGAATGTTCACAACCGTACGAACGTGATAAAAGTCAGGGAGATTCAACAACCTTTTCCATCGGTGGTTTAGGAGGGGATTTCGATTGAAAGCTTTGGTTTACTACTCTTTACAACTCGTTTTGTTGCATATAGAAATTACACGTACTATCCTCACATTTTACAATACAATGTTGTGAACTTGTGATCATTTAAAACGTTTACAACTCTAGCTCAAAAATATACCACATTGCATGCAAAGTTATAACAATGACAAGATCCACAAACTCTACACACATTCTTTACGATATCTATGCCTAAAATTCAACATAACGTATTTTTCGACACCCCCCCCCCAAAAAAAGTAATTATTTGGCTATTTTTGCGATGCTTCATCGTTTCTCTTTATTTCTAATTTTTTATACTTTTTATACAAGACACCGAACCGAAAAATGCCGACTATCCATATAATAATGAAGGTGAAGCTGTAATAAACCAAACTCGTTTTGGTAAACACAAAACTGACAGCAATACGTGATGAAACATAAGCAATGTTAAGAACTGCCATGGAAACGCCTTGGACAAAGGTAGCGTAGCGAGGATCTGTGATCTTTGAAAGGATTGAGTTTCCAAGAGGAAAAGCAAAATACGGCATTCCAAGGCACACATACAACATAAGGAAATAATTTTGAGCATCATACTGTTCATTACAAGTGAAAGCAATCACCAAAAGAAAAGACTTGGATAACAATTGAATCACAAGGGCAAAAACTAGCAACTTTTTTTTCATCAAAAAATCTCGATGAAATATGGAAACTTGTAAACGTTAAAAGAGTGAAAAGAGTACAGTTCAGAAACAGCAGTTTTGTATGAATAAACTTCCAGTGAAAACGATCCTGTGCCAAAATTGGTGCGTAAAATGTCGCCGAACTTGCTGTAGCCATATTACTAAAGATGAGAAACAGGATACAGACACTCCTAGAGTAAAATGCAAAGATGATTGGTTTTCTGGGACGTCCTCGTTTTGTTTAATTAAATTTTCTTGATCACTTTCTTTGGCTGACTTTGAAATACTCTTTTACGGCTTGTACATTTCTATCACACATGGTTGAAAAAAGGATTGTGTGAACTGTGAATCGTAAAATCCTTAGAGCGTATCGCATAGTCTATGACAGTGACTCACGTTTCCGAGATGAATTCGCAAACTCGAGAACAATCCATCTTTGCATAATTATTTGCATTTCACTGCATTATAAGAATTGAATTTCAATACTTTGCTTCACAAGTAGAAAATGAAAGAGTTTGTTGTTTCGTATTCTTTCAGGATATCAGAGGTTCTTCTTCATTTAATAAAAAAACATTTCCTGAAATACTCTTTCTATTACTCCCCATTCCAATCTCCCTATCTGAATCACTATGTCCTATCAATTACAAAGTTTGTAACAAAGGATCTAGACTTCGGTCATTCAGTCATTCTGGGAGCGTTCGCACGAAGCATGGATAGCATTACCCATTGGATAGTAAAATTTTTAAACTTTATATGCGTTATTAAACTGTTTATATTTTCGTTGTGATAAAGAAATTTTATAATCTTAGAAATAGCATTATATTTCAGTGATTGTTCAATTTAAATGATCTATTTTTCCCTTTTATAAGATTCTTCATACGTTCAAAAAAATTTGCTAAAATTGGATAACGCTGTCCAGGCTATCATCCAGACTTCGTGCAACTGTTTCCAGAACTTTAAACTTAACTGTGTCTTCCCCTTCAGATCCCTGGTGGTGGGGTTGGGTCAATGGGTTGGGCGAGAATTTAAAAAATTTTGGGATTGACCGAAATTTGTCTTGATCCGTTTTAGCGGATGTAAAATAGTTGACGATTACAGCATGGTATTGTTTATGGTCGCCAGTTGAGTTCGTTGCTCATTAAATTAAACTAAAAAAATACACTGTGTTATTAGTTTAATGTTCGACGTCAAGCAGCGATTTACATAATACAGTAATGTCAAGTCAAAAGATGCCAAATCCTTCAACTTTACGATTATGTAGTTCTTGTGGTAGTGATAAACCTAAATACTGCTGTCCAAGATGCGAGGCTTACTCATGCAGGTGCGTCTTGTTAATTTGGCGAAATTCACCAAATAATTGGGAGAAAACTCAAACTTTTAAGTCGATCCATCTTTAGTTCTATGGACTAATGAAGAAACGTCAAAATTTGAATACGACTTTACCTATATATTGTTATATACAAAAAATACAGACGCTCTGATCATTTTGCTATCAAAATCTTATCCACCGTTGCTAGTCTGAACGTGTCTTCCTGTTGGTTAATGAAAAGAATAATCTTTAAAAAGGCTTTACCCGACTCAGAAATTGTCTGAAATTTAAAGTTGAGAAAAGTTAATTGCCTTGACTCTAAATTCAAACACTGGAGTCTGTAGAAATCCTGTGTTGAACCTCAAATCTTAACAATGGGATTTGGGAATGTCCCCATTTGAAGATGAAAATTAATTTTGATTCAATCATAAATAATTATCTTAGGTTAATCAATAAAACTCAATCCATTTGACACTTAGCAACAGTTACTCCAAAATGTTTAAGTGTTAAGGTTGGAATAAGGTTAAACTAGGGTACATATGAATTACTTTATGTCACAAAGAAAGGGCATGTTTATAAAGATACTTGATTTGTGGAAAGATTGACGACTGGTTATTTTATGTAAAAAATAATTTCATGTTATTTTAGTTTGATTTGTGTCAAAAAGCATAAAGTTCAAGAGTCATGCTCTGGACAGCGTGACAAGGCGAAATTTATAGCAAAAAGTAACTACAACACAAGTCAACTACTCCAAGGTCAATATGAACAATAGCAACATATTTAAGCTATTTTTTAAATTGGTTATTTGGGCCTTTCTGGGCTTTTCTGCTTACTTGAAATGTTTCATACGAGAAATCATCTCTAATTCGCATTCACAAAGAGCCCAGTTCTAAATTATTTGTCATTTATTATTTGTATTTTTTTATTTAAATGTACTTGGATTTTATCATGGTGATATATAATTTTCAAGGAAATTATATTTCATGCAAAATCCACAACAAACTTTTCTCCCATTCATTTGCTCTAATTCCCTACACACTTAACCCCTCTAATTTGTATAAAAATCACCTTCATTTCATTGGATTACTAGATTCATTAATTTCATTTTACTAGATTACAGATTTTTGGAGGAGGCAGGAAGAATTGCTGACAATGCCCAAAGAGATAATTTAAAAAAATTCAAGTTCTACTCTAACAATGTGCGTTGTATTTATGAACTTTCATATTAGCAGAGAAAACAGGGTGTGTCTACAAAAATAGTAGTACGTATGATTATCTAACTTCATGCATAATTGTTATTTATTGTGTACTAGGCGAGAAAACTGAAAAACGTTGCAATTCAACATGGTGTTCACCTTCAGTTGATGCCGGTTGGATTTAAAAAAAGAACGGAAAATACAAGTTTTTTTCATTTCAAGTGAGGGGAATATTTTTGTGGATGTGAAGCCTTTGTGTTTCATTTTGAGTGTTCTGTTATTTTAGAACGAAGGCTATAATGTGGCGAGTAAGATGGGAATTTCCCCAAGCAAGGACTTATTACATTGACGAAAGGTGTGATCTAGCTTTTTATGTCACTTTCATTGTAATGATGATGACATTGAAGTTACCATTTGTGCAACTTGTAATTGACAAATGATTTAAGAAATAAAAGATGTTTACTGTGTTTGCACAAGCTTATGGTGTACTTTTTAATAGTTCGTTTGCTTGGAGTTGAATACATTTTAATAAACTTGTAGAGTGTCGGAAAATCAATTAATCGACGACTTGCTGGAAAAGTATTTACATGAAACTAAAGCTGATCCTATAATAAAGCATAAGTATGATTTTGTTATCTGCAAAGGAAATATTCTTATAAATATGAGTAGTTTATTTCATACGTTTCATTTGGTATGTAATTGAAATTGTATAAGTCTGATAAAAGTCTATGTACTTTTAGGTTGAAAATCTATGGGAAAGGTGAAATAGGAGTATTTTTAAATGATCATTCAACGCAATCCGGAAGGTAACAAATGTATTGTGTGTAGTGTGTGATACTACTATCTTCACACTAAACGACTTGAACTGGCAGTGCCATTATTATGATTATGACTTAAATTTTACAGTTGTATAACCATGTAATAGTGCATGCTTATTAGCAAGTTTTTCAACGAAAGTGAATTTATGTTCCCTTATAGTTTCCACAAGATTGAGACATCCATGACACTGAGGGATGTTTTAGCAGGGAAGGTGATCATCGAATACCCAACTTTTCATGTCGTTTTGCCGACGTACTTTACGAATTATTCCACAATAATTTCAGGTAACGTATCCTTTTCTCGAGCCTAAAATGCTCAAACAGGCTATTTATTGGTCTTGAGGGGTATGGGCCTAGACAGGAATGTACTCAATGAAGATTGCACGTAACAAATGGTTATTTTGGTTGAAAGACGGGCTAACTTCCGAATTGATCATATATCGACAAACCACGTGACCTTTTTTCTTAACCAGCTCCAAAGCGACAAAAACTAGAATCAGAATTTGCCGATCATAACACGACGTCGGCAGTCACCGTAAATGAAGACTTATAATTGGTTTATCCTGGAAGGCGTCCAACATGAATCCAAACTCGACGAACAAGGGCTGCATGAACAAAGTACACAAGATGAATTGGATACTTAGAACTAACATTGTTTAATGTAATTATTTTATATTTGTATGTAAATTTACAACATTGAAAGATGCTTTGGAATGGAATGTATAGATAAATTACATTGGATCGTTGTGTGCGAGCTGTGAAAGTAGATGTAATAGAGACTAACTGATGATTAAAATCCTGCATATCATGGAATTGTTAATTACGCTAATGCCAGCTATGCAATATGGTTAATTGAAGAATTTACCAAGAATTTCTTAGAGCTAAACAGCATTCAAAAAGGTTTCCAGAGAAGTTTGAATATTTGTTGGAAAATTGAAGATTTGGTGAACTGAGAAGTACGCATGTATCCGATTAGAGCGTGTATGAGATGCAATCTCTGAAATAACTCGATCAAATATTTGTGGTTTTCAAATGAGGTTGTAAATATCATCATTCCAATATGCAACGTATGCAAAATGAGACATGGCTGTGTTGAGGGGTTCAGCTTTCTTTTGAAAACTCGAAATCAAGTATGGGGGCTTTATAAAAGTTTGGTAATGCACCCCTGAAAAGACACAATGATAACGACACAAAGAATGAAAAGAGAATAAAGTGATGCAAAATCTTCACATATTCACGTGCGTCGTGGTGAAAAGAGAAAGAATCATTAACCTTTCCTGATTCTTTGTCTTGACTTCATGTTTCGGTAGTTCTAAACTCTGCTGGCCTGTGCGTTCGAGAACATTAACCCAGCTCCAAGAATTGTAAGCTTGGTAGCAATGCTCAGATCTTTATTAACTGCAACGCAAATATATTATGCATGTACATTGGTGCACGTGAAGATATCGTTTATGCTGCATGATGAGAATACACTAACATGTTATATAGATACTGTGAAATCCTTCTGACGTTGAGTATTCAACCAATATAGAGCCAACTTCTAGATCATTAGCGTCAGTTACCTATGAACGGATAGTTGTGCCCAAATAAATACAACAGCAACGGTACTGTGAATATTAATAGATTGAAAAACGTTCTTTAGTCTTCAGACCTCCACGCCTTTATGCAACAAAACTTGCAAGTCGAAACCTACAGTTTGTGCGAAGAGAGTTTTAGCAAGGCCCTCTGACAGCCTGCATGTATCTTGGATGCAACAACATTCAATCGGTAAATGTCAACATCGATTGTTACGGTAGGGAGACGAAAATCAACAGCAGATGTGTGCATGCAATTTGGCAGTTAACCATGTTACATTACTTACTGTTTTAACCTTTGTGAAAAACATGGTGCTGCCAACATGTTACATGAAATGTGATGTTATGGTGAAGTCCGGCAAGAAAGAAATAAACCCATGCAAAAAACAGTGTAGTAAAATTTTTGCCATTAGTCTACGTCTAATGAACCAGAGAGGGTTTATTTAATACTCTACAACTGACCAAAGAGAAGAGCTTTCTATGTTTTGCGACATGACACATGTAGAAAGCTACATACCATACCTTATGTCTGCCAATTGAGAAAAACATCATAGTAAACGAAGCATCCATGGCGAGAATACATTCCCCAGAACTGTCGTATATATTGAAATAAGGCTGTCCCCATTTCAACCTAAGGAGATCAGATGAGCATCAGAAAACGTGAAAGAATACATTTGGATTTCTTAATATCCATAATGTACCATATTAACGGTATGAATAGATGTAGTTTCTTTCCGTGCTCAGCCTTGAAAAAAACTAACAGCATTGCATAGCACAATTTAATAAATATAATTACCAAGAGCAATTATCAAACACAAGCGAAAATCTTAAACGCGGAAAAATGCTGTTAAAAGGATGATCAAGCTATTTAGCACAATGTGTGGTCTCAACATTATAATAAAACAAAAAGCAGGAACTCGTGAGCAGGAACCTCAGCATACACTATAAATAATCAAGAGTACCTGCATACACCACAAATAAATAGAAGCACCAGCACACACCACAAATATACAGGGGCACCAGCATACACCACAAATAAATAGGTGTACCTGCACACAACACAAATAAGCAGGCGTACTTGCACACAACACAAATAAGCAGGCGTATCTGCATACATCACAAATAAGTAGACGTACCTGCATACATCACAAATAAGTAGGCGTACCTGCATACATCACAAATAAGCAGGCGTACCTGCACACAACACAAATAAGCAGTCGTACCTGCATATATCACAAATAATTAGGCGTACCTGCACACATGACAAATAAGCAGGCGTACATGCACACATGACAAATAAGCAGGCGTACCTGCACACAACACAAATAAGCAGGCGTACCTGCATACATCACAAATAAGTAGGAACAATGGTAGCAACCCAAACATACACCACAAAAATTAAGCACAAACCCAAGCATACATCACATAATACAAATTAGCAGGAACCCCAGAATACACCACAAATAAACAGGGGCACCTGAACACACCACAAATAAGCAGGGGCACATATGCATCACGTTTCACTGATGATGACATGTAGTACATATCAAAACGTTTTGAATGAAATGTTTACCAACACGGAGTGTCTTTGTGCTGTACCATGTATGTATATGTATGACAGTACGAGCCGCGAAACTTACATAGACCATACATTTGAGCAGGAATACTTGCGTACACCATAGACATACATTCAAAAACAGCTATGCATACACCATACACATACATGAAAGAACAATTATACATACACATTGCATTTGAGCAGAAACACATACATTCACAATACTCATGAACATATTTGAAATTGGCACGAAAAATTAAAGGATGGTCATACAAAGTAGATGGGTTATTTAGAACGACAGATATTCTTGAACACGCTTTGAAAGATGAAAAAGTAGACTTATTTCTTACTTACGTTTGTTCAACGTGACCAATGAAGGTTCCGGGAAGAAGTGTAACATGCGACCGTAGTGTACAGGCCATGTCACATGGACAGATACAAGATGTACGAGACGGAATGTCGAAATTCACCAACTTTCTCTTCTCTTTTATCGTGCGCAATGAAAATTGACAAGGAGTGTCTAAAATATATAATATCAGCGAGTTATCATTTCCAAGAAAGCTTGCGCACCATACACGCGTAAGTTAAATTTGGCCGTCAGCCACTCAGGGTATGAAATAAGTGCAATACCTTGGTTTATCTCGTAATGTTCGATGTTGGAACTTTTATCTGTTACTGCGTACTTCTTCCCTTCTAAAAAAATTGAAAACTCAAGTTATGGATGTTGAGATGTTAACTAATGGCTATCACGTCCAAAGCTGAAGATTGTTGTTACACTGATGTAACTTGGAACAATTTAAGTGCACTGTCAAATTTTCGATATAATTTCTTCTCGTATATAGTTTTGTAGATTTGGGTTTTCAAAAAAATTGAAAAATAAGTTTTTTGTCACATAGGTAGAAAATGTACGCGACAGTTCCAAGTTCACAAAGTCCGACAAACAGCACTTTTTTGCTTTACCAAATTTCTTGTCCAGTCGTTGAAATTTCCGAAACGCTACCACCGTTTGTTTATCAAATCGATCAGTTATGACAGTGGCGATATATTTATTGTTCAAATAATTGTATATAATAGTAATCCAAGGTCTACAATCGGAATCATCATCATAGAAATGAAATGATTATAAATAATTTAAAGCAAGATAAATATCATGTGTCACAACACCTCACAAAAAAAAATGATTATGCACAATTGAATAATACTTAAAACATTTGAAAACCAAAAATCCATACTGTGAATGAACGACTATTATACAAAAAGATTGGATTCTACACAGTACCTATTGACCGTACGTGATAACAATAGGTATATACAATACACGCAACAAACAATGCAATATTATATTCAACGCAACGAGAGATATTTAATACAACATTATATAAAAATGTTATCTATACAGACGAGGGAATAGGTATAGTAGTTCAAGCGATGACTTGAAATTGGGGTAACAAAATTGGCATTGGTTAGCAGCATGGATATCCATCACCCGAAAGCCAACTAGAGTTCTTTACTCTTGCCATGTAAATTTTTCAAAAAAAAACGATCTTTCATTTCCTTAAAAAATTAACTTCATTCATTGCTTTTCTATTGAATCATAGCAAATTATTTGCACTGAAAGAGTAAAATCAATGGTACCTTACTTCGCCATTGTCAACAAGTTTAGAATAAAGGCAATGCGATAGTCTTATAAATAGTCCATTTATTGACATAAGCGATAATTTTTTTAGAATTATTTGAAATGCAATACGTTGAAGACTTTAAATATTCTCGGACTAATCAATAATGGACATGCGTGATGCTTACCGCCAAAGCGCTGGGATTTTTCTTGTACAATGATTTTCTCCATGTTCTTAAACATCTCTAGTTCCATTACCTCTTCACAACTAGAATTTTTAATCAAGCGCACTAACTCCATACTAGAATCTAGTGGCTCAACAACAATGACCGTGGTGTTCATATTTCGTCAATTTCACCACCCTGGAAGATTCTATACTTGATGCTTGCACTATATTTGATGGCGGTTTCCAATTAAGTTTTTCAAACAAACGCACAACAATATGTTGTCTTTAAAAGGTTTTCCACCTGCTTCTGGCTCATTTAATATGGGAAATAGAGGAGAAAATTCATCAAGGAGGAATACCATTCCACAAAAAAAAACGACATATAAATATGTATAACAATATAAACAATCTATATTTGATTTATGTGATACTATAGCCGTCCGTCTTCCCATTTATTTCGTTATATATATATATATATATTACATTATATATACACATACATATATATATATATATATTGGGGATCCTTATTCATTACATATTTTTAATTACATTCGATTGATAGCAGATGTCATTTATTTCAGACGTCATACGTTTTTTTCCAATACTTTTGATGCTAAATTGGCACCAGGAGACATGTTCAACGCATTCTTAATTCGCCCTCGACAATAAAGTAGGACTACTAGATTCTTGACTTTGCAATTCAGCCACGTTGGTGGTCTGATAAAAAAGAATATTTTATCAGAGTTATTGCTGGCACCAGCCAACGTGGGCGAGCAACATTGTTTGGTCAATCTCAAGAGAACGGTTGCAAGGCGAGAATACACGGTGCTATTTACAGTAAGGATGCTGCATCGTGGAGAAAAATTTAGTCAGTAAAACAGCTAAAATTATTGGAGCAACTGGTGTTGTAAAACATTGCCCCTACAAGTGCGTAGTTATGCCTTGTTGACGGTATCATAGTGTATAAATAATTATACACTATGACGTTTAATATATCTAAATACTTTAGTTGCATGTTGTGCATGGGAACGAACCTGAAAAAATGAAAAAAGCTTAAGTCTTTTGGAGCGAAATTCAACCCTTACACACGAGGCGATTTTGTCTTGCAATATTCATGTAAAACTAAATTTCCCTGCACCTGCGAATAAAGTAATGCAATAATTTGCATTAAAAAATTCTATCACAAATCGATTTGCGATGTGGAAAGCAAACTTCATAATACCAAGCAAAATTTTGCAATCGCGTTTATCGAAGTTGTTTTGATTAAAATGCAAAATACGCCCATGTATGAATTGCAAAGAAAGAAAGATAAAGACAAGTTAAACAACAGTATTGACGCGTTGCAACAACAAATATTCATTGCTGAAATAAATAAAAAATTGTCTTCGGAAGGAAAAATGATACACGTCTCAGATTGTTTCGCAAAGGCATTACAGCACACTCGGCATGTAGAATATTTTAAAAAAACCCCTTAAAAAATGCTAAGTGAATAATATAGATTGCTATATATTGGATAATATAGTTGACTTCAGCCTTATTTTCAAACAGAGATGGGTTTATGTACGTACGATGCTTTTTTAGAGGGGAGGGGATGCACAAGATGGGAATAGATTTCCATGGCTACTTTAGCCACAGGGTCTTAGACTTTTTGTTAAATTTTGGATGTCTGCTCTTTTGAAAACAAATGACGATTGCTTTTGCTCAATTGTACAGCATAATTTGAAGGGAAACTGGCATCTTCCTGCAACCCCTCAAACCAAGGATAGAAGGAGTGCGCAATCCTTCCCCTAAGGTCCACTCGTGAAAGAACGTAAAAATGCCATTAACAGTTTAATCTTGCCACGATGGATTTTCATAGGCAAAGTTATTTATGCGTAACTACGTACAATGGCTGGTCGTGCTAATTACATAGCGCTGTATCCACTACACTGAATATAAAGTTGAACGAAAGAAAATTTTATCTTCCATTTTATTTCGATAGTGATTAGTCAGCGAACGAAGTCTTGCGTTCAACTAACTTGAAATCCAAAACCTAGATTTCATCGGTTTTGTTTAAAACGCCTTATGAAAGTTTAACAGTTTTATAAAATTATGCCCACATTTAAAAACATAGACTACTTCCAAACCTTTGATAAACTAACTGGAAAATATTGCAGTGTTCCTGAAGCTCGAGTTGTCCCTGTGGAAAAAATGGGAAACTACATACAAGGAACTTTTTTGCCGTCAACAAATATTTAGCTTTAGCCATAAAAAATTCACCCTTTTTTAAATAGGAGTATTGCCTCTATAATAGCCTTCAATAACGTTGCCATTGCACAGTCATTGTGTACGAGCTCAATGTATTTTTTTTACGATAGCATCTCACAGGCGTATATAGCCAGCCCGCATGTTTTGGTCGTGCTAACTTAGGGGCCGTTTACATGATCCGGGGCTAACCGGGATTCAGTGAAGCGTGAAATGATTTCGAGGCATTGAAAAAAGGCAAAACTTTAAGCGTAAAAAATTACAACTGTTTGTTAAGCGCCACAAGTCCTTCCTGCTGAAATTCATAAATTAAGTCAAATTGGTTATTGTAATTTTAAATGTTTTGCGTAGTTATTAAATCAGAATATTGTGAAATTTCTCGGGGAGATTTATCTGATGACGAGTATTGAATCGTTTCCATTCGCCAAAATCATTTAACTCTTGGCTGAATCCCGGCTACCCGGGTTCATGTACTGACACCTTAGGCCTAGTTTAGACGTCAAACTTTACATGAAGTTTACATGAACCGAATGCATTAAAGACAAAAGAAAATGAGATGAAATCCTTCATTATCTTTTGGTTCATGTAAAGTTCGTGTAAAGTTCGACGTCTAAACTATGCCTAAATTTGAGAACATTATTATCATTGCTCATCTATTGTTTCCATTGTAAATCTATTGTTTACTCGGTGAGTAAACAGATACAAAAATTGTACAGCGGGACTATGTTGATAAGCGTGCTGGCTACGACAATGCATACATTCTTTCTTACCTCATGCTATTGTCGTGAGTCTTGTATTCCATTATGGTATTCATCGGTAGATTCAGCACACGTTTCAATGTATCCCTATGAAAAAAAAAACAAATTACACAATTTTCCAAAACAAAAACCTGTAAAAGCCATATCACGAAATAAAAAGTTAGGAAAACAAAACAAACAGCGCAGCATCCACACTTGTTAAATACAGAGAGATGAAATCCATTATAAGTAACCTTCTGGAAGCTATATTGTAAACATTGATAAAAATAACCTTATCCTAGTTGTAACGGCTTGTTCACTTGAAGATCTATTCCACACTGATATAATATCTTCCTAGATGAATAAAATTTAAAGCAGGGTGGGGTGAAAATTTGAAAAGCGAGAGTTGACGAATGTTTATGTTCACCTGAAATCGAATCGAAATTACTGCACCACAGATTTCATCACCAACCATAAATTGCTCACCTAAGATTGCCAATATCTAACAAAAACAAGGGTAAAAGAAATGTCTTGGATACAATCATAAACGAACGAACAATACAGTTTTCATATTTCGCTGTTTCCTACGTATTGTCAACACATCACACAGTTGCAGACAGAGCACACCCCAGACGCAAATCCAAATAGACAGAAAGAGGCATCTGTCAATTATAAAATTCATACTGCCAGTAACTTACAAGATTCTCCCAAAATCTCGATGCTAAACCTTTTCTCAGCCGAACGATCCACTTTCCTCCACGCTTATTTGCCTTATCCTAGAGCAACAACGAGTTTATCATTAGCACTATTTATACGAATATACTAGAGACTTCTTCACTTTTGATACGCTTGATTTTATGGAAGATAGTCATAGGGGAGAGATGAAAATAGTATAAACCACTTATTAGTCATCACTATTGAAGTAAATATTACTAGAAGTCTGGAACGCTAACTCCTACACCTTAGTCTTGTGATTCAATGAAGCAAAGCTCAGGCAAAAATAAAAACTTCCCTAAGGAAAAGTTTAAGTTGCTAAGCAATGGACTACATATTTTTCAGTTTCTTTTATAGCACATTTCAAAAATTTACTATCATTTAAACAAATATGTCCGATAATCGTGAAAAAGTGTTTTGGTTGCGAAATTTACAAATAGAAAACTGCTCTTTTTTGAAAAAATTAGAAAAAGGACTGTTTAATGTTTATTACATTTCAGAGCGTTGCGAATAACGTTGCGCATTGGTGAGGGGACTGGAGGAGAGAGGACTATTGGAAGGAACGGATGTCATATTGTTGCGCACAATCAAAATAGTAAATTTTTTCATACATGCATTGAAAGGAACTATATTTAACATAAATTTAGGGCTCAGTGAGTCCCTGAAAAGCAAGATTAAATATGTAATCCAAAATTTTTGTAATCCTCACTTTTAAGTTTGTAAATTCACAACCATTAATTCATCTGCAAAATGTTGTATAATGAAATTACCTCCCACATAGGCTTGATTCCATCTTTAAAAAGGTGATAGTCACAATGACCAGTCAGTTCACTGGGGTGAACTAACCAACTATATAATGACCAAAATTGTTCCACCTAAAATGAAATAAGAGCACACGTAAAAATATGCAAAAATATAGAAAAACAATGTTTGGTAGTCTTCAGTCCCTTCTGGAAAAACACAATTCATGAGATCTCATTCGAAAAATAATTTCACACGGAAAAACCTTTTTAATTTCAACTATATAGAAATCAGGTTTGGGCAGGGGTTTTCACAACAGAAACATCATTTTGAATATTTATTGCTTGTCAGTAGTAAGGTTAATACACTTGTGTTATCTAAACTGCAAAGCCTGTTCAAAAGCGAGGGACCAAAAATGCATAATTCTATATGCAGAACGCTGAATTTAAACCCAGAACTCGAAATTTGCAGTATCCTGGACACTAAATTATAATTTGGGAAAATATATTTTCTGACCTTATTAAAATATTTAACAGTTTCTGACCCCGATCGAAAATTTAAATTTTGAGCCCAATAATCTACTTGTCAATGGAAAAAGTGTGAATGGGTGGGATTAGGTATCTATGGCCTGCTTATCCCCCTTCTAGCTCTGTAATCCAAGAAGATATATTAAAAAACAACAGATTTATTATGTAGCAAGTTACATGATGACCTGTTTTTGTAATGCCTAAGAATGAACCATCAGTTTGTTGATAACTTTTTTAAATCGACTGAAATATGTAATGCTTCCTTACCGAAGCAAATTTCCCAACAAGTTTTATATTGTCTTCATAATTAAAATGTTGTTTTCCTGGAGGTCGCTTTGAGAACCATAATGCATAGGGAAACTGCAATTGATGTTCACCATCACCAATTGCTATTGGAGTTTGTTGCAACTAAAATGTGAAAATGTGTCATTAATGAACAATAATGTTTAGCTATAATGCAACTAAAATAATACTCAGACAATTACACAAATTACATTTATTTCATGAGGATTGAGTGGCAATAATATAATGCTATATGCATAGCTATGGAAGCGTAGTTGTAAGCTTCTATGCATGAACATAAAACACTGTCAATATTGATTACATCTCCAAAAAGTATGAGCCATGATTAATGAATATATTTGAATCAAAGAATTCACGATGAATGATAACAAAAATTTAGCAACACTTAGTTTAGAGGTATATCAATTACAAGATATAATATATTGGCCACAAACATAAAACATGTATGAAAATATTTTAAATGAACTAGACTAAATTAATGTATCTATTGATTCTCTCGAGCACAAAAACTAAATATTTGTGCAATTTGCTGAACAAAAATGGTATCTGGCTAAAAATGAAGTCATTCACAAGGAATTTTTGGAGCACCTAGTTAATGAACTTACAAAAAAATTAATAAATGCTATTATGATTTTATGCTTTTCAGTACCTTTTCTGTTTCTTCACCATTGATTTCTTCATCATTGGCAGGATCATCACCGCTGTCACTGTTCTGTGAGTCCTCTAAGACTAATCTAATCAATTATATAGTAGATTTTACTATTTTGACGAAGTATAAAGAATTTAGAAATCATTACAATGTAGTTAAAGAGAGCTGTAAACATCACAATGTCTAGAAAATATCAATTACAAGGCCATTCATTGACTTTTTTTAATTAAATGGCGGACAAAATGAACTATCATGCAAGAGATGACAAATCTTTAATACATTATAGGAATTGTAGTCTGCATTCTAAAGAGTTCGTTCATAAAAAATTGTTCAAAAAACCTGAACAAAATCATCGTGCAAAAATCACTTACGCTTCGAACTTATTCATAAAGGTTCCTCAGTAATATCTTAGTTTATATGACTTTCTATCCCAAGAAATAAAGCTGTATAAGATTTTTAAATTAAACAAATAAATACAAGCAGCAGCAAATACAATCAAATTGACAGTTCACAGCAGAACTCACGTTAATGTCGCGCACGCGTACTCTAGTAGCGTGATCATTATATGTGCCATTATTCACCTCAGCCTCCCACTCCCCCTCAGTCAACAATAGTTGCGATTGCGTTATTTAAATTAGTACTTTGTCTGCTAGACTGTTTAATAAGCGTTCGTTTATTTCGGAGAGGCATGGCTTTCGAATATCAACTTGTCATGGAAGTAATTTTATTCAGCATGCTCTTCCAAGGAATTATAACCACTCACATACCAAGGTTTTTTCGAGGCCGGCCAAGGGGACGCGAAGGTATGCTTGGTTCTCCAAACGTTAAACGCAAAGTTGATCTTCCGGTTGAACAATGGTTCACGCAACGTTTAACACATTTCAATGACTCTAATCGAGCAACTTGGCGTCAAAGATATTGGTATAACTCAACGAATTGGAAAAAAGGTGGACCAGTTTTTCTTATGATTGGTGGAGAAGGCAAGGCCAATCCCATATGGATGGTTGAAGGTACCTGGACAAAGTATGCAAATGAGTTTGGTGCATTTACTTTCATGCTGGAGCATAGGTACTATGGGCTGAGTCATCCAACAGTGTAAGTAAATTTGGTATAATAAATTTTAAAAATGTCCTGTTAATCATATTATCATCATGCATAAATTATCTTAAATGCAAAATTTTAGTGACTTGAGTGTGGAGAACCTTCAGTTCCTCAACAGTGAGCAAGCTTTAGCTGATCTAGCAGCTTTTGTTCAGGCAATGAATGAGAAATTTGAACTGGAGCAAAGTAAATGGATTTGTTTTGGGGGATCTTACCCAGGCTCTTTGTCAGCATGGTTCAGGTTAAAGTACCCTCATCTTGTTGCAGGTATCCTATATATAGAACTATGTATTGAACAAATGTAAACAACCTATAATACTAGAAATGTCTCCTGATGAGTAATATGGAAAGTGCATGTTAGAACACAAAAAAAATTACTGATCATCATTTTTGTTATGTGCAGATTTCTAGGGGGCGGGGCACACGTTCTGGACAATTTTTCAAATCTTTGCCACAGTACATATAATATAGAGTAGAGCCACTCATATCCGTACCACACTTATTTTAGTACACAAGTGATTACCATAGTGGCAGCTAGTCAATTGCTTTTTTGGACCAATAGGAATGATGAACTGGCTATGGGCAGCTAGTAATCTAATTTTAAAAATATACCATTGTTGGTTACACTACCCGACTGGCCATTAAATCTAGCTAGACCCTAACTTTGTAATGCATCACTTCCTTACCAGCTCACCCGTGTAAAATTTTTTGCATCACCCCTGTAAAAATAACAAAATCATCCATGGTGACATTGCGATATATAGTACTTTCAACTAATACTTTTCAATTAATGCTGAACATTATTTAGTTGATACATGTACTTCTTGTCTTATAGGTGCAGTTGCAACAAGTGCACCAGTATTTGCTAAGCTAAATTTTAAAGGTTATTTGGATGTTGTAACAGCTTCTTTGCAAACATCAAGTTATGGCCATACATGCACTGACAGCATAGCTGTCGCTACAAGTAAATTACAGTCCATGGTGAAGACTAACTCAGGGAGGCAACAATTATCCAAAATGTTCAGGTTTTTATTTGATGTCGTCAACTCATCGTTGCACTTTCCTAAAACACTTTTCTCTAACATAATATAAAGGGCATCTTCAACCCGTAAGATAAAAGTGTCGCGAATTTCAATTTGGTGTTGCAAAAAATAAAAATTGGATGACTGTGAATGAAATAAAGTCGTTTTGAAAATCTTAGATCTTGATCTGATTTTTGATTTGATTTTTCTACTAATCTTTCCTATTTTCGGGATGAAATATTAATTAGTGTCCACTCGTAAGAATAAAAAATCTTCTAGTTATAATGAAATTTACAAAATAAATATGTTTCGGATCTACGCTTTCCCCCCACATCTGACATTAAGATGAAAATTCGGAATTTTTCAAACTTCGGCAAATCGATCTTCTCTTTCTTAGGTTATGTGATTCTTTGGAGAACAATGACGACGACATTTTCAATTTTGCCGCGAGTACGGCTGGCAATTTCATGGGTGTTGTTCAATACAACAAAGATAACAGAAAATTTGAGGTACCGAAGAAGCAATAGCATGATTTGTGTGAACGGTATCACAAATAGCATGATTTGTGTAAACTATCGCAAATATTCGCTTGAATCAGAGCGTAGGTAGACGGTTATCAATGAATAAGGTGTCGCATTGGTGTTCTTGTATTTCATCATCAAGAAAAGTACTTAATACCTAAATGTTTTCCTAAGATTTCAATGAAATAATAGTATCGAGCAATTGCTTAAAAAAATAGAATAAATTGTTTTTATAATGTAGGGAGCAGCTGGTTCAAATGTCACGATAGACGTGTTGTGTAGTATTATGAGCAACACAAGCACTGACGAACTCTCAAGATACGCCAAAGTGAACACTTTGATGTTGGATACATACAAAGAAGGATGTCTTGAAATAAAGTACGATGACATGATTGAAGAACTTAGGCAAACATCGTGGGATAGTTCGGCAGCGTTTGGAGGTTTGTTCTGAACTACTCATAGGGTTTTGTGATCATTTTTGTAACTTTGTGATAACAGGCCATGCCAATAATCTTTTGGATTTACGAGTGGAATTGATGTATTTATTTCATGTAAATGTGGCTATTTTATCGAATAAATAACTATTTTTTCACTGAAACTAGAAAGACAGTGGATATATCAAACGTGTACAGAGTTTGGCTTTTATCAAACTAGTGATTCCACAAACCAACCTTTTGGACATTTGTTTCCACTGAAGTACGTACGTAGCAATGATTTTTTTGCTGGCTTGCAAGAAAATAAAAATCTTCAATGTCTCCAGAAGTTAGCTGCTAACCGTTAAATTATGCTTCGCAGAGTTTCGATCAAACAGTGTATGGATATCTTTGGTTTGAATTTTAATGAGACGGAGATCGCTTCTGGTATCAATCGTACAAACACCAATTATGGTGGCCTGGGAATTGCTGGCTCAAAGGTATGTAAATATTTAGAATGCTTATCAAAAAGTTACAGGAACACTTTTCTTTCATATATAAAATATATTCATCCTTCTATAGAGTTATTTTATTTAAAATTTTCACATATATAATCATCAGATTGTGTTTCCCAATGGGTCAATTGATCCTTGGCATGCTCTTGGCATTACGAAAGATGTTACCGCAGAAGAGCAAGCAATATTTATTCAAGGTATATTAACGAATATTTCTTTTCTTTACAATTCGCGACGGAGCTTTATGTTTACACATGATTAAACATAACTGATTTGACTGATTTACAAGAACAAAAACTTTCCTTATATAAGTTAAGAGAAAGCCATTTTCAGACAATTTTTACTACTCCTTCACAGACATCAACACTAAAACCATTTTCCTAAACTTCACGTTACTTTACACCGGACTGGAAAGTTTGCTGTGCGCGGGCAAGTTAGAAACCTTAAAGCTCTCGCCGAGCTCTTTCGAATGAGCCAAAGATCATCGACTTAGCTCCAATACTTTAGGAGATAGGATGCGCATGTGCAGATTCTATCTTTAGCTCATCGTAAAGCTCTCGTCGAGCTCTTTCGAATGAGCAGTATGAGCTAAAGATCATCGCTGTGGCTCTAATACTTTAGGAGATAGGATCAACGCGTGCGCAGTGGAATTCGCGCATGCGCAGTACTATTTCACAAAGTATTGGAGCTACGGCAATGATCTTGATGAGGTCACTGCCCGCGCACAATGTAATCACCAAGTTAACTCTTACAGAGTTTTGAGAAAATTTGATGCTTCCCACGCAAAGAAATAACACAAAATTTAACGTGCCCGCGCGATTGGCAAACTTTGAAGTCTGAGCTTTAGGGATGCTTTATTAAACATAATTAACACTTTAAGTCATTCTAAATTAACCGCATATTGATCAATATGGATTCCCATGTATACATATAGTCATGGTTTGTTACTTATATACAGGTACCGCTCATTGTGCAAATATGTATCCCGAATGCGCATCAGATCCGCCACAGCTAATTCAAGCAAGAATGAAAATTAAAGATCACATCGCGAAGTGGCTTACCTCGGAACATGTTGCAAACTGAAAACTTGAGTCATTGAATAATACAATTTCTATATGATAACATATAAATCAAAATAATAAATTCTAAATTATGACATAATTATTTTGAAATTTCCTACCAAGTTCGAACAATATACATATCAAATCTCCATAAGGATAATTACAATAGAATATACAATAAATTACACGTGATTTGCGCAAATGAATGCATGTGATGGCGACTCGATAGCAAATGTGTACGACAATAATTTCCATTTATACATCAATGAAATTAAATAGTTATTATAAATATGTTCAAACATAGCCAAAATACAACAAACGCATACAACGTCTTAACGAAAAATGAACAAATATTTCAGTGTTGTTAGAAGTCCTTTAACGGTATATCTATCTGACTTTCATATATGAAATGTGTAAAATCCTCTGACATTCTATTAGAAGTGTGTAAATTCCTTCGACATTTCCTTTTACATTTGTAACAGTAATCTCTTACGTACGACTCTTTCACGTTTATCAACGTCACAGAATTCACGTTCTTCAAAAATTTGGGGAATATTGTGATCAATCCCAAACATGAACTCTGTTCACCCACTGCTCACAAGAAGCCATGCATCAATATCGCGTTTTGCGTTAGAGCTGCGTTCACGCGACACCGGATTGTTGCTGATTAAGCAGTTTCGAGTTTAATTGATTTTCTTACATGAAATCTTCTCATTTTTTTGACACCATGCTATCGTTGTCACAATTCGCCTAGGCGATACGTAAGAAACTTTTACAGTTAGTGGTCACACGTAGCCAAAATAATGGTTTTCAACAAATTTTCTCAAACTCATAACGGGTTTTATACTTTTCCATACCGGTATCGTGTGAACGCAACGCCGAATTGTAACAGTTTCGCAACGCTTTCAAACCTTGCCTGTATCGTATGATTATTACTTATTTTTAACAGCCTATTTTCTGCTTCTTCGCAGTGGCTGGAACATTCTGTTGATAACATAAAGGCAGGGTGATTTTAACCAAATATGGGTACCTTCTACCATCGTCGATGTAATTCCTCATTAGTAGAAGCGTTTTGTAAATGAACATCTAGCAATGCTGTAATGAATAGAAGTAATTAAGACCAGACTATAATGGCTAGCAATTGGTTTGATTAAGGCCAGCCATGGCCGTTAGCAAGCTTATACTGATACCAGACAACAAAGTTAGTGCTTATTATAAATAAGGTTAGCAATGAATATTTTTAAAGAAAAATATTTATCAGCCACATTTACATCTTTTAGCGACGGATAGAATTGCGGTCTTAAATGAAACTGGTATCCATGAATGAATGATAAGCTGATAAAAATATGATTTCCTTTGGGTGGATAATATGTAGTTACAGATATTATATTAAACGAGTAAGACCTGTCTAAGCGAGAGAGTTAATTGTGCGTATGTAGAGTACACATTCACGAGTTTCATTTGTCATGAGGTATTGCACCAATTTAATTTACTTCATGATTACTTACTGTTAGATCCTTTCATTCTCATCAGAGTCTTCGTTGAAGTCTTTTGCAGCTTTTTTCTAAAAATGACAAGAGAAAACCAACGGTAAAACAAGCAACTGCCACAACATTGTGCAATGGCAATTTTGGCAAATATGTCGCACAACTACATAAAGTTCATACAAAAACCTGCTAATTTTTACTCGGTCATCAATCTGGCAACAAATACTCAATTACCTCTGCAATAATCGTTCACATTTTGGACACTTTTCCTTCACATAACACTTAGAATGATAGCATGCATGGCATTCTAGAAAACATTGCATACATAAAAAAACACTTTCCAAGCAGATCATTCCATTTGACTTAAACGAATTTCGACAAAACCAAAAAAGTCAAAGGACCGTGTTATTCTTTGACACTCAACCTGAATTTAATCAATTTGAAATAAGAGCTTTGTTTGTGTGTACCTTCACATTGGCTGACTTTCTTTACTTCAAACGGGTAAATAATATCGTTACCGTCCTTACAATACTCGCATATAAATCCTTTAGCGAGGCACAGCTGTCAGTGTGAGTGCAAAAACTTCACGATTAATAATAACGTTGATAAAACAAAATGATCACAAATATAATTTTCAGTTTGGTACCAACCTGACAATTCGAAACGTGCTGCCTTAAATTGCTCACTATTGTCTCCAGTTCTTCGCGAAATAAGCCAGATTTTACCTGAAAACGTCAAAACAGAGTTGAAATGTTTCAATGAATACAGTGCGGTGACCAATAATCATAACTTCGACCAATGTCAAACTTTCCAAGTTCCGATGTATTAGAGACAAAAGACAATAAGATCAGATGTTTTATTATCTTTTGATTCTTATTCATCAGGACCATGAAAGGTTTGAAATCAGAGGACAAAAGATTATTTAAAATACTACTATCACATACCTTAAGAAGATCGAACACCGAGTACAAATGAATATCGCTCATGTGGTAATCAGGTATTTGTTGAATGGAATCTAACAAACTTTATACAAAAGAAAACATACTCAAACAAAAGAAAGTGTTTTAAAGGAAATCGGAAATGTTTCTTTTTACTGATTCTATGTCATAATAAATTTTCGTGTTCAAATTATGTGCATAAATACGATGATGTAAAATTAACAATGTTGTTTTCCCAGTTTGAGAGTGAGCAGTGTCGAAATTTGTAAAATTCGAATAAATAATTTAAGAAAATTAAAAAATGCAAAAATTGCATGTAAGTTTGTGAATTTTTCCCACAACAATGCAGAGTTTTGAACTAAAACTTTGCATTGAAAAGATAGCTGGGCAATTTCAAATAGGCAAAAAAGATGCACATGGAAAAAGATATAAATCGTGTCGAAACATTTTCTAATTCAAATGGAATGAAAAAAGTTATAAAAACACTAAATCGAATATATGCATACGATTCCCTACAGTGAATTATTACTTTGCTTATTGCCAGTCTGCACTATTGTCCAACGCTACAAAAACAAGAGCAATATTACTTGAGAAAATGAGAGAATATATGAATGCTTACTTTACAGCATGTCGACAAGTTCTTATATACGACGCAATGTTACGTAATTGAAGACGCAAAAACTGAAAGAAAATTTGCAAAACATTACTGAAATCGAAGAACAATGGACAGGATTGCACATAATTTATAGCTATAATATCCGTGTATTCATGAACTCTCCTCAGGAAGCGTTAATTTTCATGCATAAGTACAGGTAGTTACGGTATGACTGCATGCCTTTATTTATAGAACGTTTTGCTTATTTCCCAGGAATCGCTGACTTAACTATTGAGGAAGCGGCCATGTTAGTGTCCCATAAAAGAATTTCATTAATATTCTTTTCGTTAAGTACACACTAACATGGCAGCTACAACGTCAGATAAAAAGAACACTTTAGGATCATTTAGGATAGCAAACATCAGAGCCCTGCATACGAAAGAGTAGGGACACCGGAAGTAAAATTGCCTAGCGTCCGCCATTTTTGTTACAAAAACCAGGCAATATAGAGCAACAGTTGGGAGAAAGAGAAACTTTCTGTTGTGTTTTCTTATTCATGAATAGACAGCGATCGCTACCTTTGGAATTCAGTTGTTTGTAGATCTTAATAATAGAAAAGCATTTATTTAATGCAGTGGACGTAATTTATACGCCTTTAATACTGTTTTTGCCACAAGTGAGCGCGTAAATCACTTTTCTTCATCACTTTGATTGGCACTATTATAACGCATGAAATCATTCTATAATAATAAGTAAAAATGATTATAATTTGCGCTTTGGGAACAAAATGGCGGCGAAATACCCATGTGATCATATTTACCCAATCACCATAAACATAACGCGAAATGTAGAGAACAATAAATAAGGTCTCTGAACGACATTAGGTATTTGAACAAGTATTTAGCTAACTATCAAACCTTGACGTCTTCCATCTCTTTGTTTCTTTTGTAAAGCATCCTGTTGATTGCGTATACATTGAACAGTGGTTGGTGATGCACCCCGTTCAGCAAATCATGAGAAAAATTAGAGACTTCATATGTTAATAAAATCAAGGAGCATAAAAATAAATCAGTTGTGACGAAGAGTACTCTTTTCCCTTTTCCCTTTTCCCAGCAGCTAGTCTTTACCCGCAGACAACAAAAATGATACTTCAAATTTAAGTTGTTAAAGCTAAAGTTTAAATCACTATTTTTGGTTCGATATGCACCATGAATTTCAATTGATAAAAATTATAGAGTATTCGTGATCACATATAATGATAACAACTCTACATTTTCAGTTTGTAATAATTTTAAGAAAAATTTACTTTCTTTTTGAATATTTTTAGAGCATGAAAGACCTAAAGGTCTTTTATTTGTAATCAGTGTAATCGTCAAACAGCGACATCAAATCACTCTATACTGTTATTCAATTCCTGTGAAACGTTATACGTACGTAAGGTCAAGAATTTTCTACTCTCGGGCGGTCTATTTTAACTTGTTCTAATGACAACTTGTTCTAATGACAACTTGTTCTAATGACAACTTGTTCTAATGACAACTTGTTCTAATGACAACTTGTTCTAATGGGAGCTCACTCTAATGAGAGCGCTTTCTTGTTGTGGATGTAGATCGTCCAGGTTGGTATAGACTACTGAGAATGACTGTTGTTGTTGATGTTGACTGACATTTCGACAAAGTCAAGTGAAGATGATCTTGACTCTGAAGATGACTACCGCTAAGGTTGTCGAAACGTCAGTCAACATCAACAACAACAGTCCTTCTACGCAGAACTCTACTAACAAAACTCGTTCTGATGAGAAATCGTTTTAACGAAAACTCATTCTGATGAGACCTCGTTCTAATGAAAACTCGTTGAAATGAGACCTCGTTCTGATGAGAACTCGTTTTAATGCGAACTCGTTCAAAGGAGAATCTTTTAAATTAATTTAAAAAGGATATTCTCTGAAGTCCCATCTTTGAATAATACGAGCAGGAATCACCGTAGCTTTGGCGGAATGACATGTATTGCAGAAATATTTACCAATATACTTGCAAAAACGCAATCGCTTCGTATAGCCTAAGTTAGGATAGAATTGATATGAAATCCATCACAAACATGTATAACAGATAGAAAAAATTTTACCATCAGACAAAGTTAATTAGAGAAAAACTGAAGGGAGGTACTTACATTGTCCACACATGTGTCAAACGCTGTTTTATGTTTATCTCTGGGGTACATTAAATTTTCCCTGGGTCCCCTCCCCCCCACGAAGAGGAATATTAACCATAAAGCAAAACATGACTTAGGCATTAGAAAAGTAGTCGTTTACTTTGGCAAACAATTGTGGTTAAATAAAAAGTTTAGGTATTACACTGTATATGACCCGAACTTTTTCATTTTCAAAAAATGACGATCTCTCAAAGCTGTAATGGAATTTCTTTTTGACATCACCGGTTCTACATTAGAGAATTTAAGGTCAGTTTTTTCTAATTTACAGATGTTAAAATTTTGTTCCGTGTCGTTGTTAGGCAAGGAAACTGCTTGTGTGCCCTAACAAATTTTCGAATGGAGTAAAAACTGATCACTCATCTGATGTAGAGCAAATTTGTTTAACAATGGCGAGAATAAACTCAATTATTTTACTTAGGAAACGACCGACCATAAATTCTCTGTACTTCACAAAAATCTTACAGCAGTTCTTGAAGTAAACAAGCAAACATAATTGTTGAATAAAATGTCAATAGCAACTTTAGAACATCTTTCATTTAAAAAAACAAGAGTTCGAGTCATAGATATTGTGAAGCAAAGCATTTTCCAGCATTTTAATTTGGTCGTGATGAATAATACCTGGATCAACACGCATACCACAGCCAGCACAACGATAACCTTGTTTTATCATCGCTTCCTTACGTCTGTTTAGAAATGAAGAAAAGTTTGTTCAGATGCGATCCACAAACAACCTTTTGGTTTATAATGACTTACTTGGGATTTGGTGGGATGCTAAAAATGATTTGCTGCCGTGGAGGAGCCCATTCTAAATTTCCACGAAGTCGACACTACAACAAAACGAACATGATGATGCAAAGCATGACATGGACTTTTCTTCCGGTTCCTAAGGCCTGTTTTCCACTAGACACGTATCGTAACGTATCGTAGCAAAACGTAACTTGGCGCATGCGTGCTTGCACCTATTGACCATCAAATTCATAAGTACGCATGCGCCCTATTACGTTTTGCTACGATACGTTAGAATACGTGGCTAGTGGAAAACAGGCTTAATAAGTAAATTGGCGAAGTTTTCAATAAACATAAGATGACGATATTTACGTATGTACGACCAAAACCCGGCTCCCTCGATTGGAAAACACAAAACGTTATGGATTCCCTCCTCTCGCTATTTAAAGTGAATATCTCACCGGCAATAATGTCCTGCTGGCATTATAATCGCTTGTGTCGTAGAGTTCGTCGTCAGGGGAGACTGGGACGGCTTCCGGAAGTGGTAACAGTCTTTGCGGTACATCTTGCTCGGACACTATCCACTTTAAATCTTCTGATTTTAAATTTTTCCTTAAAGCTACATGTTGCAGTAAAGATAAAGCGACTTGTTCGGCAGATATAGGAGATGCGCTGGTTTCATGCGGTGAATTAGATAACAAGGAACCCACTACAATAACATTTTGCTGCTCGCTATCTTTATCGTTATCAATTTTGTAACTTTCAGGATGTTCGCTACTTGAATCATAGTCACTATCAGTCGATTTTGCTTGTTCTCCTAAATATATAAGTACATCTGAATCGCACGAAAATTCTTTATCCTTTTTCTTCTTCGGTAATATTACGAGTTACCCCTCAAAACAAAACAAAACAAAACAAAAACGCATCTGACTGGTTGTTTGGACAACAATGGAACCGAGTGCTTTCATGCTTTTCACAAAAATTTTTGCAATACAATTATGTTTTTATGTATTGACCTGAACAAATTTATTACAAATACAGAAACCCACAAGGCTCAAGGTTATGCACATGACAACAATTGAGCACATTCGTTTGATCACTAGCTACAACCAAGTAACTATGGAAACCAAAGATGACTCACGTGATGAGAAACTTGAAGGAGGGGACGACAAAGACAACGTATCGCTATGAAAACTTTCACTTCTCCTTTGATGTGTTTTCCTTGCATACTTTTTCCTTCTAATTCTTGCTCTTAGTTGCATGATTTCTTCATCACTTTCATCAGCGTCTATGTCTTCGTCCGGGTTCTCACGGTCTACACTTTCACACTTCATCTTAATATTGAAAAACTCAATGATTTAGCCATCAGCCGTTATTTATCCAGGTTTTAACTACATATAAAGCTGAAAGCCTTATTAGTCCTCACTACATTTTAATGTGTTTTATTGAATTCAATTTTCACGTTAAAAGCGAACATGCTTCGGAAAATTACACTTTTTTAACATATTTTGGTGAAAAGATTTCTGAAAAAAGTACGGATACGCTGCGGATGGAAAAGGGATGCGCACTATAGAAACTTTTGCACACACACACCCTAAGAGAATGTCGCCCAACACCCTTTGCTTTTGTTGTCTTTTCTATGTTTCTTAGAATGAAATATTAGGTATTCATAGAATGAATGTACGTACACAACAAAAATAAATGTTCGTAGGTACGTAGCTATAGCCATGCTTGTTATCACAAATTGCTGTCAACGCTAAGTTCGTTTGGTCTTACAAAAATTTAATGAAAACTTTGTACTTACTTCTTCTATAGCACAAATAAGAGCTTCAGATATGCTAAAATGGGCATTTTCCTGCAACATGAAAAATACACGTTTAGAGTACACGAATAAAAGCAATTTTCAAACTTTGAGTATCAGTTGTGTAGCCATCTGCCTGGCTATCCCAACACCTCACAAGACGGATATCTATCAATTTGTCTAAAAAATTTCTTATGTTTGTTATCCAAGTATACATATCTACATTGTAACTTTGCAACTAACATTCTCGCACATTTTAATACAAAAGGCGAAAATTAAGGAATACACAATATTATTCCATATAAGAGTTATTAGTTATTAGTTAGTTATGGCGTCTTTCAAAATTACAATTTACTAGTTGCAAAAGGCAATAACTCCAGGTTCCATCAAGTCTATTGACCTAAATAAGCCAAATGGCTCATCAATTAAACCATTTTCGGTTGGACAGTCGGTTAAAAAAATTATAGACAAACAATACACTCTTGATTTAACGATCGATAATAGGACCAAGCGTTTCCGAGTTATTCAGTCTGGATCGGCTTTATTGTACAACGTTGCACAAATAGCTAGTTTTGTATGTGGACGATCATCACCCATGTGTATGAGCGAACTTTGTACGCCGAAAGTCGTATTAGTAAATGCATCATTTATTTTATGGATTCTAGTGATATTAGACATATTTCAAGATTGTTGGATAACTTTATCTTGTCCTTTCATAGATTTTCCAAGGACAACATTCTTCTAAACGCACCACAGGTGCGCCAATACGACTTTTAGCAGGAGTTTTTTTTTTCTGGATGTGACACTAATCAGTTTAGGCTTGAGTAATTGGCTGAGAATTCATAGGAAAGTTGCAGGTATCACGGCGAAATGACGCAACTATGGCCAGCAAAAGCATGCAGGGCGATAATTGTGGAGACGGTGCACAGAGTGAGAAACAAACTACTCTCTTACCCGATCAAACTCCTGACAAGCGTCATACATTCTAGACGATAAAGATCCAAGAATAGGTGTTTGACTGGGTCGGCGAGAAAATGATGAAACGAAATTGCCGCCACCGTAAAACTCTAAAAATATTCAACAATTATAAAAAATTACCAATCGAATATATTTCTACGGTTTTCTTTAGTATGTACTTTTCCTTTTCTGTTTTCACCGACTGCTGGTCAGTAGGATAGAAGACATACTTATAAAATAAAAGCAATAAAACGCGTACGCTGATTGGTCTATAGCTGTGTTTCAATTAGTCTGCACGTGCAAAACAGATTTGAGCTGAACCATCATTCAATCAATCAAATTATGAATACATTTTAGAGTAAAAATTAAAAAGTTTGCGTGTTTCGCATTGTTGTTATTTTACAAAAGAAATAAAAGATGTTTTCCGTGTTTGCTCAGGCTTATATGCAAACCTCTGAGACGTTTGTCATATTTCTCGAGCAGGTGAAACCCTCGACCTTCGGTCTTGGGCATGCACTGTCCACTACTCACTCCCAAAGGTCTCCTTGGTTAGCATAAGCCTGCGCAACACAGTAAACATCTTTTTTTTTCTTAATTAATACCACTTTTCTCTGTAAACATTCAACCATTTCTTAAAAAATAGATTGTTTGACACATTTTATTTCATAAAAGCACAACGCTTGGGAAAGCGGGGCTAGCTATAAATATGGGGAGTGGACTATGACGCAGGCTAGGCTAAAATTCTTATGTGAATTTCATGACACGAAGCAATTTCCCCATGAAATACTATATAAAGTAACTGAATTTAACTACAGCATCCACATTATCCTGGCAAAACGTAACGTAGCTACGTACGTACAAAAAATACCATACGTACAACAAGACTAACCCGCGATATCCGAGTTCGTTGGCAGAGAGGAAGATAACACGTCATCTGCAACGTTTTTTTCGTGTTGGGTTGCATTAAATGATGTTTGCTTTGTAGTGCCAAATGGACGAAAACGACGCAATTGATCGGATTTAGAACGATAATGTCCAAGAACCTTTCCCTTATCGGGCTTATTAAGCTCAGACTTACCATTGTCGTCTTTACTCTTTGAGTCAGACAGGAAACTTTCACTACCTGACGAAAGTGATCTCGTCTTTGGACTGATGTATGCATCACTGTAAAGTCTATTTCGGCTGGATTCAATATGTGAATTATTTCTAAGCATTCTTCTTTCTATCAAAGAATAATGTCTGGAGGAATGAAACTCCCCTTCAAACCATCTCATTTCATTCTGAACATCTATCGGTTCTGTGGCAGCCTTGAAAGCAGCAGAAGCCAAAACAGTTTCGTTGAATTTAGATGTGCTCTTTGACGATACATTGAGTCGCGATGATTTGGGGACAAAAATTTCATTACAAACGCTATTTGAAGGAGACTCGTTTGTTTTTGAAGTTGAGCGAATTCTTGATTCCGTTTCCAACGATTGATTTTCATTTGCACTGTCAGTAGAGGAGCTTTCATCTGTATTCCCAGAACCATCATTTATCTGCTTCTGACATTTTTCCAAATATTTTTCTTTATTGATCTACAATGCCATATAAAATGCAAGCGCTATAAGAACTCGATGAAATGCAAGCTACGTTACGTATGTCCCACGAAAAAAACCAATTTTTAATAATGCTATCTTCAGCTTCAACAAACAAATCTAGCAAAGAGGTTGAAGGTGAAATTGAAACCCTCTACTTAAGTAATAACATACTAAAGTATGTTGAGAAAGTAATAGCTGAAAATAACATTCTTATTCAGTATCACATGACCTTTCAAATTATACCATAAATCTCTTCAAAATCATCATAAACATGAACAACTTACTTACCAGTATGTAATCAATAGAGGTAGGTAGTAAAGGGTTATCTTCTTCAATAGCTCTAAGACACTGACAAAGAGCCTCTAAATGCTCAAGACTTCGAAGGAAAGCAAATTCTTGAAAAAAGCACAAGTAAAAATGCACAATTAGCAATGCAATTAGCTAACATGCTTTAGTCCTCCAGTGTACCAAAATGACCAAATAAGAAAACTGGTGACTGCACTATGCACATACATAACAATGCTTAATTTGCACCAGCCTGAGAACCAACATTATAAATTGAAGCCCATAATTGTATGTTAATACTTATAAATGGTGGAAAAAAATTAGAAATTACAATAATGACAAAGAAGACTAAAAAATGAACATGTTCCCTCAAATTGGCTAGGAGATATAACTCATTTCTGGGGAAGATTCAGATGAATGAAAAATTCTTCTGTTAAATTTGTATTTTCTTTTCTAATTGACAAACAATCTATCAGACCTTACAATGCAAGCCTGAGGTGCATAAAAAGCATTTAAAACCAATAAAATGATTTTTTAAAAGAATTACGTAACAACACAATGCAAATCAGGCTTACTGTAATAGCACTTCTTCATACGATATTTCACTGAACAGAAAGATGCCACTTTGGAAGATAAATTGCGACTCAAAAGGCATTTTCTAATCCATTGGTTTATACTTGTCAAATCTTCCAATTCTTTTTCATCATTTGTGGTCACATTTTTTAAAAGTGTCAACAGGCCATTTGAAGCAAGTCTACCATCATGCCCATGTTGCTATAAAAAAGTAAATATTTGTGTATGTATTATCCCATTCACCACCAAGTCTTTTCTTAGTCACATGCATGTGAATCAGTGGAGGAAATACAAAACACTGAAAAACAACATGCTGTTGCTATTGATTGGTATTCCACTCAAAACAAAAGGATAGACAAAAATAAATTGGTAAATTGGAATTTATCAAGTTATGCAGCTCTATAAACAACCCAACATGGCCTCCAATGGATAACTCAACTCTAAACTAAAATGCCAGAGATTCTCATCAACACACCCAAGCATTACTAAAAACATTTTTTCTGATTACAAGTGAAATAAAATTGATCAGTAGAGGAACAAAAGTTGGATTAATTTGACAAAAAGAATATTTTGACAAACTTACTTACAACTTAAAAGTTCTCACAACATGTGATGCTTTTTGTTTACAGCAAAATGTGCAGCAAAGTCAAAACAGCATCAACCATTTCAAAGTGATTTTTAGCTTAAGATCTCTTGATAAAGCTCTTACTGTTCATTTATGTTATTCAAGATACTATGATTAAAATCACTTTCCCACCCATTATGCGTAAAATTTTTTGAATTTAAATTGTCTCATCCAAAAGTACTAATTAGTCAAACACAGTGAACTGTTAATATGGTTTCCATGATTACATTATTTTATAATTTGAGCATCATCCGCCGGTGCAAGAGCAAGAAATATCGAAACAGCGATAACAAATAAATAGGCCCATTGACAGAAAATTCTCCAATTAATCATCGAGTAAAAGACACAAATGCAGTTGTAGAAATTATGAAAGAACGACATAAAATTCAATTTCACGGGTAAACGATTTATGCTTTATAAATACCGGTGTAATGATTCGAGAACCGTGGAGCAAAGCTTGTTCAACATTATCGCAAATACGGCCAAGTCCACCATAAGTAGACCAGGTAACATGGGAGCCACTAGCAAGTAGTTCATCGACAGTAAGTTTTACTTTCAATAATATGTTGCATCTTTCTGCAGCATGTTGAAGTTTTCTGTCGAGGGCATCGGCCATAATACAACTACAATGTTTTTGTTTTAATTCTCTTCATTTTTCTAGTTTTCTCTACCTGAGCCCACGCTATGTTGTCAGCGCTTGTCACGAGTTTGCGCCATAATTTAAGACTTAGTGTAACAATGAGTTACAACATAACAACGATTGCTTCTATTGTTAAGTTGTTGCCCTGGGCAATACAGACGCTATATGTTGTCAATTAAAGTATATGAACAAGAACATTATCGGAGAATTGATGCAAAATTGATCAATTAATAACCATTGGGTAAGTTTAATACTAAACGTAAATTTTTCAAATGGAAAAGTGGAAACATGCCGATCTCTTGTCAAAAAAATCACTTGTTTATGTGGTTTCTTTACTTTCTTGGTTTCTGTGGTTTCTTTTTGAGTTATTGTTTTAAGTTTTAACTTTAACCTTCATAGTCAAACCGTTAAAAGTTATAAGTTTCCGAGTTTTTAATTAATTTATACCCAAACATCAGCATAATCTAAGCATATACACCCCATACTATAATAGAGTGTTCTCTTTTTTTTTCTTTTTAAGTAAGTTGACTGTTTATCTAATTTTTTTTCTCTTACAACAAGGAATTTTTTCACAAGTCAGCAGCCTGCTGTTTAGCTGTAATATGTATGATGTAGGGAGTGTGAGAAAGACTTATATAAAATAAAACTTTGTCAACTTGCCAAGGTTGAATGATTGGAAATGGTCAAGGCAACATCACCCACATTTCAAATGTAGCAGCGATGCCTGCGGCACAAAAAAAGGTAAAAGTAGGACGAGGTATTAAAAAATCAGCTGCCAAGAAAGGACTAAACGGTCTTCAAACCATTAGTGCGATGATGAAAAATCTTCGTCTTCAATATGAAGCTAAATGTAAAGATGAAAAAAGTTATCCATTGCCAGCTGTTAAAAATTCAATAAGAGAACATGAGGAGAGAAGTCAGCTATTAGTCAAGGTAATGTTTCTATTGTTTAAATAATGAAATTCAAAGTCAACTGAACAGGCAAGTATTCATACCTGACTTCTCATTGTTTTATCATTGTATTTCAGTTCACTTTATATAGTGGACCATGTGAAGATTGCCCGGTGAAAATCTCCTCCCTATTATCAGCTTTGCGAAGTACTAGATATGTACACATCAAAGAGCTGTATGTTTGGGATCTGCCTTTGAAGCACGAGGACATTGCAAACCTGGTATGTTTTTGACCATTGACTTGTTGGTAATTAAATGTGAGTGGTGCATGTAGAATTTTATAAAGCAAGAGTTTAATGCTTGAAAGTACTTGCTATCAATAATATTAAGTATTATCTTTCATCATGGTTTGAATCAACATAAGCAGATTTGATTCTGATTGAGATCACCAAAATGTTACATGGTATTTTTTCTCACCAATAAAATATCCAGAACAATGGTCAATCCACGTAAATGTCGCCATTTATAATTGTAAATTCTGTTGGACGCGGATACTTTTAGGCAGACTAATGTATTTTGGTGCTAGACCTTCAAAGACATAGATATGTGTATTGTGTCAATTTTTTAAATTATCATGGTTGTTGATGCAGTAATTAAGTTTTTTGAGCTTTTGCCACACAAACATAGTAGCCCAGTAGCTGTCCACAAAGCTTCTTTATTAATTATTATTACTGTAAGCGGTTTGCAAATTCAGGCGCAAGCAACGCGCATGTCTCGCGACCAAGGTAACGATGCAGCACAAACAGTCATTCAGTTTACGTAGATTATTATGCACAGTCAATGACATCGCTTATAAATATGTACGATTTAACGTCGTAAGCACGAGCTGAAATTTCTAAGAGAATTAACTTGATAGTTTTGTCAGTTTTGAGTTTATATATTTGATATCCACTTAGTATTTTAACTTTCGCTTTCTATTACATCATTGTACTAACATGCGGATTAATTATAGTAGATTAATGGAATAAAAAACAGAAAAAAACTACTTAGCTAAGACCTGGATTAGAAAAGCCAGTGACGCCGTTGATCTTCGCAGAATCATCATTCTGTCTGACTATAACTTTCATGTTAATGTCACGACGACCATTTTCAACATGACTTTCTTGTCTCGGAAACGACATCTCGCCCCAGGTTAGCATATTTTCTGGAGGAAACTCTGTTTTAGTGTAAACGTGATAGATCTTGGGAAAGAATAAACCAGCAAGAGTGATCCAACCAATAACAAGGCTCATCGAAGACGACCAATAAACACGATGAATACTGTAGTTTGTGTTGAGAAAAGTTGCAAAAAATATAACCCATACTACGCAAGTCAAATACATCGTGATTCCTATGTATAGAGCTTCGTTAAAGTTCTTGGGAAAATGACGAGTTCTGAAAGCATAAAATGTACACCATACTATTAATACAGCATTGTACACGAAATAAATGGCAAACGTGGACTTCTTGAAATCGCACTCAAGCACAAGCTCTTTTCTCTTCTGATAATACTTTTCTATCAATTCAGGTGGGTCTGTGCTAAAGAGGAGCCAACACAATAATCCTTGAATTGCTATGAGACCTGCCGTGATCAAAAGCAAAGAACGTCTGCCAATCAAACCACTCGGAGAGAAACGGCGCAGTTGATTGGCGTGTTTAAAGATGCGATGAATGCGAAACATTTTCATAAGTAATGGTGCATAACATACAGTAAAAGATACTCCCATAATAAAACGTTCAACGTAACATTGAACATTTGATGGCTTTGATAGCGAGATCATTGGTACTGTAAATATAAATGCTATGCCAACCAGCATAAAATAACACATTTCACGACCTGATGCCTTAATTAGCTTGTGGTCAGTTTTCTTCAAGAATATTCCCAACACAATAGCGTCAAAAAGAATTCCAACCGAGGAAAAAAACGTTATAGTTACTGCAAATGGAGAGTCCATCTTCACGAAATGCAATGGAAGTTTTTTGCAGATTGATATATTAACATCAGGGACATGGGTCTCAGCACAGGTCTTGCACGTGTTGTTTACCACTATGTCATTTGTTCCACACGTGTAACATCTATGGCAACAGTTATCTTCTCGTAACGTAATAATTTGATTACGTGCACATTTTGGTCTACAGGTCGATAACGGTTGACTTAAGTTGCCATTTGGCCATCGTATTTTTGATTCATCAAGTAACAAGTTTCCCATAATATTGCCGTTAGAATCAGGCTTGCTCACCCATGATCCCACTTGAGCATACTCATACGTTGATTGGCCATTCAAACGGAAGTTGTATATGGTGTAGTTTCCATCGACTTCCTGTTGTGCGTTGAACGATACAGGAAAGTGGAATGCTGCATCTTTGTATGTAACATTACGAAGAAATTGTAAAAGTAATGTTCTGTCAATGGGTCTCATTTCGTCACAGAGTCCAGGTTTTCCAAGGCATTTGTGTTTGTGCATTGCATTAAGACCATTTGCCATTGCTTGTACAGCGTTTATAACAACTTGTACGGGAGCCAAATCTCTGTATCTACAGAAAAATCACATTTTTACTATAAATAGTATTATGCGATGGACATGGTTAAAGCATTTAATTTAGTGGTCATTATGATACAGGCATGTTCCATATTGATTGATTGTTTGATTGTTATTGATTGTTAAGCAGGTCTGACTGTGTTTAATTTTCATGATTTGTATGATGAGTATCTCTAGCCATTACTAACTATTAGTTTTTGTAATTGAAATCTTGATAAAACTAAGTGCATGCGAAGTGTGTTCGCAAATAAAGCATTGTTTTCTCGTCTCTTATGATAGTGCTGCTAATTTATCCAAATCTTTATGTACTATTACTATCATTACCCTGTGTTTGGCTCATCTCCACTGCATTCCTTTGTGTAATTGGCTTGGACAGTGAAATTTCTAAGTCTACAGTCATGAGTGAGTTGCCAATATTCCCCAATCCATTCTCTTTGACTTCTGCTGTAGTTGTTAAATCTGAGACTTCTAAAATAACTCACAAATTCTGGAATCGTTCCTTCACGATGTCCAAAGGATATCGTCCCATCAGCGATATCCTCCAAGCCTTCGGTAATGTCCCAGCGGTTACTCCACCCAAGACTGCCCACGAAAGATATATTCGAGCTGCGTGGATGTTTTTTTTTTGCTTTTAGTAATTCGCGAGAATCTCTTTGCACAGTAATAAGGATAACAATTCGCGGTGGCTCAACGTCATCAGTCAGTAAAGTCTTCATGATATTTACGAATTCATTTTCGACTGGAAACTTTGAAACCCTTATGCTATGCCCAAGGCAAATCTGTGAAAAGCGTTTATAGAAATGCAGTCAACATGTGTATTTCAAACTATTGATAAATAATTTTCTTAGCTATATTTGCATCATTACATGTAGATAGATATATACCTCACTGTTTTTTAAAGCGTCCCGCACTTCCTGTGCCCCAGACTCCGCCCATGTACCTGAGGAATAGACTAACGAGACATAAGTCCAATCCATCTTTAAAAGTAACGTGGTGAGTGCAACAGCAAAGTAGCTATCTGGGGGGACAGTTCGAAAGAAGTAACTATATTGGTTCTTGTTGCTAAGTATATCTGTAACTGCCCCGTAGCTGATTTGAGGAATTTGAAAAACTCGTAGGAAATTAGCCACAATCACTGATGTTTCACTGACAAAAGTTCCAATCACGCCAGCAAACTCAGAACCGTTAACTCTTGATGGTACGAGTGTCATCTTGATAAATTCCTTCGTTTTATCAGCTGTGATGATGTTACTGCGACAAGTGTCGTAAATTATTGAACCAAGCTTAATTCCAGGCAAGAAATCCTTTTGTCGGTTGATCTTATCAAGGGTATATAACATGGCTTCCATGTACTGATATCCCACCAACTCGCTGAATTCACCACATTCTCGCTCATTTTTTCCTACCGTGTGGATTGGGAACAAGGCACCGAGTATGATATCTCCGTCTACTCTCAAGCTGCCTGACAAGAAAGGAAAAGTTAAATTTCACATTCGGAAAGAAGAAAACTCAAGCGCTACGCATTGCATTTAAGATAAAAACATCTTTATCATTTATTTTGATATCGAAAACACGATCTATGATTACTTTCTTTATTCAAGTTTTATTCATCGGTCTTTGGTTTACAGAAATATGATATAAAGGTCGTCTTCTTTTTTATATACCTTTCTCCATCGAGACTGGATTTGAGGCAAGAAGCAGTAAAACAACGCAGAGACAAAGCAACATTTATATTCCTTCTTCGATGGTAGGGTGATCACACTTTGACTGCTGAAAAACATGACGGAGTGTTATAAAACACTGTTAACAGAACTCTGCGTGATCTTTCTTTTGTCTACCTGCTGTTTAACAAATTGACTATGAGGAGCATTCTTTGTTTATAAAATGTTAATTGCCCAAGCTTGAAAATATAGAAAGCGAAACTTGAAAATGCAACTCTATCTACGTTATTGCTACCACGCTGGTAATAGACAACAAAAAGCGGTCTTCTACCGGCCTTAAATTATGGATCATCAAACTATTGCACTCTTCCAAAACATTAGGAAAATTGTGTCTAAATAAAATATTTGATGCGTCATCGCTTTCTCACTGGTTGCACCATCTGCCCGTTGTTTGCACAGCATTAGAGTAAATAAAACAACTTGTAGCTGAGAGGTTGATTCCTTTTTAAATAAAAAAAATGGGCATTTACAGTCATAAATTAGTTATATATCTAAATCTCGTCAAGAGGTTCTTATCGAGATTCGACCGGTTTTTCCAGAAACTCAGAATTTTTTAAAAATTCGATGAAGTCACGCTTCAATATTTTCGTCAAAAATTACTTCAAGCTTTAAATTACAGTTGTTTTCCCAATAGGCAGTAAATCGTCGTTTCGGCTGAAAATTTTCGCGTTGAGATGACAGTGATTGTTGCAATGATCACGTTTAAACAAAAAATAATTTATGAGTACGATAGCGATGAGATCCTTGTCGATAAGACACTGCAATGTTGATTTGATGTTAAATGCACTCCGTGTCTTATCTCAAGTGACTGTGTCGTTCACAATTAACTGTTATAGACGACAACGATAAGTGGTGTTTATTCGACAAACAATTACTTACGAACTTTGATGCTTTGTCGTCTTTTACTTATTTTTAAAAGACGTTTGTTCAACTATCCTTCGCTACATACGCTCCTGCTATGCAGTCAAATGCGTCAATGAATTAATGATTTTTTTTTGTAAAAACAATGTCAAGTCATCGGCAAATTAAAACACTGTCCATCTATATGAGATAGACATTTTGTAAAAAATAATGTACGGATATAAAAATACCACTTACCTGACGATGAAATCTCAAATGTTTGTTCTGTATTGTCATGTAAACATAACTACATAGACATTCCTTCCTGTTGTTTAAGTCCTTCCTTTCTTTGTTTTGAGAATATTTGTTGTCGATGGTCGACAAGTTTATATTTGAATATAAATCATGTCAATGTTCTCCTAGTAAACATTAGGTTCAACTAAGTTTTAATAAATACATTTGAATGCAATGATACAGACTAATCGCGGCTGTACTGCACATTGCAAACCCAAGCATGAAATTCCTTTTAGTTGCGTGTACGCCTCCTCCTAGATTTAGCAGCAATTACTGCTAAATCATGCAAATTCTCAACGTTGTAAGATACCAGAAGATGAAGTTTTTTGATACAGCCTGTGTGTCATGTTTCTTTAAAGATTAGAGTTAATGAAATGAATTTCAAACAAAACAATTCTCTTGATTTTGTCGATTTTAGTTTCACTGGTTTCATTTAACATTCGTGATCAGTAAAGTCGTCATTATGTAAATAAAGACCATTTAAATATAAGTGATATTCCTGATGACATAACAGTGACCTTTCCAAAAAGGACAAAATTTTGAACTTTGTTTTCAAGATGCAAAGAAAGAAACACTTTTAAATCAGTAAACTTTAAAGGAGATCTAATATGTAATCCAAATTAAGGATTACTGAAGCGTGACGCCTAACCATGCAACACAAACTCTCGAGCAATTTGCCATATCATAACTGACAATGAAACGATCTCAAACAAACTTTACCTGTTAAGTACTAACGTTTTAAACAGAGATAACTTAACAGTTTAATTCATATAAACGTTTCGTGCATTTCTACAACATACATTTTCTATTAAAGCAGATTAATGCCGGTATGAAATGTGGGAAACATCTGTTTAGCTTAACCCTGGATTACAAAATCCAGTGTCGCCACTGATTCTAGCAAAATCATTATTCTGCCGTACTATAGCTTCCATGTTAATGTCACCACAACGCTGACATACAGCTTCGTTTTCAACGTGGCTCTCCTGAGTAGAAAACGACGTCTCGCCCCAGGTCAGCATGTTTTCGGCGGGAAACTCTGTTTTAGTGTAAACGTGATAGATCTTGGGAAAGAATAAACCAACAAGAGTGATCCAACCAATAACAAGGCTCATTGAAGATGACCAATAAACACGATGAATACTGTAGTCTGTGTTGAGAAAAGTTGCAAAAAATATAACCCATACTACGCATGTCAAATACATCGTGATTCCTATGTAGAGAGCTTCGTTGAAGTTCTTGGGAAAATGGCGTGTTCTGAAAGCATAAAATGTACACCATACTATTAATACAGCATTGTACACGAAATAAATGGCAAATGTAGACTTCTTGAAATCACACTCAAGCACAAGTTCTTTTCTCTTCTGATAATACTTTTCTATCAATTCAGGTGGGTCTGTGCTAAAGATGAGCCAACATAATAAACCTTGAATTGCTATCAGACCTGCTGTGATCAAAAGCAAAGAACGTTTGCCAATCAAACCACTCGGAGATAAACGGCGCAGTTGATTGGCGTGTTTAAAGATGCGATGAATGCGAAACATTTTCATAAGTAATGGTGCATAACATACAGTAAAAGATACTCCCATAATAAAACGTTCAACGTAACACCGAACATTTGATGGCTTTGATAGCGAGGTCATTGGTACTGTAAATATAAATGCTATGCCCACCAGCATAAAATAACACATTTCACGACCTGATGCCTTAATTAGCTTGTGGTCAGTTTTCTTCAAGAATATTCCCAATACAATAGCGTCAAAAAGAAGTCCAATGGAGGAAAAGAACGTTATAGTTACTGCAAGTGGCGAGTCCGTACTCACGAAATGCAATAGAAGTTTTTTGCAAATTGACCTATTAACATCAGGGACATGGGTCTCAGCACATGTCTTGCACGTGTTGTTTACCACTATGTCATTTGTTCCACACGTGTCACATCTATGGCAACAGTTATCTTCACGTAACGTAATAATTTGATTACGTGCACATTTTGGTCTACAGGTCGATAACGGTTGACTTAAGTTGCCATTTGGCCATCGTATTTTTGATTCATTAAGTAACAAGTTTCCCACAATATTGCCATTAGAATCAAGCTTGCTCACCCAAGATCCCACTTTAGCATACTCATACGAGGATTGGCCATTCCAACGGAAGTTGTATATGGTGTAGTTTCCATCGACTTCCTGTTGTGCGTTGAACGATACAGGAAAGTGGAATGCTGCATCTACGTATGTAACATTACGAAGAAATTGTAAAAGTAACGTTCTGTCAATGGGTCGCATTTCGTCACAGAGTCCAGGTTTTCCAAGGCATTTGTGTTTGTGCATTGCATTAAGACCATTTGCCATTGCTTGTACAGCGTTTATAACGACTTGTACGGGAGCCAGTTCTTTGTAACTATAGAAAAATCAAATTTATTTCATAAAATTATTCTTGCACACAAGAAAAATAAAAACATATGGTGTTAAAGTTAAAGTTTTGAACAAATTTTTGTTCAGGCTGCAATAATTCATAAAAAAAACACATCATTGAAGAATTATCACTTCTATACAGTTAATTATGTCTTATTGTGTAAATTAATTACATGTTAAGTGTTATTACCCTGTGTTTGGCTCATCTTTGCATTCATTTGTGTATTCAGTTGGAATTGTAAGATTTTTAAGTTTACACTTGTAAGTTTGTTGCCAGTATTCACCAAACCATTTCTTATAATCCCTGCTGTAATTACTGGGCCTAAGACTTCTAAAATAACTTTGAAATTCAGGAATCATTCCTTCACGATGTCCAAATGTTATCGTCCCGTCAGCGATATCCTCCAGGCCATTTGTAATGTCTCTACGATTACTCCATCCAATACTTCCTACAATAAATATTTTCGAGCCGCTTGGATGCCTCTTTTTTGCTCTCAACAATTTACGAGAATCTCTTTGAACTGTGTAGAGAACAACTACATGTGGTTGTTCTTCGTGATCACCGATCAAAGTTTTCATGATTTTGTCAAATTCATCGTCATCAGGAAAAGGTGAAATTTTAATGTTGTTTCCAAGACATATCTGTAATGCATAAAAATGAAAGTGAGAATCAATAGGAAAAGCATTACAAAGGCATTGAGATCCTCTTAATAATATATACTGCAGATATTTTCTATTTTGTGTTGGTAACATGCCTTGTTACTTTCAAGAACTTTCCTCAGTCTCTCTGCCCCAGTCTCCGCCCATGTCCCTGAAGAGTAGAGTAAAGACACAAAAGTCCAACGCATCTTTAAAAGGAACGTAGTTAGTGCAGCAGCAAAGAAGCTGTCTGGTGGAACGGTTCGCAGGAAATAGTTGTACAAGTTTTTGTTGCTGAGCACATCTGTTGCTGATCCATAACTAATTTGAGGAATGCGAAAAACGCGTAGAAAGTTAGCCACTATTACTGAGTTTCCACTGACAAACGCCCCAATCACACCAGCAAATTCAGATCCGTTAACTCTTGATGGTAGCAGTGACTTCCTAATAAATTCCTTTGTTTCATCTGCAGTTATCGTGGGACTTCGACAAGTGTCGTATATTGTCGTACCAAGCTTAATGCCAGGCAAGAAATCCTTTTGTCGGTTGATCTTATCAAGGGTATATAACATGGCTTCCATGTACTGATATCCCACCAACTCACTGAATTCACCACATTCTCGTTCATTTTTTCCTACGGTGTGGATTGGGAACAAGGCACCGAGTATGATATCTCCGTCTACCTTTAACCTATCTAAAACGAGAAATTCAAGTTTAAGTTTCTAAATTGAAACGATGAAAACCCAAGCAGTCAACTGTGACATGTAAGATAAAGCTATCTTTATTCTATCTTTTACAGTTTATGTATATATCTAGTACACATATCCAATATAAATAAATTATATTAACTCACGAGACTATAATATTGTAAGTGAAATTGCAAAATTTACTAAATTAAAAATCCTTGAGTACATATACTTTACACATAAACGGGTAAATAAATACCAGCAATAAAAGTGGTTTAGTTTGATATACCTTTCTCCGTCAAAACGGCATATGAAGCCGATAGCAGCGAAAAAATCCAAAGATAAAGCAGCATCAGTATTCAAGGCTCAGTCGACGACACTTACGACATTTGAATGGTGTAGAGTTTTAATTAAATAGTGACCCGTTCTGACCTTAGCATAATCTACATAACGAACAGTTGGATAATGAAGAGCAATCTTTTAAGTATAAACTCACTATATACCACTACTTATGCTCAAGTAAAACTTAATAATAAATTCTAGTAGATTTTGTGACAATGTTGTCACTCTAAATATTTGAATTATTTCAATTATGTGAAATGTAAAACTATTTATAATAAGTACGACAGCAATAGCCTGCTTGTTGATAAGCCACTGTGTAGAGTGGTCTTGATGTAATGTTATTACGAATTCGGTGTTCGAGTCTCAGGTGATTGTTACAACTATAATTGACGGTAACGAAATGTGGTCTTTTTTTGACAGCTATGCGTAAATACTAGTTTATGTACGAATCAAATGCTCCACTTAATGCTCGTAAGCTGTGCTAAGCCAACAACTGCGTTAGAGAATGACTCGATGTTTCTACAGTTAGTTATTACTTTGTTAAACATTATTTACATTACTTTGATATTGAAAAGATGTTGATATGTTTTTTTGCTACATTAAGCACCTGCTATGTATTGAATTTTTCGTTTTTCATGAATATGTCATCTACTCAGCAAAATGGAACAATGCTCATGCCTGTATGAGACAGATATTTTGAAGAAAATCTCGTACGAAAATGAAATTATCACTTACTTGACAATGGAATCTTAAAATGCTCCTTCTGTGTTGTATTTTATAAATAACGACACACATCCTGTTATTTAAACTTCCCTTTCTTTGTTTTTAGTATATTTAGTAGTCGAGGTTCGAGGATTTTATCTTTTATGTAAATTATACGTTGAGTTTCTCAAAAAAATGTTATGTTGAACACAATTTTTTTTTATATACTACATTTATCTAGTGTTATGAGCACATTTCTTTTACTTGTCGTAGTTTTGTAGTTGTTTGTATAACTTTTGACACTCTGACTTCAAGCAAAAATAACAAATTGTATGTCGAACGTGAAATCATGTAAAGAGTAACATTTTCTTAAATCGACTGGTTTTTAAGCACGACTATAGTTTTGAAACGCTACGTTTATCTTTTAATGATAAATACATAAACATTTTGATTCATTTAAAGCTTACACTCAGAAGACTTCACTGTCCAGGTTTCTGCTTTACATGTTTTTCGAAGAATGAAATATTGTAAGAAAAAATTCAGTATGAGTGGCAACATGTTTCACTTACGACAATGACGTGTATTTCGTTATTTATCAAATACCGAAACGTTTGCAAAGATTCTGTAAAGGTCGAGGCTTTTAACCCATTTTACAGAGAGTATACTCTATGGTATAATGGAGCCTTAGTCATACCTCTTTCCGCCATAAAGAAAACCCGAGGAAATGCAAAAACACACCAAATCAGCATTATCTTCGCTCTTAGCCAGAAGCACTGAAATACTTTGTGAAAAGTGACAGACAGACAGACAGACAGACAGACAGAGTTTTGCCTGATTTAGCCTTATTTCTGCGTCTTGAAATCCTGTGTGTTGATTGGTCAGCAATATTTTTTTTCGTGGAAATTTACGAAGAAATTATAACATCGAATGACAAAATCATAGATAGAGTAGACCGCATCTGTCACTGACAAGCCTATACGTGCCAATTGGCGCATTAATAATTTCCAAGAAATTTAGTATCAACTTGCTTGAGTCGTGTTGACGCTTCGTGCTGAATATTGTTCATCACAATATTCAACAGCATCGTGTTGAATATTGTGATGAATCTTATTTGGTATTTATTTTCCCTCTCTTTCCGCTGACCCTGATATTAAAAGCATGACCACGTCCGTTGTCTAGAACTTCCGCGATCGTTCATTAAAATATGCAATTAGTTTACGTAGGATTGTACCTCTATTATGTGGATTTAACATTAGAAACTCATAGTCGCGATCATTTTTTCTGAAAATCGGTTTCAAAAATAATGTTTTTCACTATCATAACCTATGCCAAATTGCGCAATGAAGTCAATATCGAACACAATTACCTAAACATATCAAACAACATCAAATCCTACATTATGCATGTTTTTTTGCTAACTCGTGCTATTTAGATAGGCTTGTTTTTAGTCCTGCTGTGAATTTTATCGGAAAGTAATATTACAAGATAAACACGTTCGGCCAGGATACGCCACTATTAACACATGTAATCACCACACAGTTAGCTAGATTTTATTTCAACTTTTATACTACTAACATGTAATACTGTTACAGCTTCATTCATTTACTATGGCCTGTCAGCCATATCAGTCAAAATTGAAGAAACATACATAGGGAAAAATTGGCAGAAGTATCCAGTTTAAGCCCATCCCCCTTCAAATCCCTTAATTCTTTTTATGTTCCTACATCAGTGTGCAATAAAAAGCTTGATCTTTAACTACGTCGTTTATGTACTCATGTAAATTATAATACATTACTAAAAATATATTACAACACTTTAGATCTAATCCAATTGCATGGGAGTTTTTCAGCCTTAATCTTTTGAGTTTTTTTAACCAACAACGTTGTTATGTTAGTTTCTTGAATTTGAAACTAGCCGCTATATAACGTATTTTGGCATGCCTTAAAACCGCCATCTCTCACATGATTATCAAAAATGGTGTTATTTGATTGGCCATTTGTCAATCGACAGCAAAACGTAACAAAGACATGCTCCTGACAAATGATTTTAAAAGTGCTTCCATCTCCAATCGCATACATGAATTTGATAAATAGAGTAAGGGAAGAAATAGTGTTTAAAAGTTCATCTTAGGATGTTTGTTTGACAGATTCTTCAAAAACATTCATTTCGGTTAAAGAACCATTGCGCTTGGACTTAGCTTGCTCCATTGTCTTAAAACAATGCTGACAGACGTTCACACCGTTTGCAGAACTTTCCTGTCGAGGAAACGACGTCTCGCCCCAGGTTAGCATATTTTCGGCATGAAACTCTGTTTTAGTGTAAACGTGATAGATTTTGGGAAAGAATAAACCAACAAGAGTGATCCAACCAATAACAAGGCTCATTGAAGACGACCAATAAACACGATGAGCACTGTAGTTTGTGTTGAGAAAAGTTGCAAAAAATACAACCCATACTACGCAAGTCAAATACATCGTGATTCCTATGTATAGAGCTTCGTTGAAGTTCTTGGGAAAATGGCGTGTTCTGAAAGCATAAAATGTACACCATACTATTAATACAGCATTGTACACGAAATAAATGGCAAATGTAGACTTCTTGAAATCACACTCAAGCACAAGTTCTTTTCTCTTCTGATAATACTTTTCCATCAATTCAGGTGGGTCTGTGCTAAAGACGAGCGCACAGAATAAACCTTGAATTGCTATGAGGCCAGTTGTGATCAAAAGCAAAGAACGTTTGCCAATCAAACTGCTTGAAGAAAGACGATGCAGTTGATTGGCGTGTTTAAAGATGCGATGAATGCGAAACATTTTCATAAGTAATGGTGCATAACATACAGTAAAAGATACTCCCATAATAAAACGTTCAACGTAACACTGAACATTTGATGGCTTTGATAGCGAAATCATTGGTACTGTAAATATAAATGCTATGCCAACCAGCATAAAATAACACATTTCACGACCTGATGCCTTAATTAGCTTGTGGTTAGTTTTCTTCAAGAATATTCCCAATACAATAGCGTCAAAAAGAAGTCCAACGGAGGAAAAAAACACTATAACTACTGCAAAGGGAGTGTTTATGTTCACAAAATGAAGTGGAAGTTTTTTGCAGACTGACATATTAACATCAGGGACATGGGTCTCAGCACATGTCTTGCACGTGTTATTTACCACTATGTCATTTGTTCCACACGTGTCACATCTATGGCAACATTTGCCTTCACGTAACGTAATAATTTGATTACGTGCACATTTTGGTCTACAGGTCGATAACGGTTGACTTAAGTTGCCATTTGGCCATCGTATTTTTGATTCATCAAGTAACAAGTTTCCCACAATATTGCCATTAGAATCAAGCTTGCTCACCCATGATCCCACTTGATCATACTCATACGAGGATTGGCCATTCCAACGGAAGTTGTATATGGTGTAGTTTCCATCGACTTCCTGTTGTGCGTTGAACGACACAGGAAAGTGGAATGCTGCATCTACGTATGTAACATTACGAAGAAATTGTAAAAGTAACGTTCTGTCAATGGGTCTCATTTCGTCACAGAGTCCAGGTTTTCCAAGGCATTTCTGTTGGTGTAATGCATTAAGACCATTTGCCATTGCTTGTACAGCGTTTATAACGACTTGAACAGGAGCCAGTTCTTTGTAACTATACAAAAATCAAATTTATTTGATAAAATTATTCTTGCGCACAAGAAAAATAAAAACATATGGTGTTAAAGTTAAAGTTTTGAACGAATTTTTGTTCAGGCTGGAATAATTCATAAAAAAACACATCATTGAAGAATTATCACTTCTATACAATTAATTATGTCTTATTGTGTAAATTAATTACATGTTAAGTGTTATTACCCTGTGTTTGGCTCATCTTTGCATTCATTTGTGTATTCAGTTGGAATTGTAAGATTTTTAAGTTTACACTTGTAAGTTTGTTGCCAGTATTCACCAAACCATTTCTTATAATCCCTGCTGTAATTACTGGGCCTAAGACTTCTAAAATAACTTTGAAATTCAGGAATCATTCCTTCACGATGTCCAAATGTTATCGTCCCATCAGCGATATCCTCCAGGCCATTTGTAATGTCTCCACGATTACTCCATCCAAGACTTCCTACAAAGAATATTCTCGAGCCGCGTGGATGCCTCTTTTTTGCTTTCAACAATTTACGAGAATCTCTTTGAACTGTGTAGAGAACAACGACACGTGGTTGCTCTTCGTCATCACCGATCAAAGTTTTCATGATTTTATCGAACTCATCGTCATCAGGAAAAGGTGGAATTTTAATGTTGTTTCCAAGACATATCTGCGGAGATAAAGTATGAAACGTATCAAGTATTAACATTGACATAACGATTTTCCCCTTTGATATTTTTCACGTGATTTACATACCCTCTTTGTTTTGAAAATCTTCTTCACTTCCTCTACCCCAGTCTCCGCCCATGTCCCTGAAGAGTAGAGTAAAGACACAAAAGTCCAACGCATCTTTAAAAGGAACTTAGTCAGTGCAGCAGCAAAGAAGCTGTCTGGTGGAACGGTTCGCAGGAAATAATTGTACAAGTTTTTGTTGCTGAGCTCAACCGTTGCTGATCCATAACTAATTTGAGGAATGCGAAAAACGCGTAGAAAGTTAGCCACTATTACTGAGTTATCACTCACGAAAGCTCCAATCACACCAGCGAACTCAGAACCGTTAACTCTTGATGGTACGAGTGTCATCTTAATAAACTCCTTCGTTTCATCAGCCGTCATCGTGGGACTTCGACAAGTGTCGTATATTGTCGTACCAAGCTTAATGCCAGGCAAGAAATCCTTTTCTCTGTTGATTTTATCAAGAGTATATAACATGGCTTCCATGTACTGATATCCCACCAACTCACTGAATTCACCACATTCTCGCTCATTTTTTCCTACCGTGTGGATTGGGAACAAGGCACCGAGTATGATATCTCCATCTACCGTCAACTTCCCTAGATGGCAAAGATATCTGCTTATTTATATTTCGACAGCAAGAACTCGTGCATGCTATGAATAATCAATATCGACTTACGATATTACATGAGGACGATAAATTTTCAGCCCTTATAATGACAAAATGAAAATGAGGAAGTATAAAACCGTGTGTTGAAAGATATGAAAGGAAGCATTGTTTTTTTCCTTTGGATTTTATTTTCATTCATAATAATTACCAATCGTGGATTATATCAAAAATTAATAAACTAGTATCGGAGGTTATTAATGAATGATTCAATTGTGAATTTGCACTTCTATCATTTGTCTGCTGCTACAAAACAAAAGCAGAAAAGTAAGATTTTATTGTCGTACCATTTTCCGCCGACGCTTCATCGAAAACCCAAGGCAATGCAAGAAAATACAGAATCATCATCTCTACTCTTAGTCTGGAGCAAATTCCTTAATATCTATAAAGAAGGAAATAGATCGTCATATAAGATTCACTGGCAAGCTGAAGAAGGCCATAAGCTAAAGAAGGCCATAAGCTAAAGAAGGCCATACTTCATGTTACTCAAACAACAATGACGAAATATACAAATGACACGAAAGATAATTTTGCGTAGATAAATGACCAGACTTGTCTTCTTCAGCTTTAAAAACGACTCCACTTGACTCGTGACCCGAGCTGGAGGACTTGAGCAACTCCAAGCTCCAGAGTGACTCGACGTAACCCACTGTTTGATTATAGTTTTATCAACTCTGCCTCATGGAAAAGAAAAACTTTTGTTATAACTATCGCGAGTTGTGTGCATACCGTTGGAAATATAACAGTTCATAATCTTTCCGTACTTTATAAATTCTATATATTTCGGAAATTTTCTCTTCACCAGATCATTGTTTATTTTTTCTCGGTGTGTAACCTTTGAATGTTCGTAGCAAAATCTACGCTCTAACAAAAATGAGTCATTGTTGTCCAAGTCAGGCACAATATCCTCTTCCTTTTACGTACGACATCAACTCGTCAAAACGGTCAAGTGCAATTGTCGATAGTGGAAATAAACAAAAACCGAAGCGTGACGTATGTTTTCTCACTTTTAAAAAAGTTTTTACGATATCACGGTGGTCATTGTCGACAGGATGGCTCCTCACCTGCCGAGTTGAAAAGTTCCCATATGCCGACGTAATGTTTTATAGTATAGTTTAACTTCAATAAATTGTCATTTGAATTATTTATTGCGCCGTGCGCTTCAAAATGGTACCGGATATTGAAATTTTGAAATTGAAAGGTTTTTATTATTCATCTTCAGATTAAAAAGTATGATGAATTATATTGCATGTCATCACGAGCTCCGCCATTCGTATTATAATATATACTTCAATTACTTTGAAATGATAATGATTGAATATACGTGTAGGCGCTGTACCTACAAAGCGCCTTTAAAAACGAAGCGATTATACAGATTTTTTTTTTTCTGAGAAGTATATTATCGTTGTTTTCGTTGTTCAGATGTATATAAGCTGTCGCTAGTGATGAATGATTTTGTCAAACCAATTTACTTCAGAAACATTCCACTCAAATTTCATACATCGCAATTTAAGTCAAATGGTGTTCTGGCACTAAAATTCTAGTTATACACCAGTCCCTATCATTAATATATAGCTGTAGCTTTAAAGGTGGTGCTTTACGTTAACAAAAATATACAGCAAAAGTTGACTTGATTACCTGATCAAACAAGATGTATTTCACTGCTTGCAAGATGAGCTGATATCTATGAGAATGCATATATTCAAAACACGTAAATTAACTTCCGTAATCTTTCAGTGACCGTCATACCCTGTCCAGACTGCATTTGCAGGTCCAGTCGTGCTTATGAACACGTATTGTTTATATTAATCCTGTTAATCTAAACTGAAAACTTTTTGCTCTTGATGAAAGAGTCAAAAATAGATGATAAATAATAGCTTACGCGGAAGGCCAGAATGAATGACAACGCGTTGTGTGGTACACGTTGTGTGGTACACTGTACACGTTGCTTTCATTTGTCGGTTCACATTGTAGGACGTCCAATATCAGGATTAAACATTCCGATATAAATTAACAGAGTACATCATGAATATATCATTAACTTGTCTGCTGTCGAAAGCTGTATTTGCGCATCAGGCTATCAGAGCGAAGCACAATACGTATGCGTACGTCTTTTTTGAGCAATTATTGAAACACCTGATATTAGCGATAATCATGACGATGTAAATGATGCAAGTGACGTAACTAATGTGCAAAACTTTTCTTTGTACAGACTTGACTTTATCCTGTTTAGTTACTTCTTTGCGTAGACAAATTTTAGGCTGTTTTTGAAGGACATTGATGTATAGTTTGCATTTACAGGTTCAATCGGGTGTAGATAAAAAGCGGGCGCGGACGGCGGACGCAGACGACGGACGCGGACGGCGGACGCAGATGTAAGACGAACGTCTGTTTGTACGAACGTCTGTTTGTTGTGGGCGGGAATTGCAAATGATTTATTGTAGGAGTTTGACAGTAATTTAAACGAGCTTTATCTTTCAGGATATATTTTTTGATCTCATTATTTAAAGCAATTAAACATGCATATTTCAGTTTCAGTCAGTCATATAGAGTGTAACGCAATGAAACCTCATTGTATTTTTTTCGTGTTTTGTCAATGGCATTTCACTCATGTTGGCCTTACGTGAGTGAGCCTTGCTTTTCCAATTTTAAAAGTCAATCTTATATTACTCAAATCATACGATAAAGAAAATATGTATTAATTGAAACCATAAGTAAGTAAAAGCTTTGCATGCACTTATGCAAAGAATGTCCTACAGGTAATTTCCTTTTTAAGATAAGAATATTTGTTGAGGTCCCACTTCTCTGCTGGTCCACATTTCTTTAACACAATTCGTTTTAACTTTAAGTCACTGAGGTAATTCTATGTGATAGAAATAATTACTTGCATCCTTAGATACGAACGGTAGTTATATTGAAAAACATGAGTCAATCCTTCTTTTATAGATGAATCGCTAGCGTTATAGTTTCTCACGCGTTGCAAAAAGAAAGATTCAAGCAAATAAACAAAGAACTTGTATATAGCTCTTTAGAAATATTAACGGAAAACTAACCTAGCGACGATATTTCTATTGCTATGACTGAAAGAATGCAGTGAAACAGAATTTTAAATTTGACTCTAAGTTATACGGAAATTACGACGGAAAATATCATAAAGGCTTTTTGAATGCGTTTGGCTAATATTCATCAAAAATTGTCATATAGCTAGAGCAAACATGAAAAACACATCGTCTGCACTCGGAAAATACTCAAACAACCATATTTGAAAAACATGCTTTTCGTCATTTTAAAGTTGTTGTGCTTCTTACCTCAGTTTTGACTTGTCGGCTAGAACCTGCGTCAGATTTCTGCCGTTTGTCAAATTTCAGAGAAGTGGGACCTCAACAAATATTCTTATCTTATCTTTAAAAAGGAAATTACCTGTAGGACATTCTTTGCATAAGTGCATGCAAAGCTTTTACTTACTTATGGTTTCAATTAATACATATTTTCTTTATCGTATGATTTGAGTAATATAAGATTGACTTTTTTTAAAATTGGAAAAGCAAGGCTCACTCACGTAAGGCCAACATGAGTGAAATGCCATTGACAAAACACGTAAAAAATACAATGAGGTTTCATTGCGTTACACTCTATATGACTGACTGAAATTGAAATATGCATGTTTAATTGCTTTAAATAATGAGGTCAAAAAATATATCCTGAAAGATAAAGCTCGTTTAAATTACTGTCAAACTCCTACAATAAATCATTTGCAATTCCCGCCCACAACAAGCAGACGTTCGTACAAACAGACGTTCGTCTTACATCTGCGTCCGCCGTCCGCGCCCGCTTTTTATCTACACCCGGTTCAATCAGTAGGGACCATAGTCCCCCCTCATCCCAATAATTTTGCCTCCATTTCAAACAGTCGCGAACAGACGCTTTCAAATTCATATGGTCTTCAAAATTTTTTAATTCTTGTTGACATGTTTAAATAAACACAAACGTTTGTTAAGGGTCAAAAGGTGCATGAACAATTGCAAAGTGTGAAAACTGTCGTGAGTTCTGGGCATTTTAGTATATATTTCGTTGCAAAGAAGACGTACAGGTAGAGGTAGTTCATTTAATACATATGCAAAGAAATGGAGGGAGGTTTATGATCAACGCGTTCATTTGTGTACAGTAGTGACGCGGGCTACTATCTAAGCTATATGGTTTAGTGCGAATGACATTTTGTAAATTGGTTCTCTAAGTACGCGTACTATTTGTACATAGATTATACATGTCAATTGTTTTATCTAAACTGCTAAAATAACAGAAGTCAATAATCTTAGCATCAAGCAGAGCTTTGGTTTTAAAAGCTTACATTCTGCGAAGGCTTAAACGTCCAGATATGCAAATATAAGGTAGCGAAATACATTTGCGTACAAAGGGAGAGGGTTAGCCAATTATTATACATTTGTGCACAAAGGTGTGTTGAAATTCGGAAAATTTTATGTTTTTACTCAGTGGACGACCCCTCGTGCAATTCAACTCAGGTTTCGTGCTAGTGATCAGAAGTTATTGTTTATATAGACTGTACACGTTTCAGAAACATGAAGAAAAATGTATAATGCACGATCACTCATTGCGTCTTTAATATCACTTCACGATTCAAAAACAGCCTCTTCACTCAACTGCATGATTGCTTGATTTTAAGTGTTTTAGCAAAAATCTTGCCATCGATAGAGAAATGAGTTTGCTATTGATTAGTAGGAGCGCAATGTCGATTTCGCACTCTGTCAGTCAGTGAGTGTGAGTGAGCGAAAACAGGCGATAGTCATTTTGTAGGAGCTTAAGTAGGTATGCATGCGTTATTTTAAACAAGCTTTATACAAATAGTATCTTTTACGTGTATGCTATCTCTTTTTTCAAGGCTTTGTTTTTGGAGAACGGAACTTATCGCATACAATACTTGGAACTGATGGATTGTTCTATCGAAAGCTATGCTGTTCAAAGACTTGGAAGGTATGAGCGTACAATGATCGCTGGGAAAATGTGTTAAGTTTATAAGTCTCTTTACATCTAATGTTTTTTACTCATGAGCTAACTTGATAGGTCCCATGTACATGTTTTTACGTAGGAAATGTTCGAATACCAAAATGATATAGGCATATGAGATTTAATGAAAATAGATTCAGCTCTATGAAATCATGAAAATTGAACCCAAGGGAGTAGATTCAAAAGCAAGAAACATTTAACGTAAAAATAAAAGAAAATATCGTTCTTAAGACGTAGCTATGTACATAACTGATTTATTTTCCATGGCAGATCGTTTCTCTTGAACTGTATAACTGGTCTTCTTCTTGATTATAATCAGTAAGTGTTAATTTAATGTCAATTTACATTGTCTATGAATAATTGTGCCAGTTTGTCAATCTGTAGACTCCAAATCTCCAATTGGATTTTGAATTAGTATACTAGTCGATCACGTAAAACAACGTTCACGTTATGTTCTTATATTCATTGCTGAAAATATGATAGTTTTCAAATCAATTATTTTGTATAATTTAGGTTCGGCGATGAAGGTTGCGAGGGGCTATGTCGGGGTCTAAAAAATAACAAAACTTTACAAAGGTTGAGCTTAAACTACTGCAACTTAAGTCCAATATCAGGAAAAGTTCTGGGAGATCTCCTTACTCAAACTGCTGTGTGGTACGTGAGTGTGTAGTGCACTATAAATTTTATAATTTATTCAAAATTATTTATACATTAATTTTGTAAGCTGTGCAATAACACAGAACTACTTTGTTCACTTTTATGCTTCTGTAGTTACACATGTATATCTTATATCCGTGTAACCTACACTTATATGCTCCTGTACTCATATATGCACATTATCATCCGTATATTCTACTGTAGTCATATATGTACATTGTCATCCATACATTCTAATTTAGTCATATATGTACATTGTCATCGGTATATTCCACTGTAGTCAAATATGTACATTGTCATTCATACATTCTAATTTAGTCATATATGTACATTGTCATCGGTATATTCCACTGTAGTCAAATATGTACATTCGTCATCTGTGTAATCCGTATATGCTACTTAAGTCCCATATGGACAGGACATCTGTAAACCGTATATTCCAAAGCCATCATCAGAGAATATATATAATACATTAATCTTTTAGGATAATTATATATACCGTATATGCTAATGTACTGTAGTCACTAATGTACATCTTGTTATGTGTGTTGTCCTTATATTCTACTGTAGTCACAATGTACATCTGTTATCTGTGTTATCCTTATATTCTATTGTAGTCACAAATGTACATAGTTATCTGTGTTAACTTTGTATTTTACTGTAGTCACAATGTACATCTGTTATTTGTATACATTTGTGCAACGATAACTTGCTCACGAATTTCACTGTAAGCTATTGTTGTTTTAGTGATATATATCTGGATGGGAACCATTTGGAGTGTGAAGGTGTTATTGAAATGATCAAACTGTTGGCAGACAAAGCTGAAATGGAAGCCATCAAAAGAGCAGAAAAGAAAGAACAACATAGTAATGATCCACCAACGAGTGTAAAACCTATGTCTGCCATTTCTCAAATGTCTGTAACTGATGCAGCTATACATGTTTCCCAAGCAACAGAGCCATCGGAAAATTTTAGGTCAGCTCATATTTTGAAAATACGTAACACGAATGTCGTCAATGAAGTAGCTACCACTCCCTTAGCGTATGAAAAGTAAGAAAACCATCATTTTTCATTCAGTGATGCTATAACGCATGAAAAACCTACTGGGAAAAAGAAAGGAAAAAGAAAGAAAAAATCTGGGAAGAAGAAAGTTAAGCAGCCTCCGAAAGTGGGACCTTGGGTGGAGAAAATTCACATTGCTAATAACGGTATTGATGCTCATGGTCCTGGATCCAATCTCGCTCCTGTTATGTGTATGAGACTATTTCGAAAGTGAGTGCGCCTTCATGTTATATATGCCAATGATGGAAATTGATTGGGAATTGGTAAAATTACGCTCTTTTTTAGATTGATTACGCATTCAGACTGTTTGAAAGAGATTGATGTTGAGCAAAATTTGATTGGTGATCTAGGTGGACGCGAGCTTCTGGAGGCTTTGATGGATCGAAAAGAGGGTAAAGACACGTGCCTTCTTTAGTTTGATATTTTTGCTGCATAAATTGTTGATATATTTGTTCCATTTTCTTTGCTGAAACCCATTATAGAGGAGTCAGACAAGTTTTGACATCTTCATGTTTCTTTTATTATTGTATCTCAACTTACTTTGCTAAACAGACGATCATGAGAATGTTAGTGCATATGATCGGTAGCTATTTTCTTCCTCAACAGCGAAACTAAGCTCCATTAAACTGAGAACAACTCATCGAATGAACTCGGCCACCTTTGCAAATTTGGTTAAACTTGGCGGTGGTTTAAAAAAGAAAGGGAAGAAGAAAAGGGGGAAACCTGGGAAGGTAAGTAATTAGTTATCATACAATGGCAATAAGAAAAACTTGCTTTTAGTAAGTGGTAATAAACTCGCTGTAGTATATATTTTATAGCTAGCTAATAATCTGGCAGATAGAAGAATATTGCAATGTTCTTCTATCAATTGCCTGTACTTGTCTTTTCACTTATGTTATTTTTCTTTACTTAGCTTCATTCAGTTATTCATAGCTCCTTTAAAAGATTTTAGCATTTTGTGAATTCTGGTTTGTTTTTTCAGAAACGGATTTGATATTCAACGTCCTGTATCGATATTTGTGTGCAAGCATGGAGGACGCCGTTTTGTAGGAGATTTTATGTTGAGGCCTTGGGCAACAATTTAGGGCAAATGTTGTAAATTCACACTGACAATTTTAATTGAAAACATCTATAGCAATAGCTAGCTTCCAATAAGACACGTCAGATGTTTGTAACTTTTTTTATATTTCCCCTTCCCATTTCAATCCATTGCAATGTTTTTTTCATACACGAAGCCATGCACTAAACCGAAATTTTGTCAATCAGTAATTCAAAACAAAAAATGGGATCAGTTTCACGAATAACAGAAGTACTGTATCAAGCAATAAGTAACAGCATGCTCAAAACAGAGTGGAATCAATTGTTAAACAGCTTTGTAAAGATCATGAGAAGAAATGTTTTTTGGTTTTGCTGAGTTACATATAATATATATTAGTTTTTTGACTTTTAATTGTAAAGTCGTAAATAACTCGGCAAATAACAAAAAAATGAACGCTTTTTTATTGCAATGTGTCATTTGCCTTCACAGAGAGGCTAAAGTAGCAAAAGATTTTTGGCGTGCACTTTGCCTATTGTGCAATTTCGTTTTATCTGGAAACATGAAACGCATTGCGAGTTTAGAGGAAATTTGCAAGGGAAATTTGCAAAGGAACGTTTTCGAGAAAAACGTACTTTGAAATGTCAATTGTCGAATAAATACGTATGAAACTTAAGTTTATTTGCCCATTTACTATAATTTATTGCCGTGAGTTAAAGAGTTAATAACTCGTCACTTCAATTTAACGCGGCGCAGACGTACGCCGACCTCTTAAAAGCAAAAGAAAAGAGTTACAAAGAAATACCTCTCTCGTACCAAGATCTCAACTTTCTCCTTTCTCTTTCAACAGCAACAGTAAAGCCACACTACATGCCTTGTCGACGTTCCCAAACGCTTGTTCGGCTATTGTATTTTTGATTCATTCAACGTTTATCGCCATCGCTGCTGAATCACATGGGTAAAATATTATTTGTGAAATGTCTTTTATTAACATCCGGGCCGAATTCTTCATTTTTATGGAGTATTTGTTGCCGTCGTGTTTGTATGTACAGCTTTGGAACACGCGAAATGTACGAAAGTGTCGTGCATAACAGCTTTTTCAGTCTTCAAGTGAAAACCGCTTCAATTTAAATAGCTCTTCTATAACGCTTCGCTGCAAATAGTAATCCTCTAAACGTAAATCACAAAAAGTGCATTAATACATCATGTGGTTGGTAGGGCTGGTCAGAATACATTGCTAACGTCATTATTAATTTAAAATACTATAGAGACGACTCTGTTGGTTAAAAATTTCTAAAGAATACATTAACAGAGTAAAATAATACGAATATGATACGATTTTGAATTGGAACCATATTTATTGTAAATACGCTGACTCACCTTGGAGTCGCTCACTACTTAAAATCATTTTATCGTAAAATTTACTACCTCTACTCCTATTTACAGGGTCGTACGTAGATTGTTCATAAGTGCAGGTGGGCGGTGGTGGTACTCATATATTCAGTTGTATTCCAATGTGCAGGGTCGTCCCTTGATTGTTGTTGTTGGGAGGGGGAGAGGGTTATTGTTGTGAGGGTTATTCATGTATTCAGTTGTACCCAACAGATCTCACCTACGAAATTGAAGCAATTTATTTTCAAAAAAAATGAGTCGGGCACAACTTAATTTAAGAATGAACACAACCCCCCCCCTCCCTCAATTAATGTTCTAGAGACAGCCCTGCCCATGTACGAAGGAGAGAAGTCTCTGAGAAGAAAACTTAGACTGATGATGTTTTAGCTGAAGACGAACCGTTACTCAAATGAGCTTCTACCAATTTTCAATCGACGACATAAAAACCTGTGTTCTAAGTACAAAATTTTCCAAATATTTCATTTTTAAAGAGACAGCGTGAGTCCCTAACCTATCACTGCAACAATTGAGGTCTTTTACAGAGATATTTGTCATAGGTTTGTCAGCTGCACATTAACACATGCATGTGTGTTACAAATGTGACATTTTTTGTTAAACATTAAATATGTTTTCCATTTAATTATCATTGTTCATTGACATGAGAACCTCTGTTCCATTATTAGCGAACACTATTTTTCAGTTTCCCGAGGATGTCCCGTAAGACATGTTTGACGGCAATATTCATTTAAATATAAATCACAAAAGACATGAAGATTTTCCACAGTAGTATACTCATAGAGCTGGTTAGAGCATAATCATTTGTTTTATGTTAAATAAAGTTAGCCTTTTTCTATGTTAACGAAAATAGCTTTGTTCTATGTTAAATGAAGTTAGCTTTGTTCTATGTTAACGAAAATAGCTTTGTTCTATGTTAAATGAAGTTAGCCTTGTTCTATGTTAAACGAATTTAGCTTTTTTCTATGTTAAATGAAGTTAGCTTTGTTCTATGCTAACGAAAATAGCTTTGTTCTATGTTAAATGAAGTTAGCCTTGTTCTATGTTAAACGAATTTAGCTTTGTTCTATGTTAAATGAAGTTAGCTTTATTCTATGCTAACGAAAATAGCTTTGTTCTATGTTAAATGAAGTTAGCCTTGTTCTATGTTAAACGAATTTAGCTTTGTTATATGTTAAATGAAGTTAGCTTTGCTCTATGTTAAAAGAAGTAAGCCTTGTACTATGTTAAAAGAAGTTAGCTTTGTTCTATGCTAAAGAAAATAGCTTTGTTCTATGTTAAACAAAGTTAGCCTTGTTCTATACTAACGAAAATAGCTTTTTTCTATGCTAAACGAAGTTAGCTATGTTCCATGTTGAAAGAAGTTAGCCTTGTCCTATGCAAACGAGAATGGCTTTGCTCTATGCTAAGGATGATAGGCTTGTTCTGTATGCTGACGAAGATAGCTTTGAAAATACGTTTGCTATTTGCTAACAAAGATAGCTTTGATTTTGCAATATAATTAAATGCTATGAACTAAAGTACCCATAAACTAAAGTACTCATATGGTTAGTAAACGCGGTTTATGATTCAATTGTGGCATTCTTTATTTATTTAAAGGCAATAAAAATCTCACGTAATCTTTTTATCGTGACTGATAACAAAAACAGAATGATAATTCAAAAAGTTTTCTTCTGATCCTCATCAAATATCATCCAATAAATATCTCGAGCACGTAATTTATATGTTAAAAAGAGTATACAGTAAAATTATAGCCATTTCAACTTAGAAAGCTTGATTAACAAATCCTTTAACGACCTTCAACTCAGTAGAACAACTATTCTGCTTTGTCTCAAAACAACGCTGACAAACGTTCACAGCATTTGCAGAACTCTCCTGGGTAGAAAACGACGTCTCGCCCCATGTTAGTACATTTTCTGCAGGAAACTCTGTTTTAGTGTAAACGTGATAGATCTTGGGAAAGAATAAACCAAAAAGAGCGATCCAACCAATAACAAGGCTCATTGAAGACGACCAATAAACACGATGAATACTGTAGTCTGTGTTGAGAAAAGTTGCAAAAAATATAACCCATACTACGCAAGTCAAATACATCGTGATTCCTATGTATAGAGCTTCGTTAAAATTCTTGGGAAAATGACGTGTTCTGAAAGCATAAAATGTACACCATACTATTAATACAGCATTGTACACGAAATAAATTGCAAATGTAGACTTCTTGAAATCACACTCAAGCACAAGTTCTTTCCTCTTCTGATAATACTTTTCCATCAATTCAGGTGGGTCTGTGCTAAAGAGGAGCCAACACAATAATCCTTGAATTGCTATGAGACCTGCCGTGATCAAAAGCAAAGAACGTTTGCCAATCAAACCACTCGGAGATAAACGGCGCAGTTGATTGGCGTGTTTAAAGATGCGATGAATGCGAAACATTTTCATAAGTAATGGTGCATAACATACAGTAAAAGATACTCCCATAATAAAACGTTCAACGTAACACCGAACATTTGATGGCTTTGATAGCGAAATCATCGGCACTGTAAATATAGTTGCTATGCCAACCAACATAAAACAACACATTTCACGACCTGATGCCTTAATTAGCTTGTGGTCAGTTTTCTTCAAGAATATTCCCAATACAATAGCGTCAAAAAGAAGTCCAATGGAGGAAAAAAATGTTATAACTACTGCAAGTGGAGTGTTTATGTTCACGAAATGCAATGGAAGTTTTTTGCAACTAGACATATTAATTTGAGGGACATGGGTCTCAGCACATGTCTTGCACGTGTTGTTTACCACTATGTCATTTGCCCCACACGTGTGACATCTATGGCAACAGTTGTCTTCACGTGACATAATAATTTGATTACGTGTACATTTTGGTCTACAGGTCGATGACGGTTGACTTAAGTTGCCATTTGGCCATCGTATTTTTGATTCATCAAGTAACAAGTTTCCCACAATATTGCCATTAGAATCAAGCTTGCTCACCCATGATCCCACTTGATCATACTCATACGATGATTGGCCATTCAAACGGAAGTTGAATATGGTGTAGTTTCCATCGACTTCCTGTTGTGCGTTGAACGACACAGGAAAGTGGAATGCTGCATCTACGTATGTAACATTACGAAGAAATTGTAAAAGTAACGTTCTGTCAATGGGTCGCATTTCGTCACAGAGTCCTGGTTTTCCAAGGCATTTCTGTTGGTGTAATGCATTAAGACCATTTGCCATTGCTTGTACAGCGTTTATAACGACTTGAACAGGAGCCAGTTCTTTGTAACTATAGAAAAATCATATTTATATCATAAAAATATTTTTGTACTCGATGAAAGTAAAAACTAATGGTGTTTAATTTTAAGTTTTTAACGAATTTCTATTTAGGCTGAAATAATTCATAAAAAAAACACATCATTGAAGAATTATTAATTATATACAATTATGTCTTACTGTGTAAATTAATTACATGTTAAGTGTTATTACCCTATGTTTGGCTCATCTTTGCATTCATTTGTGTATTCAGTTGGAATTGTAATATTTTTAAGTTTACACTTGTAAGTTTGTTGCCAGTATTCACCAAACCATTTCTTATAATCCCTGCTGTAATTACTGGGTCTAAGACTTCTAAAATAACTTTGAAATTCAGGAATCATTCCTTCACGATGTCCAAATGTTATCGTCCCGTCAGCGATATCCTCCAGGCCATTTGTAATGTCTCTGTGATTACTCCATCCAATACTTCCTACAAAGAATATTCTCGAGCCGCGTGGATGCTCTTTTTTTGCTTTCAACAATTTACGAGAATCTCTTTGAACTGTGTAGAGAACAACAAGACGTGGTTGTTCTTCGTGATCACCGATCAAAGTTTTCATGATTTTGTCAAATTCATCGTCATCAGGAAAAGGTGAAATTTTAATGTTGTTTCCAAGACATATCTGTAATGCATAAAAATTAAAGTGAGAATCAATAGGAAAAGCATTACAAAGGCATTGAGATCCTGTTAATAATATATACTGCAGATATTTTCTATTTTGTGTTGGTAACATGCCTTGTTACTTTCAAGAACTTTCCTCAGTCTCTCTGCCCCAGTCTCCGCCCATGTCCCTGAAGAGTAGAGTAAAGACACAAAAGTCCAACGCATCTTTAAAAGGAACGTAGTTAGTGCAGCAGCAAAGAAGCTGTCTGGTGGAACGGTTCGCAGGAAATAGTTGTACAAGTTTTTGTTGCTGAGTTCATTAGCAACTGATCCATAACTAATTTGAGGAATTTGAAAAACTCGTAGGAAATTAGCCACAATCACTGATGTTTCACTGACAAAAGTTCCAATCACGCCAGCAAACTCAGAACCGTTAACTCTTGATGGTACGAGTGTCATCTTGATAAATTCCTTCGTTTTATCAGCTGTGATGATGTTACTTCGACAAGTGTCGTAAATTATTGAGCCAAGCTTAATTCCAGGCAAGAAATCCTTTTGTCGGTTGATCTTATCAAGGGTATATAACATGGCTTCCATGTACTGATATCCCACCAACCCACTGAATTCACCACATTCTCGCTCATTTTTTCCTACCGTGTGGATTGGGAACAAGGCACCGAGTATGATATCTCCATCTACCGTCAATTTCCCTATATGGCAAAGATATCTGCTGGTTTATATTTGGACAGGAAGAGGACGTACATGGAGACATAGGGTATTGAGAAACGTCATATGCTGTGTAATATATGAAGACGATTATAAAGTAAAAATATTGAGCATAGTAATGAAAGATTTTTTGTTTGGCTATATTTGAATTTGATGCTCCTTGATTATCAAAAATAAGAGTAAGAATACTTGTTATAATTATACAAAATGACAGCATCACACATATTCCATAAACTTAATAACACAATTAATACTTTATTCTATTTGGTTGGAACAAGAACGCAACAGCAGTACAATAAGGTTTTAATCGTCTCACCTCTCTCTGTTGATACTTTATCGAAAACCAAAGGCAATGCAAGAAAACACAGAATGAGCCCCATCTCTTCTTATAGTCTCGAGCAAATAACTTGAAAACTATAAAAAGCGGTCAATGAAGCTGAAAAAAATTATGTTTGCAGCAACGTGAAAAATTGGACTTCGTAGAAATGTTGAATACAAGCTAATTTAGCCTCAATGGAAAACTATAACCAGTACAGCTTCAAAGCAACTATCATTATTACGATAAGAATTTCAATTTTTCTAATAAAGTCACACCTGTGTTAAGCGGTCACCCTTTGTCAAGCGGGTCAATTTGCATGGCACTGTCTCGAAAATATCATAATATATATATTAAATGACCTATATTTAAGGACGCGACCACCTGCACCATGAGTTTCGAAAAATAATTTTTCCTTGTTTTGAAAGTGAATGTATTCAACGTCGGGTGACATTATATACATGTATACAGTCTCTAATTCCTAGATTAAACTCAAAGTGTTACGTGTATGGTACATACACTGAAATTTAATGCTGTTTATTTCAAATTTAGTTACAGTATTGTTATAATAATGCGCTAACTTTCTAGACATGTATAATTCAGCGGTACCTGCATTTAGCGGTCACATCAGAAATGCCCAAGTGAGACCGCTTAATATAGTTTCGGCTGTATTAGAGTAATTTAGTGTCAAAAGCACCTGTGATTGCCATTGGACATAGCAATATTTGGGTCTATACCAATGTCGAGCTGGGTTCATGACGTCCGGACCATAACTGGTTTTATTATATGGCAAGCGTCACTCTGGGTAAAATGGCGCGCTTTGATTGGCTCAGCCACATTTTTGCCGGTCCATTACTTTCCCGTAATGACCACGATTTAATAAATGTAAACAAACTTCGTAAGTCAAACAGCAAACAGCCAAAAGTAAAACGAAAAACAAAAACGAAACAAAAAAACATTAAGCGAATTTGAGTCAAAGGAAAACACAAGGAAAGTGAGTTGTATTATGCAAACGAAACAGTTTCAAGCCATTTATTTTCTATTGACGAAAACTATGGAAGTGAAATCCCTCCCATAAAAAACAGCGAGGACGAGCTTTGTTTCAGGTCAAATAATGCCACATAATAAACTTTTTATTAACCTTGCTTCCCCGGTCTTTACTGAGAATATCTGACCTCTGTCTTTTTGTACAAACGTCGCCATACGGGCTCGATCTGTACAAATAAAGACCTTGGTCCGATATTTCTCCGTAAAGACCTCGCGCTCGGTTAATAAGGGCTTAATAATTGCCAGTTCAATGCTGTTCTCAGTGCAAAAGGATTTTTCTAATTTGCAAAGCAAATTTCAACC